AACAGCCAAATGTGGCCAAAAGCCAAATATGCGTGTGTTTGCCTTAAAAATAAATACAAGAATTTTGAAACATTACGCCAACGCCGGATGCCAAGTCAATAATTTAAGGTCAATTGGGCCTACAAAGCTGGCTCTTAACTATATATAGAAAATAGCTCCAAATAGCCATTCTTCGAGGTACTCTTATTGTTATTTTGATTTTTGCTACCCGCATTCAAATACACTTGAAAAAAACCAAAACTTTTGGATGCTTGGATGGGTCTGTGGGTGTATTTGTTACGTTCGTTGGTTAGAAAGCAAGTTTCCATTCAGTTCAGTTCAACTTAACCCGTTTAAGTCTCATGAATAGTTATTCCAACATTAACCGTAACAACAGCAACAGCAAAAGCAAAAAAAAAAAAAAAATCTCAACAGCAAAATTAAAAATTAAAAATACTTTTTGCCATGCAAGTTATTAATGAGTTGTATCTTGGCTTGGTAATTGTTATTTTTCCTTTGCTTTTTTATTATTATTATGCCTTTCTCGCAGGCAAACAACAAAATAATAATTATAAAATAAAATTAAAATTGCAAGTAAAAGGGTATTAAAAGGGGGAGGGAAAGGGAGAGAAAGGAAGAAGTTTGAATACCCTTTAAATTCGTAAATCCAAAGGAATTAAGAAAAGAAAAGCTTCCTTGTTAAAACACATTATTTTTCGCATAAACTATAAAAATTATTCTTCTTAATTTTTTCTATTAAATTTACAGTTATATAAAGTACATAATACCCTCTTCTAGGGTATCAAAAAAGACGTTTGAATGGTGGGAAATTTTGTAAGCAATTAAACTCACAGCGTTAAGAAGGTGAACAAACAACTTGATGCATGTGTAATTAACCGAGGAAATACTATAGTAAAAAATAAAGTAATATAATTGCAATTAGTATTTAATAAGAGGATAAGGAATTGAACTTTAAATCAATATGAAAACATGGCAATTAACGAAAGCAATATATTTAAGGTCACTGTTGAAATGTCACAACTATGATTAAGCAAACGTTTCTAACTTTAAGTTTTAATTCTTTTCATTGCTCAAGTTAGTGATATTAAAGAATATGTCTAACTTAAACTTAAAGTAAAGATTAACGAGATTTTAAAATTTAGAAAACCAACATTATCTCAGCACTGAGCTGCTTTTCCACTCAGAAGTTGCTAGAACTGATTGGGAATTATAGTGAATTATTGAGTTGTATTTGTAACGCTTTTATTTATGGTTATTTAAGGTGATAAAGTTAAAAAAACCAAGTCATTTACATATCTTGTTGCTTTTCAAATCCTTACTTCAAAGTATTTTATATTTTATAATCAATTATATATTTGTAATCAATTAAAGTTTTGCTTTCTTGCTTGTATTTTAGTTATATATTTCTTTTGTTAGAAAAAACTACAGAATGCTGACCCAGATAAAACAGGTAAAAATAAAATTTAAAAAAAAGGAAGAAAACTAAGTAAAGACCAACTCCAGGCAGCCTCGTTATCTGCTTCTTTCACCTGAGCTTCACCTACTTGGGAAGGCCGAACGAGTCGACATACGGACGGACGGTATCAAGAGTGATCATAAATCTTTATAACCTGTATGCGCTGGATTTTCACCAACTAACTGGCTTTTGGAGGAGCTGGGTTCTGCGGCACCACCACCACCCCCTTCCGTTTTGGGCCATAAAAAGTGAATTTCAGCCGAAAGCCAACATTTTACCTTTTTCCTGACTTTTAAATACTTTTTTTTTTGTTTCTTTTCTTTTTGTTTTTTTGATATTTATTTATTATTTTTTGTTGAATTTATTTTTTGCGCGCACTTGGCCTTAATTGCGCATGCGCGCGCACTTTCAATTCCTTTCGGACCCGAACAACCCGCAACAAAGAAAATCAAATGAAATCCAAAAAAAAAAATATAATAATAATAGAATAAATAATAATAAAACAAAACAAGTCGTGTGGCAAATTGTAGCGGCAGAAATTAGATCTCAAGCGCGGCGATAATGATGCGGCGGCCACCGAGAGATGCTGCCTGGGAGTAATCATCATTTTTAAAGAGTTTAGGGGGCTCTCGGAGGAGCCAGAAGGGGCAAATCCAAACGAAAATTGCTCTTGAGCCAAAGGCGAGCTGAACTGAATTGAATTTGGAGTGCACTGTGATGAAAATAGGTGTAGTTTTAGGGGTTTTTAATTATTAAAATAAAGGGGGAAATATGGCAAAATATGGGGGAGATTTTTTTTTTAATTACTTCAGAGGATTTTAAAATAAATTTATTTATATTTGGTAGCTTAAAAAAACATTTATTTTTAGTAAAATTAATAAAAAGCTCATTTCTGGAAATTATATAACATTTAATTAAATTTTAAATTACTTTTATACGGATTTATAAAGTAAATATGGAACATCACTTGAAATTTCAACATAAGGAAAAATAAATTAACCCATTTCGGATAATTATTTAAAAATATTTAAATTTGAATAATATGTAATAAAAGTAATATTTTTAATATTAATAATAATATCAATATTATTTATTTTTAATTAAAGTTATATTAATTCCATAAAAATATCTGATACATTTTGTAGGAAGTTTCAAAAAAATTGATTAAATATTAATAGAATAATCCGTCAATGTATTTGTCAATTTTTCATTTAGATATAATTTTAAAATTATAAAAGTAATTCAATCTTTTATATTGTTTATTGTTTTTATTCCTCTATTTTGTGTAGAAATAATATTAATAATTTCTTATTGTGTGCAGATTCTAGAGCTAGGTTTAAAAGTTGATAGCTTCGGGCTAGAAGCAAGCCTTATAATTATGGAAAAAGTATGGTAAATTTCAATGGAGACTGTTCTAAATTTGCTTAACAAAATAATAATAGATTTTACATCATTGAAATCCATAATTATTTTTACGGGGAATTACTTTTAACTGGAATTTTTTTAGATATAATTTCGGTAAGTTGCAAAAATTCTAAGATAATATATAAAAATATAAGTGAATATATAAAAAAAAAAAAACATTTTTTAATTTACAAGGTTCTCTAAGAAACCTAAATCATATAATATAAAAATATATTATATGTTTTCTCACTTTAGAAAAATAAATATAAGTAAAAGGGAAGCTCAAACATCAAACAAAAAAGTTTTATTTAATATTAATATTATTTATAAATTATTTATATATTTAAAATATTTTATTATACATTAAAAATATTTAAAATTATTATTTCAATTTCAATTTGTAAACATTTCCTCAATTTATTTTGTAATATAATAATAATATACTTAATATATATATTTTCTATACATTTAAAATACTTTATGATACATTAAATATATTTAAAATTATTATTTGAGCCTCAATTAGTATACATTTCCCCAATTTATTTGATGAAATTCCTCAAAAGCTTAAGCTTTCTTTGGGGAAACCCTGAAAAACCCCATCCCCAATTGAGGCCAAGTGCAAGCTTATCCGCCCCTAGAAGCCCAATTTGGATAGGTCAAGTACACAGAGTGTATATATATAATATATACGTAGACTATAGCCGCTATTTTAGTGCACTTTATGGGCTTTACGGCTGTACGCCTTATGGGTTCTACGGACGACGGGTGGAGAAATAAAATTGAGGCAGAGAAAAGAGCTAAAGAGCTCAACAGACTCAACAGAGACTCGCATATTTCTAGAGGCTGACCAGAGCACGTTTTGTTTTTTACTTTTTACTTTATTTCTTTATATTTTTTTGTGTTCAGATTTTTTTTATTATTTTTCTTGGCCTTTTTTGTGTCTTTTCTTCGCTTTTTGCCAGTGGGGCCAACAGGTTCGTTGTTGGGGAAAAAGTCAAACGGGCTCAATAATCGAAGACGGCTCAGAGTGTTTTTTTTTGTTTTTTGTTTTTTTTTTTGAGTCCGTGGCTCTTGGAACTCCATCTTCCAAGTTGGAGTCCGGATAAATGAGGACAACAACAGCGACAACTTTAATGAGGTTATGCCTAGGTGTGCGTGTACCTGCATCTGTTGTTGTTGTGAGTGTGTGTGAGTGCTGGGATAGGCACACAGAAAGAAATAAATAAATAAAAAAAAAAACAACAACAAAATACACCAATAACTATTTATTTAGATTGTTATTTATTTTATGAGTTTGCCATTTATTTCGCTATAAATAGAAGTTTATTTGGAGGGTTTCTAGTTTAATTCAAGGCTAACTTTTGATGTTGGGTTTTTTTCTTTTTATTTATTATATAATATTATATTATATTATAGTTTATTTATTTATTATATTATTTCAATAATATTTTAATTTTTATTTTATTTATTTATATTTTTTTATTTATATTATATTTATTCATATTTAAAATAAAGTTGGGAAGGGGTTTATACTTAGACTGTTTATGAATTTATTCCAAATCTCTTTGTTGTGTTTAATATTAAAAAAGTAACCCTTATTAAATTATTTAAAAAATATAAAAATATTTTCATTGACTTCTAAATTGTATCCCTTTAATTTTATTTTTTTTATTACCCTTTCATATTTATAATATTTACATATTTTTACAGAAAAATTAAACAAAAGCTTACAAACATTATTTTTAGCTTAGGAAAAATTCTAAAAGCGCTTAAAATTTTTAACAATAATTTAATTTAAGATTTTTATATAATATTTTTTTTATGTAATGTCTTAATATAATTTTTTTTTTTTTGGTTTACCTAATATATTTTAAACATTTTTACAGAAAACTAAAAAAAAACCACTTTAAATATTTAACAACAATATCTTAAAGTGTATAATTTATCTGCAAAATGTCTTAAAATTTCTTTAAGTTTTTAATTCAAATGCATTGCCAAAAAAAAAACCTTAAAAATCAGGCAACAAAAATAAACAAACAAAAATACTAAACACTAAAACGAAAAACAAAAAAAAATCTAAAAAAAAACCGAACAAACCCAACGAAAGATCAACAAATTTATGGAAATATTTGCTCACCTCTTCCTCTAACTTATAGAGTGCCTTGTAATTGCTGTTGACTCTTTAGTTGTACGCCCTTGTTGTTGTTGTTATTGCATCGTTAAATTAATTTGCACAAAAATAACAATTCAGTGTAAAATTTGTATATTTTCACTAAGCCACCACACTCGAAAAAAATAACCAAGCGAACCACGACGAGACGAATAAAAACCGTTGCACGCCTGCGCTTTTCAAAAAATATTCCCCAACTGGAATATGGCTGCAATATGGCCTTTTCATCCGCGCTTGAATTTCTCCTCGACTTTCGCGTTCCAGCGCTCGCAGCGAACTGAACGGCCAGGCGACGCCGGCAGAGCGCCGGGCAGCGCTGCCCTCGAAAGCCCCCCCAAAAGCGCCAAAGCGCGGTCGTGATTTGACGCCGGCAGCGATCCCGACTGCGACGCCAGCTGCGAATGTGTTGCCTCGATCAGTGATGGTGGCATGGCTTTTTTGGAGATTTTTTCTTAGAGCAAGGAATTAAAAAAGGTAAACAATTTAATAAATTAATTTAAAAAAATATAATTCGAAATTTATTTTAAATGAATATGAATTAAAAGATATGTTAGTAAGAAACTGTTATATAAAAAGATAGTTTAAAAACATTTAACTACCTTAATTATTTAATTAAGAAGAGGAATTGTAATGATACAATATTTATAAGCACAATTTTTATTAGGCTAATATTAAAGTATTAAACAATTTTTTTGTATGATTTATTATGATTATGATCTCAACATTAAGCATACGTAGCCTTATTTTATTTTTACAAGCAAAACCAGAACTATTTTCTATATTTAAATTTTTTGTATATAAATTAATAAATAAAATATATTCATATATCCTAATTTTGCAAAAATGTTTGAGATTTTTTCGTATATAGATCAAGACCATTTCTCAGGTGTATTTTTGCACTTAAAAAAATAAGTCTTAGCTTTACATTTAATTCTAAGATAGTTACCAAAATTTATCCTTATGAAGTTTTGTTTGTTATTGCTTAAAAATTTAAATTAAATATCAAAATTTATAAATTTCAATTCAAGATTTAATAATTTTAAAAAGTATTTTCAACCATTGTTTTCAAGTGTATATTTTATAAACAAAAAAACCCTTAAACTAATGATAAACATAATATTTTTTTGTTTTATTTTATTTCTTTGACAAAATTCAATATTATTTAACAGTTTTAATGACTTTTTTCATTCATATTTTTTATTTATTATAATAGTAGTATTTAAAATATATAAAATTATTTTATTATTGTTTTATTATTATTTCATTATTATATTAAAATTATTATTAATTCCAGATTTTATTTCATACAGAATATCTTTTCTTTCCCTGTATTTTATAGGAAAACAAATTTACCTGGCTACCTGTTGCACACACACACACACACACACACACACACCCATTCGGATAATGGCCGTCCCGTCCGCAGTCCGCAAATTGACCCATAAAATTGTAACGTTGCTTGGGCCATGATAGATTAGCTGTCCATATATCATTGCAGATACATTATCCGAGTGGCAGTTGGGAGACGGAACGAACGGGTTCCCAGTCGTCAGTTGGATCCGCGAGTGCATAAATAACCGCTGTCCATGGTGGTGTGTATGCTCGGATCGGGAACACCCCGATCGTGTCGATCATGTCTCCGATTTGCATGCCCGCCAGATACAGATACAGATACAGATACATTCACAGATACAGATACAGCTTTAGCCACAGATACAGATACTTTGTAGCCGGCTAACAGATGCAGATATGTACATGGTTATGCATCCGAGGCATGCGATATCCAGTTGGATATCGGCAATGGCCACAAGGTTATGTTCCTCCTCCGGATTCGTTAAGGGGGAGGGGGAGATGGGGTGTGGGGCGTCATTAGCTTCATTAGTCACGATCGGACGATAAGTCCTAGAATGAGTCGTGGAAGAGGCATTGCAGAAGAGCTCACGGTTCCCATAAATCGCCAATCATCATGCAATTCATAATGAGCCGATGAAAATGCCAAAACCTGTGAGATGCTATCTAATGGAAAATTCTTTAAAAAAAATTAAAAAAAAATATACGAAATATATATTCTAAAATTTAATTATTTCTTTTGCACTTCAAATGTCTTGTAGGTGTAAGCCTCGATGTCCTTGAGATTCTTGATGACAAACTCCCTGATGGCCTCCACATATTCGGCGGCAGCCATTATAAACTTTTTAAAGGCCTCGATGACCTTGCCCTCACCCTGGAGTACACCCTTCCAGGTGTCCTCGGCCACCTGGCTGATGTATCCCCGAAGTCCCATGGCCAAGGCCTGGGCAGCAGCAAACAATTCAAAGGCCTCCGGTGGCAACTTGCCTTGAATCTCAAAATCGCAGGACATCATGATGATCACAATTTTATGGAAATTTTGCAAGGCAAATATTCAAAAAAATGACTACAAATTTTCTATAAGCTAAAATTCTAAACTTGTGGTTGGCAGCAAAATCCCAGCCCCCATTTTTGTGACCCTGACATTGAACCCCCCCCGACCAAGCCAAGTAATTGCGGCCAATTATTGTTAGCTACAATCGCTGCAAGAGATCGCAAACAGGCAAACAGCAAGTTACATTCCCAAGATACTTACTCAGATACTTAGATACTTTACCATTTACCCGAAAAAAATAAAAAGAAGAGAGACTTTAATAGAGATTTAAAGCAAAAAGATAAATATGAGGAAACAAAAAAAAAATACACAAAACAAATTAAATTATAAACAAAATGTAAATATAAATCACAAGTCGGTTTCAAGTCTTTGGCGGCGGCATTTGTATCTTGTGGATCCAACAGCTTGGCGGTATCTCTAAAAGCGATTTATCTCGACTTTATTTTTCTTTGGATCTTCCGTTAACACCGGCACCACAGTGCGTCTGTTGTTGTTTTTGTTGTTGTTGTCGGGTTATATATATAGTATATAGTATATATATACATATTTTTTCACAGAGTTGTCATGCGAAGAGGATAAGAAATAATATGAAATTAAATAAATTGCTTAATTATAAAAAAGGAGATGGGGGTTGAGAATGCCTTGACCAGCTAACAACAATCACAGAATGCTCTTTCTTTCTCACTTATTATTTTTTTAAATATATATAAATGTTTATGGTGTATTTTATTCTCATTAAAACAAACACAAAAGCGTAAGGAATATTAAGGTTTTTTTTTATTGGACAAATACACAAAATGAGAATGTTTTCGGATCACATCTCTAATTTTTTTCTGTTTTAATTTCTCTAACACAAAAAATCCAAACATCAACTAAAATGATCTAAATCCAAAATATATCTCTTCATATTTTTTATAGAATTCTTCAAACATCTAATCATTATCCCCTTTATAAGAAATTCTAATAAAAGTTTACTTTCAATCTAACTCATATAAATTATTTAATAAAAATTTTTAATAATATTTATATTAAAAAAAATAAAGGTAGTTTCTAAAATTTCTTTAAAAAATATAAACCCTTTCCATAACTGAACGAACTTTTCTATAAAAAAAATATATGATTTTAAGACCAATGACCTAGAAAGGCCTTACCAAAAGTCCTCTTATAATTCCCAAGTCTAAATTCTGGACAAAAAAAAAATAATTTTAATAAAACCCTTTTCGAGAGCAACAACAATTGCAGACTTCCATCAAAGAACTCTCAACCAATTAATATAAGAAAATAATATTAAATATAAAAAACTATCAAAAATAAAATAAAATTCAAAATTTAATTCCCCTATAAAGCCAACTCCCCCTAAACCCAAGCTAATCCCCCTTGTTAAAACCCTGTCATTAGCCCTGAGAAAGCCGACACTGCTCCATCGCCTGAGTCTGGGAAAGCGGCCAATCCTCTCAAGCCCGCGGAAAGTTAAAGTTGACAACCTCCCGGCCAGATTGAAGTTGGAATTTTTTTTGCAAAACAGTTGGCACGTGACGTCAGGTCGGAGTTTCCCAGAAGCTCGCCTTCGCTCCGGCAATTATGAGCAATTTACGGGATGGCGGAGGAGCATGGCCAATTATGGTGATGTAAGACATGGCCAGATGCTTAGCATATAATAACCGCAGATACAGATACAGATATAGCCAACAGAGAGATGTGTGTACTGGTGTGTGTATGTGCGCATATACATATATATATTTAATGGATTCCTGTAAATATAATAATAATCTGAGGTTCTTTCAAGCTCCCTGCAATGGGAATCTTTAGCGGCGTGCATAAATCTGAGATTAGCTTAAGTGCTACATACAAAACGTATACATGGACACATGTACAAATATGGATGTTCATACAAAAAAAAATTTGGGTATAATATTTAGGTATATATATAAGGCAATGGGAAAATTGCTAGATATTAAAGAATTTATTAAATTAATTTTTTGTAAAATGTAAAATCTTGAAGAATTTTTGTTCTTGAATTTTTGGGAATTTTGATTATTATTTTATTCTTTATAAAAACCTTTCTATAATTAAATTAATTATTTAAATTTTATTTAAAAAAATTTTAAATCTTGAAGAGTTTTGTTCTTGAATTTTGATCATTAAACTTTATATATTATTTTGTTTTCTATAATTTCTTTCTTTAATTTAATTTTGATTTAAAAATTAATATTCAAGCTAAAAAAATAATAAAATAATTCTTTTCTCAATAAAAACCTTTTTTTAATTTTTATTTTCATTAAAAATGAATATAGTTAATTTTCCCCTTGCCCCAGCTATACCTATACATATATACCTCTCTCTCTATATATATATATTTATATATATCTTTTTTTAGATTCTTCGTTTTTCTCTTCATGAGTTATTCGATTTGCAAAAAAAAAAATCAGTAATTTAAAGCGCATTTAGCTGACAATAAAGTTCTGTTTTGTAAAAGAATCTTTACGTTCGGCAAATGGAAAGGGTATCCAGTAGGAAGACAGCCCCATTGATGATCATCAGCGAACCGGCGGCAATGGCATTACGCTTCCTGTCGCTCTGCAGGATGGCATCATGCCACTCATCGATCACCAAGGCACCAGAGGTCACAAAGGCCACGCAGCCAATCAGCGAGATCAGGGCATTCAGGCGCTTCTCCACCAGCGAATTGATCACGTGTCCTGTAAAAGTATAAAAAAAATATAGAAAAATATATAAAAAACAGAGATAAAGGTGTTACTCACCGATCAGCAGAACGCCACAAATGATTGTGAAGCCACCAATGGTGCCGCAAACAATGAGGGGACGAGAGGACAGGGCTCCCACCACCTCGTACATCACAATGCAGCAGATGGCAATGGCCTGGAGAAGGGAGAAAGAGTGATTAAATAGGGTTATGAATATGGGAAATTGTATAAAAATATATATATATAAATTCTTACAGCTAATTTGCATACCTAAAAAATAGAAAACAAACCTTGCAGATTTTATTATCATTTCTTTAATTTTTCAGGATATTTTTAAAACAAAAAAATATATTTAGCAACATTTATTTCCCTTAAATATATAATTTTTTCAAGGATTCTTTGATTCCAAAATATAAACACAAATATAAAATATATATAAAAAGAAATTTGTAAAAAAAATTGAATTTCCTTTCATAAATGATATTTATTATTAATATATATATTTTATTTTAATTTCCATTTAAAATCTTAAAATTTCCTTTATCCTGTACTCAAAACCACAAATATATCGCCCACAAACAAAGCCCCATTGGACAGGCAAAAGATGGCCGAGACCAGCAGCTTGCTCCTGTCGCTCTCCGACTTGCAGTGGCCCATCCATTGGTCCAGCATAATGGTGCCCGTGGATATGAACAGAATGAAGCCATTTAGCGAGAAGACAATATCAAGAAATTTGTCCACGGCCACGCCCATCAAATGACCTGAAAGATCAAGCACCAGTCAGAGGCACCAAGATGAGCAACGGGGCAAACTCTGCATTACCTGTGCCAATGGTGACACATATGACCACATATCCCACGAGTGTCCCATAGACAACCATCGCCTGGCGGATGAAGGTCAGGTCCGATGCGGTCTCAATCAGTATAATGCTCGTCACGATGAAGGCCTTGGGAGAGTTAACAACTCGGTTCTCAGACAATCAGACAGACAGACAGATATATCTTTTTATATATATATTCACAGACCGGACAATATTCAGAAACAGAGAGACGAGGACTCCAAGTGGAAAGTAAGACACAAAGATAGGTGAGAGCAATAGAAAGAGAAGTAACAGAACTTGGCAGATCATATATCTAGGGAGAGTTCCTCAAAGGCCTCTTAAATCCACTAAAATAGATCGATTTTTGCAGATTATTTCGATAATTTCAATAATATTCGATACTATAATATACGAATATAGTAACTAAAATCAAATCGATAAGATAAAATAAAATCAAATAAACTGTTTATAATCAAGATAAAGCTGTATATGTATGAAAACGATATAAATAAATATATCTAGAGAGAGTTCATCAAAGGCCTCTTAAATCCACTAAAATATATCGATTTTTTCAGATTATTTCGATAATTTCAATAATATTCGATACTATAATATACGAATATAGTAACTAAAATCAAACCGATAAGATAAAATAAAATCAAATAAACTGTTTATAATCAAGATAAAGCTGTATATGTATGAAAACGATATAAATAAATAATCTTTACCCTTTTCTTTTCATATAATTGGTAACAATAATCGAATAAGCCGTGTAATTTGATTTATCCATCCTGCCATATTGTCTACTTTTGCTATCAAACGAAATTAATCCTGTTTTTTGTGGACAGAGCCGGCACTAAAAGCTTCATGGAAATCAATCAGATAAATTTCAACGCGTCATGGACTTAATGGGTTTTATATTGTGCCATATGCTGCTATTTCCAGTTATTTATTTATGTTTTTTTTTGGGTGTTTTTTGCTGACAAGCAGGAGTGGTCCAACGGGTAATATAATAATTATTTTCAAATTAAATTGGAATTATTTAAATTTAAAAATAAATATAAATATCAAAGTAAAGCTTTTTATTTGAGGTTTATAAATTTAAAAAAAATATATGGAGAATTTTAATAGGTTTTAAAGTTTCTTTTTAAATAAAATTAAAAATAAATAAATTTTAATTAATTAAAATTAAATAAAAATATGAATTAAAAGTAAAGCTTTCACTTTAAGGTTTTTAATTTTAAAAAATTATGAGTAGTATTTTATTTTATTAATATTTCACCCTCGAAGGGACTTCCCCAAGTCATTTTAAATATTTAAAAATAAATATCTCAACTTTAATTAATTTAAAATTAAATTAAAATATTAATTTAAAGTAAAGCTTTCTCTTCAAGGTTTTTAATTTTAAAAATATGAAGAATACAAATTTTTTTTTTTTTTCACCCTCAAAGGGACTTCCCCAAGTCATTTTAAATATTTAAAATTAAAAATGTCAATTTTAATTAATTAAAATTAAATTAAAATATTAATTAAAAGTAAAATATTTAATTGTATTAATTTTTCACCCTCCAAGAAGCTTCCCCAAGTCATTTTTAACATTATTTTGAAGCTACCCCAAAAAGCCTTTAATTAGCATATAACAAGAAAAGCCGCTGAATTAATTCAACGCCCACTCGATTTGCTTATCAACTATGAAAATTATCCCCATAAAGCCCCCGGGCGATAAATGACAGCAACAGATACAGATATGGCCATTCGTAACGATATATATGGATATGGGATATGGAATATGGAATATGGATGGGCGACAGTGTGGGATGTCAATAAGTGTGACACACCCCGTTCCCTTTTAGCAATCAATCAATTAGAACAAGGACGAGGCTAATTGACCACCACCGCCGCAGGATGCAGGCCAGGACTCACCTAGTATTGACTTTGTAATGCAAGGAGGGAGCTTTCGCCCGGTCATTAGGTCATTAGCGTTCAAGATAAACAAATGTTTGCCATATCCCATATCCCCACACTCGTGGCGGGGCCATAAAATAGCATTTCACCATTTGTTTATCGTTTACGTACATATAGGATAGATAGGAGGATATATATATATATATATCTATTTAGATATATGTTTGTATATATACATTTCCTTTTCGCAGACAATTATGTGTGTCAATAATTACCGAATGTTGTTTGCCATTTGCCATTTATTTATGGCTTCGTTTATTGTTTAATTGCCAGACAATTTTTGTGTATCGAAAAAATGACATTAACACCCGAATATTCGGGGCACGAAGTGCCAGTAATAGGTGATACACGTAATTGATCTAAATCGTTAAATAATTTATTTTATGTGAGCAAAATTTGTTAAGTATTCAGCATTAAAATGAAGAATTTTATATTGATTATAAGCTATAAAATAAAATTAAGCAAATAATTAATAAATAAAATAAAAAATAAATAAGAATTATTTAAATTAATAATTCAGTGAATGTATTATTTTTAGGGATTTTTTAACAAATATTTATATATATTTAAATATTTTATTATTTTTATTTATATTTTTTTAATTTAAAATAAATAAAAATATATGCTAAATGCATATAAATAACCCGTAATCATTTAATATATATTTTTATTTATTTATTCAATTTAAACTATAATTAAATTGAATTATTTTCTTTAACAAATAAAACTGGCTTCCTCGAAATATCTGCCCTATAAAAATATATTTAGCTTCACCTTATGACTAAACATTGTTTACTTTTGATTGTGCTCGTAGTAATATTTACAAACTTATTTGCCGCAGACACATGGCAACACACACAAAACCCAGCCAGTTAGTTAGTTGATTGTGGTCGAAAGTATTTCCCGGAATGACTTTCCCGGGACCAGGGTCCGAGTCACGCCCCCCACAATTGGCAGTTGTTTTTGGCAAAGCCTTAGGTTGAATTTTATTTATTTATTTAATTTTTTTTTTAATTTTAATTGATATTGTTAGGGAACGATTCATTATTTAGCCACCTGACATGCCATTCCCCCAAAAGGGGAAAAACCATTAAGGGGGGATATACATGTAAACCACACATTTTTTGGGTAAATTTTTTTTGGTTTAAAAAATAGTTTATTATTTAAAGAATATAGTGTGTAAGTTTCATTGTCGAATTCCAACTCTAAGTGCCTCAAATCAAGTATGCACGCAAGGTTCACAAGTGTTAACGTGGGCGCATCAAAAACTTTAAACGTCTTTTTCTCAGCTTCTAATTTTTGCATTTCTACCTATGCTCTGGACACGATTCACAAAAAACTATGTAACATATCGGAGTGAATCAAAAATTATTATGATCAGCATGAAATTATCTTCTATTTGAACCTACATGGTTGTTAAAAAACTGAGTATTACTATTTTTTAAGAGGGTGGGAAGTGAAAACTGATCACCTGAAAATGGCATTTTTTCCTTCAAATCAAAATGTATTTTTTTTGTCTTGATTTCTTTTTGGTTTTTTAGGTTCAAATAGAAGATAAAGGTGTATTGAATACAAAAAAATTTAGTTTACGGATTTTGGACAGGAATTACGAGCTCTATCGTGTCCATAGCACGGCAACTCAAAGCTCGAGGCGCTACGGCATATGTTCCATAAGTCCGCCATTTTGTAAAATATTGTTTATAACTAATTTTTTTATCATCTCTGATTCTACTTTTAACTATATCCAAAGTTTCACGACGATTGCTTGACTATTTCTTATAAAGAAAAATTCACGAAAAATGGCAAAATTTTGACCGCTTACATGTATATCCCCCCTTAAATGGATTTCCAAAAAAAAAAACACTTAAAAAAAAAAGAACAAAAAAGCGAAGTCTTAAAGAAACTGATAATTATAGTAAAATTTATATTCTAAAAATATTATATCCCTTTTTTAAAGTAATTTTTTCAATATTATTCTTTTTTATTAATAATATTATTCTCATACTAAAAGAAAATCTCTGCACAAAATAACAAAATTAAACAGCAAATGCCTCAACACACCGATTTGCAGTTAAAATATTTATTAGCACGTAAAAATATTTACGAGTTGTTTGGGATTTCTCATCGTCAATGGGCCAAGTTTCTGTGCCTTCTTATCTGTCCATTGATATTTGCACTCAACAAAAATAAGAAAATAAAACAAAATAAATAATTAAATAAATAAATAACGCCTCTGGTGTGGGCGGGGCTGGTGGTGTGCTGATTAAGGCCAACTGCTGCTGCTGCTGCTACTGGCTGGCCAGATAATCAAGGAACAGCCAGAGCCCAATTAGCTATTCGGTGAGCACTCCGAGCTCCGTCGTTGTTTACTCAATGCAACGCCGACCTTTCGCCGATCGCACATGGCATGGGCATAGGCGTTTTCTGGTTTTATTTTGTGTTTTTGGCCATGTGAACAATGATGTCATCACTTTAGGTACACAGAAAAAAAATCAAAAAAATATACACAGATTCCTCTGTGTCTAGTCATCAAATTAAACACTTTTCTTAGAACTTTAGTCATAGAACTTAAGGCGATAATTGGAGGTTTCTAGTCATAAACAAAATAATGAAATGAGTAAATAAGTTTACAGAGAAATAAATAATATCGTTTTAAAAATGATATAAAAAATATCGATAACTTATCAAAGTTGTAAAAATATATCTCTTATATCGCTTTTAATTTTAAAATATTTATATTTTCTAAAAAATATTTTTTTTTAATTTTATTTCATTTATGTACCGTTTTTCGATAATGATGTTTCGATATGTTAAACAAATTATCGATTTTAAGCTCATATATCGCATTTTTTTAATATTAATTTGTATATCTAATTTTGCTAGACATTCTCTGTCATTCCCAGACTCATTATCACATTAAAAATATCCTCATTTGATTTATAAAAAAATTTAAAATATAAAAAAATATTTCCTAATCATCAACATATCCCTCCTATTATTAAACATATATTTCTGACAGTGCAGCTATTGATGAATTTTCCAGCCTGTTGCGGATTAGTCAGTGCAATGAATGGAGAGACGTGATTGCAAAGCCCGGCTCGTATCGGATATATATATACATATATATAAGTATATATATACATGGCCAGATATTGAGTGTGCCCGGCAAGTGGGTCGCAACGCGTAGCGATGTCACTCATCTGGCTGGGCACAGCACCAAGTGATGTAATCGGAGGCCCAAAGTCGCAATTGAAATTATATAGCCGGGAGCCGAGCCCCAAGATCACTGAGTGTGAGTAATGCGCTCTAAATAGTTATAATTTTAACTTAGTACAATTTTTTGCTAGATAAATATTGAGAAAAGGCTGGTATAATATTTAGCCTTTGTTAAAAAAATGAGTAATAATATTATAGTATATATTAAAACCCTACTATATCTTTTAAAAAACCTGGTAGAGTTTTATTTATGATTTGTCAGTCACTTTGAGAATTTGATTTGAATAACAATTAAGTTTCAGGTATAAACCGAATGCAGATAAATGCAAATTGTAAACTGAAAGAAAATACATAAAACAAAAGTCTAGCTTAATACTGTCAATCTTTGAATAAAATGTTTGTTTTTCTTTTTTTTTTTTTTTAAGAATTGTTGTGGCAACAATTTGACTCATCGTCTTGCTGATAACTGTTTACAGATGCAAATAAATTTACGTACATAAGTTCTATATAGAATACTATATACAGAACACTTTAGCAATCAATACAGATAGCATATATAGTTTTTATATTATTTTTATATTATATTATTATATTATTTTTATAGATTTTTTGATATATTTTTTTCTATATTTTCTATAATTTTTAATATATATTTTATATATGTACCTTTTATATATTTTTTAATAAATTTGTAAAAACTTTTTATATATTTTTCATATATTTTTTATATTATTTTTATATAATTTTAATATATTTTTAAATATATTTTTTTATATATTTTTTTATATATTTTTTTATACATTTTTGATATATTTTTTATATATTATTAATAATTTTTCTATATACTAGACATGCCTTTCTTTGTGCCAAAGATAAGCGCAACTCGCAAATAACCGAGGAACCTCAGTGTAAACAATTATTCACATCTTGTAAACAAAAAAATATATATATATAAAAAAGGTTAATGGCAGAAATGATTAAGAAATAGCAGAGACAGTGAGGAATATTATCAATAATTTCCAAATAAAAACACAAAAAGGAACCCAATCTATAAAGCCAATCAATTAAAAAATGTGAAGGCAACCTCTTGGGGTTTGTGACAAATTTAGACCGATCGAATTATAATGCCATTGCTATATACCATTTCAGATTTATACAATCTGATGTCATATGTGCTAAATCCGAAAAGTAAGTCTCGGATGCCGCCTTAATTAAGTCACAAAAAATATATATAATAAATTGAGACAGACTAAACTCGACAATTTGACAATTGTATCTGTATCTGTGGATCTTCTGTGTATCTGTGGCTTTGTACCTGATATAAATGAACAATGAAATCAAATTAGACCGAATGGTTTAGGCTATGGATCCGATCGGAGGAGATCAAATAAATGTCTGACATCAGCCAAAGACCAAAAAATTCACAAATCGCTGGATGAGAGGTCATGACATCATCATCTCTCGACATCATCATACTATCAGCATTACGCAGCGGTGGAACATAAAACTACGCACCGGCTTAGAAAATACACAAGAAATATAAGACACAAATAATAACAAAGAGTGGCAAAGCAATGAAGTCATGGGATTTGTTGTGGTCCCAAAACCGGTTGCTGGATCTCCAAGGCCAGGGATGAAAGATACTCAAAGACGCAACAGGAAATTGATTGAAAAGGGGAACGGGGACGGGGACGGGGTGCGAAAACAACAGAGACGCTCACAAAAAAGAATCATTAAAAAAATTAAATAAATACACAAAAAAATATTGTGCCCAAAAAATGCAGCTGCCAGAAAATTATAGCTTGATACATGGAAAATTATAAATGTTTTTTACCAAGAATTAGTAAAATATATAATAATAAAATTGGAGAAAATTATTCCATGAAATAGAGTATATTTTTTTATCTGAAATTTGCTAATAAATATTTTTCTAAGGATTCATAATTAGCAAAATTTAATTTCCTTAAAATTTGTTTTCCTATTTGAAAAAGATGATTAAGCCAAGTTATTTTTTTGTGTTAGATAAGTATTTAATTATTTATTATAATTTAATTATTTTCAAAGACAAAAATCTATATTTTGTATATTATTATTCTCTTTTTTTATTTTTAATATTTTATTTTATTGAATTTTATTTTCTTTTGCTTTCTTTTATTTTGTTTTATTTTTTATATTTAATTTTATTGAATTTTTTATTTTATTTTATTTTTATTTTTTGTATTTTATTTTAATTTATTTTATTTTATATTACTTTAATTTTTGTATTTATTTAATTTTATTTGTATTTTATTATTGTAACTATAGCTTTTTTTTTGATTTATTTTAATTTTAACAATTTCTATTATATACATTTTTTAAGTATTTAATTCTAAATAACTTTTACTTTTACTTGAACTATTTTATCTACTATTTTTTACTAATTCTTGGTCTATCATTTTACTTTTTAAATGTGAATTTTTAGAAACTAAATCAATAAATAATAAATTAATAATAAGTTACAGTTTTTAGCTTACCAACTCAATGATTTTAAGCAGCAGACGATTGTTGAACTCCATGGCGGCGAGTTAAGTTTGAGATTTCGCTTTCGCTTGAGGATATATGTATATATGGGATCAGATCAGATCAGATCGGATTTGGATTGGATTGGAACTCGGTTTTGTTGCGTGCTGATGCCACGGCGTACGCAGGGGAACTGGCTGAAAGTCGAAATGAAAACCGAAAAAAGCGAAAAGCTCGGGCGACGCAGCTGCGAGCCAGCGGACAGCGAAGCCAGCCGCGGCAGAGGCAGAGACAGCAACAGAGTCAGCATTATCTAGACAGAGTTTCCTTTTTTTATGCTTAACATCTGCCAGAAATTAAATAAACATATTTTATAGCATTAAAAATACTTCCTTAGAGCATAAAAATCATAGAAAATGTTTATAAATCTAACAAATCATAATTTTTCATCGATTTTAAATCGATTTATTTTGTGTAAAACTTGTTAAACTTTGAAAATTTAAAATTTTGATATTCAAAAAACGTAATTAACATTTTTTACGGGGTAAACAATACTTCCTAACAGCAAGTAAAGCTGGAAAAAATCATTTTAATCTATTTAAAATCGTTTTATCTGTATAAAAACATCGTAACTTTGATATTTTTACAGAATTTTACCCAATTGCAAGACAAAAAAACCTCTTTAAATAATTTTATATATATTTACTAAGAAATTGTTTACAAAAGTCGTTCTAAATATAAAAAAAAATATTAAGAAAAAAAGAGCTTACTTATGCTAGTCTTCCCCATGAGAGAGGCTTTCAGCTTAAAAACTACGTAAAGAAATCTAAATATGAACCTATGAGCCAGCTATCGAGGCACCCACATAGGCCAGAGCTCGCTCCGCCTCAAAGGCGGGCACATACTGAGGCTGGAGTGAGGTCAGAGCCCGCTGCGTAAGCAAAGCAATGTTCTTCGTTTCGCCGTGATCCCGCTCAAAGGCCAGATACTCGACCCAAACGCGTGGCTCCGTCTTGCCAAAATAGGTGGCCATAAACTCATAGCACATGCGCCAGCACTTGAGACTCGCCTGATCCTGTCAAGAAATAAACAAAAGGAATAATAAAACCAAAATAAAGATGTATAAAATGTATATAAAACCTACACGAACGGCCAGACTGCTCTCCAGCTGAACCATTTTGCGGTGCAGGGCCAGGGACATGGGCGGCTGGATGGCCAGCTTGGAGTATTCCTTGCGTGCCGCCTCCACGGACCGCACCTGCCACAGGTAGCCAAGATAATCGGAGCGCAGCTCACCAAACTCCACGCACGGCGACTTGCAGGCCAAAGCATAGATCTCGTCCAGCCGCCGGGAACCCAGTGCATCCTGACGCGTCCGATAATACAGGATGACGCTGCGCCACAACGGCAAAGCTGCCGCCTCGCTACGCACGCTCCTTTGCATCTTATTGAAGAGCTCGTAAACCTGCGGCTCGCTGTCGTTTTGTATGTGCATGGCCAGCAGGAGTTCATGCATTTCCACGGATGACTCGTCCCGTTTCAAGGCCTCGGTGAGTATGGTGACCGCTGTCTCCCTGCCGCCGGGAGCACTGCCCAGCATCTTTCGCAGCACAGCATAGTGCTTAACGCCCATCATTTTGGAGTGATGGCCCGCTTCGAGGGCATCCGCCAGGCTCTGTTGCTTGAGGACCCGCTCTGTGGTGGTGTCACTGTTGAGAGCCAACATGGCATCCAAATATCGGCTCCACATCTGCTTTGTTTGCACCTCCTCCACCGCCGACTTGTACACGGTAACGCACAGCTGAATGCGTCTCTTGAGAGAGCGGGCATTGGCCTGGTTTCGGGACTTCTTGCTGGCTGGCTGACCATCGCGATTGGCATTATCATCTGCCGGCGGCTCCTCTTCATTCTCCGCCAAATCACCCAGGTGATAGCCACGCAGCTCGCGCTGGGCCAGCAAATCCCAAAGGCCCGGCTCTCTGGGGAACTTCTCCTGCATGTCATCGATGATCAGTCGCTGCAGTTTGTGCGTGAGCTCCGCATGATCCTCGCAGCTCTCCAGGAGCTTCACAAAGTAATCGAGATGTGTGATATTGGTCATACTGTTACGATAAACCGCCTCCACGCGCTCCAGCTTAATGTCCTGCTCGGATAGTGTGTTCTCCGCCAGATTGCGTTCGTTGCTGGCCAGCGAGGCCTCCTTGAGCATGATGTCAAAGAAGCACTTGTTGAGGACCTCGGAATCGGGATGTCTTTGTAGGCCGCGCAGTAGGATATCCTTCACGCGATCAAAGTTGAGGCGATTGTACTCGTAAAGCCAACAGGCGGCGTCCACCCAGAAGTCTGGGACATCGCCATGGTACTAAAAAGAGATAAAATATTTTTTATTTATTTTAAAATCCTGGTAGATTCTACCCACCAGCAGCATCTTTTCGTATATGCCCGCCACCTCAACGGGATTGACCTTTTTGCTGAATTTGATCCAATTGTTCCATAGCCGGCGGTCATGCGGGAATTTACCCAGGACCTCGCGGTACAAACGCATAATGCGGGTGGCCAGCGAGGCCTTCAAACCTGTCAGCTTCACGTGCATCTTCTTCTCCTTCTCGGTGATGGTCTGGTGCATGTCCTTCTCGTACAGTATGAACTCTAGATAATCGCTGATGGTGAGGTGGCTCTTGGTGATCTTCAGGAACAGGCGTTCCCGCCGGCTAACTATGTCCCTGCAAGAAATGGTTCGTTTGTAATTGTTGGCCCAGGCCCAGGCACCGGCTCGCTGCTCTCTCACCTGACCTGATCCGGCGTGAATACATTGTAGTTTTTCATCTGCTCGTATTCCGGCAGCAGGCGCTCCTGCATCTCAGCTATGAACTCGGCCATGTTTCCTTCAGCTTAAATTCAGCTAAACAATATTGTTTATTTCTTTAAAAAACGAGCGCACGTGCAATACAACGGTCCTGTTATCGATTGGCATTATCGATAAGTCACAGCTGATTAGCTATCAAAGTCGTTAGAGAAGGCACTTGAATATACAAAAAAAAGCCAAAAGTATTATAAATAGAAAATTAAAAGTTCAAAAGTAAAAAATATTAATTAAAATTCTTGTTAAATATAAAATTTTAAATTTATTTTATTTATTTTATATGATTAATTTATTTAATATAAATTAAATTATGAATTATTAGCTAAATCCCCTGAAAATAGCCAAATCCAATCAAAGCTTTTTAAACTAGCTAAATTTGGCTAGAAGCCAGCTAAACTGGCCACACTGGCTGCCCGGCGCTCCGTTGCAATCGAAACTTTCGTGTGGCACTCTTTTAAAAACGAATCCCGCGGCTTCTGAACCCTCGGACACAACCCAGTGAGCACCGAATACCAACAGCATGGCCGCTGCAAGTGGAGAACTGTCCAAGAAGTAAGTGTCCCCGAAAGAATCCGCTGGCCAACGCAGCACCGCAGCGCAGTGTTGTTGTGTGAGGTTAGGGCGAAGCTCCCAGTGCGGCGGCAACGTTCCAGTTGTGGCAGAGCTAATGAAATATCTTGTGCATAAAAATATACAATTGACGAAAAGAAAATGCTCGCCCGCTGTGCCCTGAGAGCACTTCTGCAGGCCTGGCGACCGAGAGCCGTGGCCTCCAGTGGCGGACAAGGCGTCGTTGCCTTCCACGTGAGCAGCCTGCAGTTGGCACCCAGCAAACGGACCAAACTGTGGGTTACTCATCTTGCTTTAGGCTGTCGTAACAGATAGCGGGGATGTAGGGGGAGTCCTCACCCAGGTCACTCCATAATCCTCTGTTATCCCGACAGTCTTCTTGAAAAACTACTTATTTACCTGGACATTTTCCCCTTCCTTTCCAGTGAGCTCAAGCGCCGCCTAAAGGCCGAGCAAAAAGCTAAGGAAAAGGCCGAAAAGGAGGCCACTCGGGCTGCAGCTCCAGCTGCAGATGGTGCACAAAAGAAGAAGAGCAGCGCCGCCGAGGAGGAGGAGATCTCCCCAAATGAGTACTTCAAGCTTCGCTCTGCCGCCGTACAGGAGCTAAAGCGTTCACCGAGCACCCATCCGTATCCACACAAGTTCCATGTGAGCACATCCCTGGAGGATTTCATAACCAAGTACGAGACCAAGCTGAAAGACGGCGAGACGCTGGAGGATGTCACTCTCAGCGTGGCTGGACGTGTCCATGCCATTCGTGAGTCTGGAGCCAAGCTGATATTCTACGATCTGCGTGGAGAGGGTGTTAAGGTTCAGGTGATGGCCAGCGCCAAGTCCTACAAGTCGGAGGCCGAGTTTGAGAGCGACACGGCCAAGCTGCGTCGCGGCGATATCATCGGTGTGATAGGTCATCCCGGCAAGACCAAGAAGGGTGAACTGTCGGTGATGCCCACGGAGATCCAATTGCTTTCACCCTGCCTGCACATGCTGCCGCATCTGCATTTTGGGCTTAAGGACAAGGAGACGCGCTACCGCCAGCGGTATCTGGATCTCATTCTCAACAACAAAGTCCGCGAGAACTTCCAGATTCGCGCCAAGATCATTTCGTATGTGCGCCAGTTCCTGGACCGTCTGGGCTTCCTGGAGATCGAGACGCCGATGATGAACATGATCGCCGGTGGAGCCACAGCCAAGCCCTTTGTAACGCATCACAACGAACTGAAGATGGACCTGTTTATGCGCATTGCCCCCGAGCTGTACCACAAGATGCTGGTGGTGGGTGGCCTGGATCGTGTCTATGAAATTGGCCGCCAGTTCCGTAACGAAGGCATTGACCTCACCCACAATCCGGAGTTCACCACATGCGAATTCTACATGGCCTATGCTGATTATGCCGACATTATGGACATCACCGAACAGCTAGTCTCGGGCATGGTTAAGGCCATTCGTGGCTCCTACAAGATCACCTACCATCCCGAGGGTCCCGAAGGACCCGAACAGGAGCTAGACTTTACGCCGCCCTTCAAGCGCGTTTCCATGATCAAAACGCTGGAGGAGAAGCTGCAGGTTAAGTTCCCATCGGCGGATACTTTTAATACGACAGAAACCAATCAGTTTTTGTCGCAGCTCTGCGCCAAGCATCAGGTCGAGTGCCCAGCTCCGCGCACCACTGCCCGCCTGCTGGACAAGCTGGTGGGGGAATTCATCGAGGAGTATTGCGTGAATCCCACTTTTATTTGCGAGCATCCGCAGATTATGTCGCCGCTGGCCAAATATCATCGCAGCTCGCCGGGATTGACGGAACGTTTCGAGCTGTTTGTGGCCAAAAAGGAGATCTGCAATGCCTACACCGAGCTGAACGATCCGGTGGTGCAGCGGGAGCGCTTCGAGCAGCAGGCCAATGACAAGGCCGCCGGGGATGATGAGGCCCAGCTGGTGGATGAGAACTTTTGCACTGCCCTGGAGTATGGTTTGCCGCCCACCGGTGGCTTTGGCATGGGCATTGATCGTCTGGCCATGTTCTTGACCGACTCCAACAACATTAAGGTATGTTTTATATTTGGAATATTTTATTTTAGATTACATGTTCTTATCTCTCTTTTAGGAGGTTCTTTTGTTCCCCGCCATGAAGCCAGAGGAGGCCAATCGCACGCCAGCGGCAGGTGAGACTGCCCCAGGCAGCCATCAGCAGCAGCAGTAGGGTGTCTCTCCTTCCCAACGCCATCGTTCATCACTCAACCTCAAATCCCTATCCTTGTACTTGGCGCTGCTACTTTTTAACTTATTCAATGGTTAATGAATAAAAAGAAAACATTATTTTTTTCCCAATTTAGCCATTGAGTTTTTTTCTAGCAAATTTTTTATTAGCAAAGTTGATTGAACTTAAACTTAGGTAATTTTTTTGCTTAACGATTATCTGTACATGTTTGGAACTGTCACGTAAACCTAATTATTTTATTAGTATTTTTGTTGTTGCTTAAATTTGTATTAACTTTCGATGCTACCCCGCCTTGAAGGGTAGGTCACGATGATACGCTTATCTTCTAATATTGGGGATATCAATTGTGTAAACAACATGCGGATTTGGAATTGTATAAACAACATGCGGATTTGGAATTATATAAATAACATACGGATTTGGAAGCGATTGTGTTGGTGTAAAAATGATTTCTTAAGGATGTTGGTGTAAATCGAAAAAGGATGTTGGTGTAAAACGAAAAAAGGATGTTGGTGTAAAACGAAAAAAGGATGTTGGTGTAAAACGAAAAAAGGATGTTGGTGTAAAACGAAAAAAGGATGTTGGTGTAAAACAATTTTTGAAGGAATTGTATAAACATGCAGTTTTCCATCCCTCGGAGGATGATTTCTTAAGGATGTTGGTGTAAAACGAAAAAAGGATGTTGGTGTAAAACAATTTCTGAAGGAATTGTATAAACAACATGCAGTTTTCCTTCCCTCGAAGGGAATCTGTTGGTGGAAAACGATTTCTTGGGGAATGGCTCGTCTGTTTTTAGCTTTAAATTGGAGTTGGCTCTGCTGGCTTCCGATAGATGCGGCCCTTCTTACGCATGTATTGATGGATAAAATCATACGATTTGTGTCTTACAGATTCCGTGCAGGACAGAGCATGTCCGGACTCGTCACAATAACGCATCTCCTTGGCAGTGATGTGTTGGCTCAACTGGAAGAGGGGGAAAACAACAGAAGGATAAATCATTAAAATAAGAAAGAAATATACTTAAATTATAATTATAATTTTATTACTAATTATTTGTATACCCTCAAAACAAAGGCTGAAATACGGCTCGAAACTCACCCGCTTAATCAAAAACTTGTAATCCTCATCGCTGCAAATGCGTCCCACTTTGCAGCTCTCCTTGCGATAGGGACGTAGAATCTCGGCCACCAGGCCGCTGACATCGAAGCGGAACTTCTCCTGGGCCTCCCTTAGCTTAGCAGGTGGCAAAGTGCTGGAGAAGATTGCAAAATAAAACCAATTAAATTAAAAAAAAAAGTTTTAAAACACAGGCAGCATACCTCTTGATCTTCTTGGGACGATTCTCCGAGCGTTGCTTCTTCAACTCCGGCACATGGGGCGGCATCGGCAGCTTGCGCTTGCTGCCTCCCACCGAGCCACTGGCCAGAGCCGCCAGGGCAGCCTGGCTGGTGCTCGGCTCCATGTTGAGTGCATCCAATTCGTCCACCTTGAGGCCACCCACCAGTAGGGGCGTCTCTCCGCCAGCAGTCACAACGGCAGCAGTTATATCCGCCGCTTCCTCATCCGACGAGTAGAGATAACCCTGTATGGGCAGGGAGTTGCCAGAAGACTCATCTGGGTTAGGAGCTGCAGCTGCCACCTCGCCATCTGGCTTGCGCCGGCGATAGATCTCTTTGCGGCGTCGGATCTTCTCCTTGTTCTCCTTGTATTTGCGCGACTCCAGCTGGTTGTACAGGCGATCCTCGTCCCGCCGGGGACTGATCACACGGACGGAGACCAAGCGATTGCGTCGCAGCTCCCGGCGTTCCCTTACCTTGGCCTCGATGTATTGGGTCAGGGATTTCGAGCTAAGCGAGCCCACATAGTCGGTGTCCACTTGGATGAGCTCGGTGGCATGCAGCTCGGGTTCATTTTGTAGCTCATGCAGCGGCTGCTGCGTTGCTGCTGCTGCTGCTGCCGTGTCCTCCTCCAGCATTAGGGTCTGGAGACGCTGCTCAGCGCTTGGAGGCTCCCATTGGGAGATGCGCTCACGGAGATGATAGTAATAGATATAACCATCGGGCGTCCTACGCCACTCCCAGGCCGAGGGCAAGGGATCTACTCCAGCAGGGAGTTTATACTCCACAGCTTGACCACTTGAAGGGGCATCCTCGGCATCCTCCGGCGAGACCATGGCTTGGACTTGCTGAGGTGCCGGCACGGGCATATCCTCGTTGTTGAACCACTCCCCCGTCTCGGTGTTCTGGTAGAACGGCAGCTGCTTGGTGTCGACCTTTAGATCCAGGCCAAAGAACTCGCAGCGCAGCTCGTGCTCCCGCCAATCCTCGCTGCAAACCCGCTTCTCCGCCTCATCCAAGGCCACCTTGCGCTCAAACAGACTCCGCCTTAGCTCCTTGGATATTATGCGTCTGGGCTCTGTGGAAGATCCTCCCAGATCGGATCTTCGACGATTATCGTTTCGTATTTGGCCACCAGTATTGGTGCCACCATTACTACCATCCATGGCTCCATTGCTGCCCTTCGATTGGTTGGTGATAGTGCAAATGGTATTGTTGCCACTCATCCGTATGGGTTTGCTGCTAGTCCTACTGCTGGTGGTGTCCCTGCGGAAGCGATCCTGTCTGTAGCGATCGCTGGTGCTCTCCCGCTGCTCCCGTTGATCCTCCAGAGCAGTGCCCTGCAGCTTCTGCTGGCGATCCGCCTCGCGTTCATGCTCCTTCATCTGCTCGATGCGCTCACGCTTGGGTATGCGGAAGATCTCTGGGAGAGCCTGCCATTTCTGGAGCAGAGCCACCATGCGCTTGTGCAAATCCGACTGTGCCGGGTCCATCATCTCTGCTCCCTCGGGTGGTGGCGGCTCCAGGCTGCTGCTCCACAGCTGGACACTCTGGTAAACCCGACTGTCGTTCAGCATGGTGCGATTGGGTATGGGCAGGGACTCCAAGGCATCCAGGAGTGCCACCCTCAGCTGCTGATCATTGCCATTCTCGCTAATCCAGGCATGGAGCAGCCTCAGACCATGATAGTCCAGGAACAGCCGGCGGCAGGGCAATTCCCCGCGTGTGAGAACCACCAGGAGTTGGAGGCGGGTCTGGAGTAGCTTGGCTCTTACCATGCAGCGGGAGAAGCGTAAGGTGTCCACCTGGTTCTTCAAACCACTGCGACTAAGCTGGGAGAGCTCCTCCAAGACATCGGGATCCTCGAGCATGGCATGGAACTTGCTGACCTTGGGCTTACGGGTGGCCTTTTCACCCGAGGCAGCGGCACTGCTGGGCTTTAGCCAGCGTCCAGCCTTGTATTCCCGATCCTTGGGCTTGACCTGCTGTGGCTGCTGCTCCTTGCGTTTTCTGCTGGCCACCGGCAGCTTGACCTTGATTTTCGTGGGCATTTTGGCTTTGGTTATCTTCCTCGACTCGCCCGCCTCCTGGTCAGCTGTTTCCGTCTCCAGTTCCAAGTCCTCCTCCAGCTCTGCTTCACTATCGCTGTCCGCATCCAGCTGCTCACCCTCATCGGAGTCGGGTTCGCCGCCTATCCAGCCCCGGCAATTGGTGGCCTCGCAATAGCAACGCTGAGCATCCTTGCCATAACGCTGATACTGATAGTCAAAGGTGATCTCCTCGCCAGGTTGGATGGGTTTCACACTGAAGAAACCTATGCGCAGCTCCCCGTTAACGGTCCACTTTTGGGTCTCGGCATTCGGATCGCAACTGTGATTGATGAACCGCGAAATGTTGCCCTTGGAGGTGGCATCGATAATGGCCTCGCCGCGCAAAGCCATAAAGTAATAGTGCCGCTTGCGATCCTTCGAGTAGAGATGTTGCCGTCGCTCGAACTCCTCGCTATCGATGACCTCGCCCACATATTCCATGATGAATTCACCGGGTGGGATTTGCAGTTCGGCTGTAATGCCGCAGCCTTTTTTCTCGGTACGAAAGACACGGCAGGGCCAGCATTGATGCTGCTGGAAGCGTTTGTTGGTGCAGCGATCGCCATTGGTGCACAGGGGGCCGCACTCGATCATTAGCATTCGGTTGATGCAGCCGGCGCCGCAGCAGAGGTGTCCCTGGGCCTCCTCGTCGCCTGTGAGGAAGCAGTCGCACTGCATCTCGGCATTCTCTTGGCTCACCTGTGAGAGGAAGAGAAGAGGGAGGAGGAGGAGAAGGAGAAGGATTAGTATATATTCCCGTTCTTAGTTAATCCAAACTTCAACTTACCTGTCTGGCGCATCGGTAAAAGTTCTCCCTCAAAGCCTGAAAGGTATTAAGTCCTTCGCTGCGCAGAAACTGCTCGTTGATGGCCTCGATATTGGCCAGCTCGGCCAGTTGCTCATCCATACTAATCGGAGCCAAGGCCATGCTGGTCACACCCCTGCCCTGGCTAGCCTTGGGCCCTTGGGGCTTCTGCTTGATGCGATGCGAGCGACGAACGCCACCATTGTTGGAGGAGGTGGAGGAGGAGCAGGTCTCCTCCGAGTTGGATTGCGTGGGCGAGGGTGAGAGCGTGGTATCCGGTGTCTCCATATTGGCCACTCGCTGCGAAAACTCATCCTCCTCGGTAAGGGTCGGTGGAGGCGGCTCCTCCGTCTGTCCCTCTTTTCCTGGCTGGGACTCGTCCTCCTCATCGGCCACCTTGTAATCCCGCTTCAGAAGATTGACCCCATCCTCTATGAATTTGGCTATATCCTTGAGGGTATCGGGTGCTTCTTGCTCAGGCGAACGCTGAATCTTGCTCCCCGAAGAATTGGACTCCGAGGACTCTTCGTTCTCAAGGATTAGGAGTTTCTTTTTATGATTATTCCCTTGTCCTTGAGAGGTACTGGAGCTGGAGTCTAGGGAATCCTGGCGGCTCAGTGACGAAGTCTTGTTGCTTTTTCTGGCTCGCTTCTTGCCAGCGGATTTGTGGATGTCTGGCAAGAGATCAGCCGAGGCCTTGGGATGCAGCGAGTAGCGACGCTTGGTCACCGGTACAGCTGGACTGGCCTCAGCTTGGCGCTCTTCGCATATGGTATTCCGACGCAGTTCCAGTTTGGTGGGTATGGGAGAGTCGGCTTTATCCTTGATCTCGGAGGAGTCTCTGCTCTTTGAGGGATTTCGTTTTGCAGAGGCATCCGCGGAGGAGGATCCTTGGGAAATTGTTGGTTGAGAATCTTCAGATATTGTGCTGCGCCTGGAATTTGGTTTGGTTGTAGTTTTGGCTCGCTTGGCTTTGCCCAGGGGCGTGGTGACCCGTGTGGGTGGTGTTGTGGTGGCATCAGAGCTAGGGGAGCTGCTTCTTTCCAACTTGGGTGAATCCTCGTAGACGGTATTCCTGCGACAGCTTGTGGTTCTGTGTACCAGCGACTTTTTTGGTAGAACTAGGGGTGAAGAGGAGGAGGAGGTGGAAGTGGAGTTGGAAGAGGAGGAAGTGCAAGTGGAGATGGAGACTACCGGCACAGGGGATTCCACCTTGCTTGGCTGCACTTTCTTAATCTTTTTCTTGCTCTTCTCCTCCAGTCTCATCTGGGCATTGGCCTTATCCATGGCCTTGAACATGGCATCGCATTCCACAAAGAACTTGTCTTTGGTTTTATTGGGCGTGGAGCTGTCGCTTGATGGCTTTTTTGCGCTTGCTTCACTTTTGGGTGAATCCCTTGAAGCCGTTTCCATTTCTTTTTCGGTAGGAGATTTTCGTTGATCTTTCTTCTTGGTTAAAACCATATTTTCTGGTGAGGACTTCTCGCGTTCCATTTCTTTTTTGGTTCCCGAAGAGGGGACTACCTTTACAGGTTTGATTGACTTGCTGGAAATGGCTTCTGTTTCCATAGTTTTTTCTTGTTTCAAGGTGACCTGTGTGAGTTCTCTGGAAGGTGAGCTCTTATCCTTTATTCCTGGCTGAGTTTTCTTGGCTTCTTTTAGATCTTTTACTGCTGCGGATGTCGAGGTCTTTCTTTCTGGCCCAGTTGGCTTCTTGGTCAGGCCTTCTTTCTTGGACTTTTTCATGCTTACCGCGGCTGATGAGGAGGAAGACAAAGACGAGGACGAAGAAGACGACGACGATGAAGACGACGACGACGACGACGAAGACGAAGAAGTCGAGGATGACGATGAAGATGATGAAGCTGAAGCTAATCTCTCTGGCAACTTGGACTCCTGCTGCTCTTCCTTCCTGCCTTTTTTGGTTTCCTCGCTTTCCGCTGGTTTTGCTCCTGCTACTGCTATGGAAACCTCTTGCTTGCTTAAAGCCTTTAGCTCAGGCTGCTCACCCCTTCCAAGCTGTTCATTTGATGTTGTTTGGGTTTCATTTTCATCATTTGACAAATGAGCCGTCGGCTCCACTTCGAGCTTTGTTTGTTTTTCACTCTCATTGAATATTAGCTGAGTAGCTTGGGATTCCTCCTCTACTGGCTGTGGTGACTCCTCTGGGTTCATGGAGGCGGGTGGTAAATCTTTAACTTGTAGCTTGGACTGAGCTTCTGGTTCTGGGGTTACCACAGGTTCCAAAGTCTCCACAGTCTCCATAGGCGCTACTGTCTCCACAGGCGCTACTGTCTCCTCAGGCGCTACAGTCTCCACAGGCGCTACAGTCTCCTCAGGCGCTACAGTCTCCACAGGCGCTACAGTCTCCACAGGCGCTACAGTCTCCTCAGGCGCTACAGTCTCCATAGGCGCCAGAGTCTCTACAGGCGCTTCATTCTCCACAGGCGCTACAGTCTCTACAGGCGCTACAGTCTCCACAGGCTCTACAGTCTCCACAGGCGCTTCATTCTCCACAGGCGCTTCATTCTCCACAGGCGCTACAGTCTCCACAGGCTCTACACTCTCCGCAGCTTCCGCAGTCTCCACAGGCTCTAACGTCTCCACAATCTCCACATCCACCACATCCTCCTCCTTTATAAGCAACTTTTCCTTTGAGGTTATAGTTTCTTTCAGGGATTTGGTGGAGTCTTTCCTTACTTCCTTTTGAGGCTGTTCCCACTCAGTGGACGCTTTAGACTCTTCTCCAGGCATTGGCTCACTTTTAGTAGCTTCCTCTTTCAGTGTGAACTCAGCAGCAGCTGCAACTTTCGAGCTTGAACCCATTTCCTCCTCCTTCTTGACTTCCTTTGCCTCTGAAAGTACTTCCACCTTCTGAGGCTCATCTTCTTTAACACGAACTACCTCCTCTGCCTCCAGGCCACTCTGGCTATCATCCTCGATGAGATCTATTAGCACATGCTGCTCCTCCTCCTCCTCCTCCTCCTGACCCTGTGACTCCTCTGATTCTAGGATTTGCTTGCTGCTCTCAGCGGCTATCTCGGCAAAGGTTTCCTCCAGGGTTTTACCCTGACTGGTGGATCCCAGCGACATGGCTGATCTCCTGCTGCGCCGCGGTGCCGGTGATGATGATTCAGTGGATTCCGGTGCCGCTGGCCTGCCCTCCTCATCATCTTCATCGTCGGCAGACCAGAGACTAGGTGGCTCACTCAGTACCTCCACCATAATCTCATCGAGATCTGGCTCCTGCTTTTCGAGATCAATTTCGATTTCTTGCACTTGGGCAGGAGGCAGGAGCTCCTGCTCTGGCTTCTGCTGGTCCTGTCCCTGCTCCTTTTCGTGCTCCTCCTCCTTGCCCGTGTCCGACGTCTCAATTTCTATAAATATAATCTGCGAGTCGGAATCTGAGTTATCCCCCGGCACATGAATTGTGGCTAGCTCCTTGAGTGGTTGCTTTTCCGGCTCCTCATCCAAGGCATTCTCATCCTGCAGCACTAGGGGATCCCCCACTGACGAGGAAGACGACGGCGGTGAGGTGCAGGCACCCACCACAGTGATATTTAGCGGCGTGTCTCCCGAATCCGATGACTCCAGACGACGCGACAAGTTCAAACGCTTCACCGAGACGCGTAGCTTGGACTTCCGCTTGAAGCCGGCAAAGGCTCCGGCTGCCGCCTCGCCGCCACTGCCGCTGCCCGTGGAGGTGCTGGTGCTGGTGGAATTCGAGTTGGTGTCCGAGTCCGAGCAGCTGGGAGCGGTGGGAGTAGCAGCCACAGCCACAGCAACTGCCATTTCTGGCGGTACACTTTTCCGTGGGCGACCGCGCTTCCGGACAGCCACCACGGGCAGGGCAGCCACTGTCTGAACGGGACTGACGCTGGGCTCGCTGGTAACCTGGGCCACGATCAGACTTTGTGTGGGTCTGGGCTTGGCAAAGATCTCCAAGGCATGCGGCGGCGGTGGTGGTGGCGGCAGGGACTGGTGGCTGCTCTCGAACATGGAGAACAGGCGATTGCTATTACCGCTGGCGGCTGTGGCGGCGGCGGAGGCTGGAGCCGAGCCAGTTGCAGCCGTGGTTGGGATGCTGGTATTGGTATTTGGATTCGAGTCGATGCGTGCCTCAATTTGGATTTTGTGAGCCTTCCGGTTCTTGCTGAGCAAATCCCGCACATCGAACTTGATGATCTTCTTGCGCGAGCTACGCCGGCACTCGTTGGGGCTGCCATCCGCATCAGCCTCCAGGGACGTGGGTGATGCCGCAGCTGCAGCAGCAGCAGAAGCAGCAGCAGCTGGAGAATCCCGTTTCACAGAGGCCCACTTTGGCGGACGACCGCGACCGCGGCCACGTGACGCAACGGCTGGCTGGCCGGAGTAACCCATTGCAGAGCCGGACAACTCCTCCATGGCTGCGATTCCTAGGCGGGAAAAGTAGAAAGATAACGGTCTGATTAGGAACACAAACAGCACAGAAACCAATCAAATTAAAACCAAACCGATCGATCATTCACCGGAACACGATTTCTACTTCTTTTTTTTTCGTTTTCGGCTTAGTTCTCCTTTTCTTTCTGTTCTTTTTTCTTCAGAAAGCGATCTTCAGTGCGCGGGAAAGGAACGGCATAATTTACAGCTAGCTTTTGGGGCGCCAGCTTGTTGCCAATTGTCATTTTTTATCACTTACACAGGGCAAAGCACTGACAGATCCTGTGATTTCTTTACTTTTTCGCTTCTGTGGGTTGTTTATACACTTGCATGTAGAGATGACATAATGGTGGTCGACTTCGCCGACTATCGATAGGCTTAAAAGGGGTCGAGCTATCGGTGGCTCACGAGGAGGGGGTGGGTGTTGCTGGCTGATTGGGGTACTTACTTTTCAAAATATCTTCAAACTAATTTAATTTTATTTTAATTTATTAAAGTGCTAGGAAAATAAACAAATTAATTAATAAAACTAAATTTATAAATTTTTTGTTTAATCAATTTTAATATTAAATATATATTTAAATGTCCTTAAACTAAATTCTTATTAGAATTTATGTACTTTTACATTTGCAAATTCTTTATTGTTAACTAAATGAAACCAATATAATAAAATTAATTAAAAATAATAATTAGTATAGCTCAGTTTTAGATATTTCTGTACAAGTGTTACTTTATGCCTAAAAATATAAACAAATATTTATGTAAAAGAGTATGTTTACGTATGTATGTAAAAACCAAATGTAAACATATCGATAGTTTCATCGGCTCTCTCTTTTGCATGTGTGTGTGTGTGAACTTTCGCTTAAAGCGGAGAAACTGAAAAATTCAAAATCATATTTCTAAAAACTCGAATTTTTAATGTCCAAAGTTAACAGCATAAAATAAAATTGCCCAATGCGATCGACGACATCAATAAAAATCAATACAACGCACACTAGAACCCAGAACTCCGTTCAAGGATGACAGCTGATGGGAAATAGAAAAATCGAAGTGCCGTTAAATGTCAAGGACACGGAAAACCAAATAAAGAGCCACAACAAATAGGAAAAGTCGCAAAAGCAACAATTTAGGAAAGGTTTCGATCAGTTTCGAAGGACAACGGTGAAAATAAAGCACAATAATATCCGTAAAATATGTCAAATCCGGTGCACGGAAGACCGCCAAATAATTCCGGCTCTGCCGGATCCTCCTCCTCCTCCTCCTCGTCCACGTCCTCATTATCCTCCCCCTCCGCTGCATCGCCCGTTTCGGTAAGCCTGCAGCAGCCGGCTGGGAACAGCAACTTGTCGGGCGGTGGCAGCCTGAAGGAGAAGGTGGGGCTGCCAACGGTTTATCTTAACCTTAACGAGGTAAGTGAACCTTTATCCTGGGAAATGTTAGATTGTAATTTGTTTCCCATTTCCTTTTGTTGTGGCAGCATGCTGGCAAGGAGTCGGCCTCCTGCTCGCCGCTCCAGCACTGGGACGATACCCGCACCGCCGATGTCTGGCTATCGTCGCTGCACAGCGTCATCTTCATTATCACCTGCGCCCTGGCTGCTTTCATTCTGTTTCGCAATGTGCTCACCTGGTAATCTCGGCTAGATCTGGCTCTCTCTTTCTCACTATCTCGCTCTTGAATATACCCTAGCAGATGACAATCGAAATTTATCTAATTTTATTTATCGATCAAAGACTTTTTAAGATATTTCTTATTAAAATATTAAATAATTCATTAATTTTAAATTTACTTTAAATTAGAAAATGTTTTTAGATCTTTAAAATTTTAATTTGAAAATTTAAAACTTCTTTCAATTAGAAAAGATTTTTAAATCTTAAAATATTTTATTTTAAAATATTAATTAAATTATTTAAAAATTTCTTTTAATTTGAAAAGGTTTTTAGATCTTAATTTAAAAAAAAAAACCTTTTTTTGATAAGAAGATCCTTTGAGTACATCGTTTTTTTAGAAAGAAATCTGCATTGTTTTTTTAATTATTATTGTTTCATTTAATTTTACTTATCTTTTACATTTTATAAAGAGGTGAGCTGCTAGGGTATACAAAGCTTCGGTGTCCGAAGACAGGCTTTCTTTCTTCCCCACTCTCACTCTCACTCTCTCTCTCTCTCTGTGATTTTTTTGAGCGCAAAACTCGGGCTTGAGCTCTGTTTTTTGTTTATTTTTGTGAGCTGGGTTTTATTTTTGCTGCTCGATTCGGCGATCAAAAATTGGCCAGTTGCTCTTGCGACGCCCAGTAGCAAAGACGGAACCGTGCGGAAGACACGGAAGAGACAGAGAGAGAGTGAAGAATTGAAGAATTTGCCGGGGGAGGGAAGAATTAGAACGAAACGCGTAGAAAGTGCCAACGATGGAGGAGAAATTCACAGAGGTTTCCTATTTGTATGCCAGGCATTTGCAGAGCTTTTGGGGCGCCTCCGGAGATTTCTGGCAGTCACAATGGGACAAATTCATTGACTCCTTTGGTAAGTACATAAATCTTGAAAAAAAGAAGAGAAATAACGGAAGAAACGAAAAAAAAAAAACACAAAGAATGAAGAAAGAAGAAAGCTGGGACAGGGGCAAAAGTCAGAATCTAAACTTTGCTCCTCTCTTTGCGGATTGCAAATTGCAATTCTCACACAAAATGTCAACAGCAACTGTTTTGTTTACTAATTCTCGGCACACAAAGCTGCAGAGATACACACAGCCAGAGATACAGATACAATTACAGCTACAACTACAGATACGGATACAATCACTGGGCAGAAGTGCTGCCAATTACGAAAGTGAATCGTCGCGGTTACTCATACCACAATTTTCCAAAACCAAATATATGAACTCTTTATTTAAGTTCACTTAAATTAAGTCAAAACATAGCACTTTTTGAATTTTAACTTTTTTTTAAATATAAATTCTCTGTATTTCGAAGTTCTTAATTTTATTTTTTAATTTATTTTGTGCTTTTTATTTAGACTTCTATTTATACATGGCAAATATTTATATATTGTTGACCAAACAAACCAAAGGTTTTATCCATAAACTTGAAATAGCTTAAGCTTACACTCGGTAATTAGTGATCTTCAGGGGGGTTTTTTCTTTTATTAGTTTATTTTGTTTATTTTTGTACTACTTAAACAATTAAAGTTGCACTTTTATAACCCCATTAAAATGACAGGTTGTTCCCCAACATTAAGCTTATTTATCATAAATTTTTTTTCTTCAAGCATAAAAAATAATGAAGAAATTTTATTCTTCATTTAATTTGCACTTTCAAAGACAATTTCTAAGGAAGTTTACCAGAATCGCAAATACCCATATAGTATAATGAAAAAAATATTATTCTTAATTTAATTTGGAATTTAAAAATCAAAGAACTCCTAACGAAGCTTGCAAGAACCCTTAAAGGTCCTGAAAATACCGGAAATGTAAAGAACTGTCTTATTACGGTCTTTTCTTTCTCCCTCTTAAGATAGCTTGATTTTGGTAAAGATTATTTTTGTGCCCGAGAGCCGTAACTCTCTTCTTAGCTATTAAACAGGTCTGGGCACTGAATATCAGGCTCGAAGCCTAGCCACAATCCCGAATATAATCCCAAATTAAGTTGCTAACTAAACAAAATCTAAACTCTCAACCAATATCCTTCTTGCAGGCGATGAGCCCATGGTGCTGTGGGTCTTTGGCACCACCATTTTCACCATGATCGTCTACTGGACCGTGGGCACCCTGTACACATTCATGGACCTGACCAACCGACCCGCCTGTCTGCGCAAATACAAAATCCAGCCGGGCACCAATGAGCCGGTGGAAGTGCGTCGCCTCCTAAAGGTTTTCGATTGATTGATTTAATTGTGCAAAAGCATCAATTGACCTTATATCAATTTTGTGATAGGTTATCTGGTGCGTGGTGTGCAACCAGATCTTTGTGGGCATACCTCTGGCCTATGCCAGCTACCGGCTGATGGAGATCCGGGGACTCAGCGATATCCGGGATCTGCCCACATTCCATTGGGTCTGCTTCGAGCTGACCGTCTGCATCCTGATGGAGGAGCTGGGCTTTTACTACTCGCACCGCCTGCTCCATCACAAGCACATTTACAAGTATATCCACAAGCAGCATCATGAGTGGACGGCCCCCATATCGGTGACGGCCATCTATTGCCATCCCATTGAGCACATCTTTAGTAATCTGTTGCCGCCCTTTCTGGGCGTCTTTCTGATGGGCAGCCATGTGGCCACCGCCTGGCTATGGTTTGCTCTGGCCATACTCTCCACCCTCAATGCCCATTCCGGCTACCATTTGCCGTTCTTTCCCAGTCCCGAGGCCCATGACTTTCATCATCTCAAGTAAGTATTGCAGATTATTTGTTAAATTTAATATTTAATTTGGTTTTTTATGATAGATTCAACAACTGTTTTGGGGTTTTGGGTGTCCTGGATCGCTTGCATGGCACCGATTCTTTGTTTAGGGCCACCAAGTCCTATGCTCGCCACATCATGATGTTGAGCTTCAAGCCGCCGCGAGATGCTTTTCCGGATTCAACGATGAAGTGAAGCTTCTGGAAAGAAGTTATCTTGTGCAGCAAGCATTTCTAACTCTCTCTAACTTTCTTTCTATCTCAATCTGTGCATACAAAAACTTTTAATTGTGATAAAACAGGGCACGAGGATCCTATTTTGTACACCTCACCTACCCACACCCACATCCACATCCACACACATGCATCATGTATTCGTTGTGCGAAAGCCCCAAAAACCAAATGAATAAAGCGTGAATGTAAATTGTACTAATGAAGGAGTTTTGGGAAGGATGTGGAAGAGAGGAAATATCGTATATCGATGTAAATATTGCGATAGAAAATATCCTTAAACCATTTCCGATATATTTTCGATTATATTGGTAAGATATTAAAAATCAATATCGATTTATTGCACATACTAGAGCTACAAATAAATCTATTTTCAGTGTATCTATTTTTTTTTTTTTTTTAATTTAAAAATATATCGATTTTTCAGATAGATTTTTAGATCGAATTTTCAGGAAAATATGGAAAAGTTTTGATATTTCCTTGCAATTAAAACACAATCCCCTTTGAGTTTCTTTAACAATCATCACTTTATATACGTTTAATTAAGAGATACATATAATTAACAACTAAGTACTAGAATGCATAAGTACTAATATATATTAGAAGAAGGGAAAATAAGCAATTTCACAAATAATTTGATAAATAATCATAGTTAAAAGCTACACAAAATAATAAAAAAAGAGATAAGATAGATAGGAAAGATGGTTCAGAAGGGTTAGCAGAAGGTTAAAACTAATTGAAAAAACAATTATAATTACAAAGAGTTTATATTAGATATATAAAATATATTAGAGTTATAAGAGGACAAACAAAAAAAAAAACAGGACTGGTAATCGATCGATAAGATTTGTGGACGGGGCCCAGGGATTGGGGAGCCCTTGGCTATTGCTTGACCGCCTGGGCCACGCCCTGCTGCCCACTGCCGCTGCCCTTGAGCTTGGTCTCGAACTCATCGAGCACCTCCTTGTAGTGGGGACCCAGCTCCTCGCGGACCGTCTCGTACCAGCGGGCCAGCTTATTGCGATTCTGGAAGGTGTTGTAGCCAATGGATTCTGAAACAAGGAATATATATATTTATATATAAATATTTATTCAAGAAAATCTCTTTCAAGATTGATCACTCACTGGGCTGATCTATTTCGCAAATGGCACTGAGATCCGCATAGGAGATATTGTCGCCCAGCATGAACTTTCGGGAGTTGAGGAACAGCTGCTCGAAATCATTGAGTGTGTGCTCCAGCTGTTTGCTAGCGAGATTCACCTGAGGATCAAAGGTATCCAGGAATTAGCTGCCAGAGGTTTGATCTAGGATCTTGGTTTGATCTCACTTACCGCATTATCCGCTGGTCGCGTCTTCTGCAGGTAGGGCACCAGCCACTTTTGCTGGAAATACTCCGTGGTGGCCACACCCATATTGGTCTGCTGCCAGGCCAAGTACTCATCGATCCGGCTGCGTCCCAGTTGGCGACGGGGATACCAGTGCTCTGGCACTAGCTTCTCGCGTGCCAAATGCCGGAAGATGGCCACATTCTCTGACAGCTGATAGCCATGATCCGTGATGGCCGGCAGCTTGCGGAACCGGTTAACATTATCACGGAACTCACCGGTCAAGTGTTCGCCTGGAAAAGGGGTAAAAAAAAAGGGAAAGAGGGTCAATTAAAGGCTTTAAAAAACATATTTTTAAAATAAAGAGTGAACCCTATAAAAAAATAATAATAATAATAAAAAGAGTAATAATAATATAATTAAAATAAAATAAATTCATTTTTAAATAAATAAAATAAAAATATATAAATTTTTTAATTAAAAAAAAAAAAATAAATAAAATTTACCCTCGCTTGACATTATAATTCCCAACTAGTTCTAGCATCTTCTGAGTGGTAACCCAGCGGAAATCAAATGTGAGTACAATATTTATTTTTTTTTAGCTTAACGATCTTCTTAATCTTAAACTGAAGTTTAAATTAGAGACTCGACCCCTTATACAATATTGAAAAAAGTGGGGGGGAAGGCTAGAAAGAATCCCCCGTTGATTCTGATTAATAATATTTATAGTTTCTAAAATTGGAAAATCCTTCCTTTACTTCACTAATATTTCTATTTTTCTCAAATTTAGGGTGAATTTTGATAAACATTTTTATGAGTGTATAGAACGTAGCTCCTTAAAATTTAGATACCTGAATCTCTTCCTTACCACATGCTGAATTGGGAACGCAAACCCAAACTTATTCCTGTTGCACATAAAATTCCAAACTTAATTCGTTCAGTGTTTCCTCAAATTTCGACTGCCTAATCAGTTCCGATATAAATAAAACTCTCTAAATATAAATTCAATAAGAACAGGTTTCATTTCTTCGGCTGCAATCATCCGATGCCCGTTTAGATCGCCTGATCCCACTTAGATATTGCCTCTGCTCAGCAACACAGGTGCCGGCTGAATCACAACCTGAATTTCGGGAACCAAAATTTAGATAACGATAAGGAGGAACACAGGGCAACATCAGCAATGAAAGAATTATTGCCCTCAAAAGGGGGGCGTGTCTTCTGGGGTGGGCCAAAGTCACTGTCAATGTCAATAGACCGCGATCAAGGTCACCATGGATGTGGGAGTGGAAGTGGCCGGGCAGCACTTGTTTGGCCTCCTCCAATCTCTATAAATATAACCCTTTTTCTGATGAGCACACAGGCAAATTGATTTCATGATGAGTTTGTGGGTTGCTGGTGTAAATAGAACACAGAAATTAACTGCAAACCCCATGGAAACCTAATTGATTAGTCAGCAACGACTGTGATTCCCGGACATATCAGCTGATTAGATTTAAATAGCAATGGCAATTTTTCAATTTTTTTTTAATTGCTGTCATTTGGAAAACTGCCGATGGTTCTAGCAGGTCGGATTGGTTTTGATTAGAGAGCCAGCAGGTTGTCGCAACGTGAGAGATTCGTGATTGACAAAGGGGACTGATGCAGAGATCAGAAGATCACTGCCGGAAGCACAAGGTGATTATTAGATTAAAGATTGTGGGAGAACATGTAGCTAAGGTGGATTGAATTGTTTAACTTGTTTAATTTTATAAAGGGTCTAGAAGTCGCCCAGTAATTAGTATATATTTTAAAGAACCTATCCTAAAGAGCCCTTGACTTGTAGTTTATCTGGTTATAAAAGTATACCCATATGACCTCTAGTAACTTGGCTTACAAGCCTTGGAAAGCTTTGAAAATCCCTAGACCTACTCATAGATAATTTTAAAGAGGCCATACCAATTTGGGTTAAGAAATATCAATTTTTAATGACTGCTAACACAACAATCAAACGCTGGCTTCCTTCCACTTGATCCCAATTGCAGTTGGCTCGTAAAGTCTTGGCCAGATTAGATTCCTGGCCTAACGTCACGCTCAGTCGGCATGAAAGCAACTCAAGAGACGATGACTGAGAAAACTCTAACGAATAGTTGTAAATGTTTGCCCCCGCATTGGAGTCTTTAACCTCCACAAGGTTGTTGTTCGAATGCAGCGACTCTGTGGTCTCTGTGATTTCTAAGCGCCGATCTCTCGCTGCACTCCGAAGGTGCAAAGTCCAAGTGGCTCTAAAAACCGGAGCCTCTAGCTGCACAGAAAACAAACAAAAAGTATGGTATAGAGGGAGAACTGACTTCAGATCTCTCAGCTTTTCAAATAATAGCAAATATAAAGGGAACTGCACTTGGTTAATTAATTAGTTAATATGCTTTTGGAGTGGAGAAAACTCTCCTTGGGATTAGCATATACATATATCAGATGCGGATATTAATTTACCAACTGGATTGCATAGCCTGACGTCAGCCGAGAAATGCAAACCCGTCAGCAACCACATATCACGATTTTATACATATATGCAGGCCGTAATGGGTCTGGTCTCTGTCTGAAGTCTGCTGATTATTGCATCCCCTCTCCTCGCATCAATTCTGCAGTTTATGACCACCAGCCCAGAGGCAGTGCCTCCACCGAGCCAACGTTCAACGTTTCCGCCAACCTTGACCAAGTGGAAAAAAAGAAGAAGACACCGACGACGAGGTGTGAGAGACCCCGCTCCCCTTCTTGAAAAAGTGCTAAGCGCACGCGCAGCTTGGCAAATAAAAATACAAAAAAAAAATTATAATAATATACCAACAAACATCAACAATAGGGTAAAGTGGCAAACAAATCAGCAGGCAATCTGAATCTAAATTTGATAAGTGTCCTAGTTTGGCGAGCAGATGATAAAAGCAACGCCAAGATCCATCAGCAGAAGGTAAACACAAGGCGATCAAAGTGCAGTCTTTCGGTTTTTTTATAATTAATAATAGTTGGTAAAGTACAGTTTAACTTAGATAGATCGAACTTAACCGATTGGGTATAGGAGCTTATAAAATATGCCTTTTAATCGATTTTAATTAGATTGTTTTCTTGGTTCGATACTTTTTTCTTGGATTTCTTTTTGGATTTAAAATTTAATACAATCACAAACTAAAATTTTTTTATTCTTGAATTAAATTCTATTTCAGAGTTCCTATATTAAAAGTTAAAAAAAAAAACACGAATTAGAGCTAGAAAATGTCCTTGTTAATCGATTAAAAATCGGTTGGCTTACCATTTTATGAAAATTTTTAATTTTTTATAGTTTAAGTACCTAAAAATTCATAATAAAATTAAATTTAAAAAATTAAACTGCTTCAAAATAACAACTCTTACTTCCCCAAGTAGTAGATGACTCCAGTTGAAAATAAGTAAGCTAGCGAAATACTCATATTCATCGATTTAAAATCGATATGTGCCTAGAAATTGCTTTGACAATTTAAGATTCATTTTTTTAGCTTCAATAGGTAAAGATTCTATACTTCCCTATTAAAAATTATTCAACAAACTTTAAGTTAACTACAACTAAAATATTTTTATAAGCTTAAATCGATTTAATCGATTTTTTCAGCTCTTTGTTAAGGGGCTTAACTGTATGCTTACGATTAAGGTTTGCAGGCAGGTGATAAAAGCCCAAGTCGATGCCTCGCCCCTATGGGTTAAGATCAACTGTAAACACGTTCAAAGTGCACCGCTAAAAAAATGCCTGAAACTGCCCGAAAGACATGTTTTTGCACTTGTTTCCCTAAACAGAAAAACAAAAAAAGAAACACAAAAATTTAAAAACAAAAACAACAAATCTCACGTTCGCCTCCGATTGCTGATTATTTCATTTTAAATTGGTTCACACTTGTTTATAATAATTAATATGATTGGGCAGTTTTTTTTTTTTTTTTGGAAGCGATTAAGTAAATCATTGTAGATTTTCCAGAGGAAGTAGCCATATAACAATAGACCAAAAATATTTAAATTATTTCCTTATCAACTGTCGTCTGTTTTAACAAATTGTAGCTGCAATATTTGTTTTTTTTATTATTTGTTTGTTGCAACCGCTCACTTTCCCCGTTTTGGAAACGTTTTCGACAACCACCTAGTGGAATTTGTAACGAGCGGAAAATTTTTTATATATATATATAAGTTTTTTTTTTCTTTTTTTTTTTGGAAACAAAGGGCCTAAGCATAAATGCATAGAAAATGTGTGACAACAACGACGACCTTTGGAGCCGCATTGTGCGTGTGTGTTGTGCGTTGTGCGTGGTGCGTGGTGTGTGTGCCACCGAGCACGTAGCACTCTCACTCACCTTTGAGCATCGAGATGGGTATGGCCTCGAAGGGTATCTTGGAGGCCTCCAGCAGGATATACAGGGCCCGGCTCGATTGATTGAGGAAATCAAAGTAAAACTTGAGTGGCTGCGACATCTTGGATAGTTTTTTTTTTTATTATTTAGTTCGATTTTACTTGATTTTGTTTTGCTTTTGTGACTAGTTTTGAGTTTGAATTTAAAAATCAAAAAAATCAAAAAATCAATCGAAAATCGGTTATTGGAGAAACCGCGCTCTCTCTGCCTCTCTCCTCCTCCTTGGGACTGACTTGCTGGACTTTTGCGGCTAGACTGAGCTCGCCGCGCTGCCGCAACGGCATTTTAAACGCAGCGTCGACGACGGCGCAGCAGCAGCAACAGCAACAGCAACAGCAGCAGCAGTTGTTCATTAAATGCGCCGCAAAAACAAGCCCGGCGTCGAGCAGAGCAGAGCAGAGTGATCACAACAAGATGCGAACGAATACAAAAAAAAAAGGAAAGACGAATAAAAACAGAGACAAAAAGACCGGCTTCTTGTTAATATGTACATTGCATATGGCCCCCCAGTTCCACCACCCTCTCCCCCCCTGCTCTACACAGCTCCTACGCTGTTATGCTCCTGCTCTCTTTCTACTACTACCCCTCTCCTTTTACTCTCCTCCTACTACTACCCCTCTCCTTCTACTACTACTCCTCTCCTCCTACTCCTCCCCCCTCTGCAGCAGCGACATTGTTGCTGGCTGATGTTGGAGCTCCTGCTGCTGCTGCCACTCTCTCGCCGGCGTTGGCACTTGGCGACCATACATGCGACACGCAAAAGAGGGTGTGGCCCCCAGAGAGCAGCAGCTGCTGGAAATCAATGTGATTTGATGATGATTCTCTCAGGTGCATCGTGATTAAATCAGTAAGACTACCTATGGAAACCTGGGAGCTAAGCGTGCTAAAAGCATGCAAATCGCTGGGAGTACTCACGGCTGATAGGTTAGCTTCTATACCAAAAATCTTGCAGAAAATTATATAAATCAAACAAACAAAACCTATGGTAACTTGGGAAATAATAATGCTAGGGTTATGAAAATTTCTAGGCTTTTTCACAGCTATCATAGAAGCTTGCATACCAAAAATGCTTGAAAAAAAATAATCACATAAATACCAATTAAATCTCCCAAATTTATTTTTTCGTTTCAAGAAAAAAGAAAGAGTATTTCTTTGACGACTTGATCTTCTATTATTTCGCTGTTTGTTTTGCTTTCAGTGTTTTGTTGCCGCAGCGGCTTTTCTTGTTTTTGTTTTGCTGGTTTCCTTTGCCCCGCTCTTTGAACTGGACTAGTAGAGCTCTGATATTTGGATTCGGTTCGGTATATGGCTGGGGCGTTATCTACTCAGCGATTTCCAATCAGAAAATGCTTAGTGTATTTATAAGTATTTGGAAGATTCCATGTTATCTTGTTTACCAAAAACGAAGCCGAACAGCACACATCCCAGCAACACCCTCTTTCAATATCGGTCAGAGAGAATCGCAGGGCTGATAAGGCGGACGGTGTCTTTGCACACCAGCATGTATATATGTATCTATGTATCTGCCAGATGCATTTGCGGAGACAAGAGTCGCTGCCCGTTTACAAGGTGGCAAAACGGCTTGAACACTCGACCACACTTCACTTTTACCGATGGCAAAAAGCACTTAAAGTATGGAAAATAAACTAAGTACGAAACTAATAAAGCCAATAATTTGCATCACCGAACAGGTGATTTTATATATTATCTACAAGATATATTTGAACTTGGAAAGATTTGAATAATAAGCATAGCTTCTAGATAAGACCCTACAATATCTTAGTTATAATATATATAATATAATAATAACTATAATTTTATAGGCTTAAAATCTACATGCTCATAGATATGTATAACTATCTAAGTCAAGAAAATAATATCAAAAACAATACTTGCTATTTAATATAACAAATTAAAGGTATTTTATATATGTAATCTTTGGCTATGTTGACCTAATCCCATAGTATTCTTAATTTATTCAAATGCAAACAAGTTCCGAGTGGGTTTGTGCTATAAATAAATCTATACATATAATGTCGATAAAAATTGGACAAGGTAGAACCAAGTCCTCGATAGTATAGTGGTTAGTATCCCCGCCTGTCACGCGGGAGACCGGGGTTCAATTCCCCGTCGGGGAGAATGCGAGAAGCTTTATTTTCCATATTTTTATTTAGGAAAAAGGTTTTCTTTTTTGTATAAAATTATTTATATAATTTAAGGAATTTTGTTAACAACAAAACAAAGATGTTTAAAAGTTCAACGAAATATACTATAAATCTATAATTTTTGTTATTGTTAACTTTGGGTTTAAAATATATAAAAAATAATTTGAAAAATAAATAAATATTATATTGTTGCCTCTCCCAATCGGAAACCATTTGTAACCTGTTTCTATTGCTGCAATCAGAGTGAGATGGAAGGATGAAAGGGAATTTGAGTACCGCAGCATCGCTTGATTTGCGGTCTTAGCGGTTTGGCTGACTTTTCTATATAAAAGCGAATCACAGACGAAAAGGTGGCGCAATACGCAATGGAGCAGCCCAGGGAGAAGCAACTAACGCTGGACGAGGATGAGGAGGGAGAACACCAAAAGAGTGATGCCAAAGAGACAGGACAACAAGAGTACAAGGAAAAGGATCTAGAAGAGGACCCACAACCAAATCAAGCTGAAGATGAAGATCCTTTGGAAAATATTAAGAAAATGCTGGAGATCAAGGTGCAGGACAAATGCAAAGACAAGGACACAGAGACAACTGTGGAGAAAACAGAAGAGGGACTAAAAGAGGACCAGCAAAAGCCAGGAGAGGAACTCATAATACAACCTTTACAAGAGCATAAAAGTATATCAAAGGATACGCCACCAGTTTTACCAGAAACCCCAAAGGAACAGCTGACCAATGAACCCACTGAAGATCTGAATTTTGGAGATATTCCTGAGGAACCAGCTGCAGATCCTGTAGAGAAACTGAAAGAAGAACCAGAAGGAAATGAAGAAACCATAGATGAGCAAAAGTCCCAGGAAGAGAAGAAGCATCAGCCATCAAAAGAACAAGAGAACATCGAACTTATTCCAGAGGAGGAGGAGGATTTGCCCAATAAGCAGGTAACCCAGGAAACCCCAGAAGAACAGGAGCCTCCGAAGAGGAAGAACGAGGAAGAGGAGGATCTACCCAATGAGCAGGTGACACAATTTTTAAGGCATTTGGTTGCTCAACTGTGGCCAGAACTGGGACCCAATCCCGGCCTGCGTTTGGAACGTGCCAGTGCCAAGGGTGACAACTATCTGGGCGTGGTTTGGCGTCTCCAGGTAGACGCCACCATCTCCCATGCCCAGTCCAAGTGCAGCCTGGTGGTCAAGCTTCCACCCCAGAATCGTGTGCGCCGCAAGCAATTCTTTGCACGTCCCTGCTTTCTCCGGGAAACTGCTGCCTACGAGGACTTTCTGCCCCTGGCCGAGGTGCTCCAGGAGAAGTGGCAAATCCCAACTGAAAATAGATTCCAGCAGCATGCCCATTGTTATGGCACCCGCCAGGATGAGCCCAACGAGTGCATCGTGCTGGAAGATTTATCCTGTTCTGGCTTTGCCCTTCACAATCGATTTGTTGACTTGCCCAAGGATCATGTGCTCCATGTAATCCGTTCGTATGCCAAGCTACATGCCCTGTCTCTGGCCGGAAAGTGTCAGTGTCCCGAACGGATGCATCGACTCCAGCAATTGGTGGATATTTTTGAGCAACGACGCGAGGATCATGCTTTGGGGGTCTACTTTGAGAATCTCAAGGGGAGTGCCTTGTCATCGCTGACGGATGACGATGTTCCCTATAGGCTGCGCCTGGAGGCATACTTCTCGCGGGGCTCATACTTCGAGCTGCTGCTACCCTTGGTCAGTGGCTCCAATTGCGAACCCTTTGCTGTCATCTGCCATGGCGATTGTTGGAACAACAATATCCTGTACCAAAGGGGCGAAGAAGGTGAGCTGAAGGATGTTCGCCTTATTGACTGGCAGCTGATGCGCTATGCCTCTCCCATCACCGATTTGGCCTACTTTCTCTTCACCTGCACATCGAGAGGCTTCCGGCAGAGGCAGCTCAACCAGGTGCTGGAAGAGTACTACCTGGAGTTGGGTCAGCACTTGAGGAGGTGAGTAAAAATCGCATTTCTTTGAGAAAATGAATTTCTTATTTATTTTGTTTCTTAGATTGGGTGAGCAAGTGGATTTGCTAATGCCGCGTCCTGCCTTTGAGCAACAGGTGGCAACCAAGTCGGCGGTGGGCCTGCTTCTTGCCATGATGGTCCTGCCCATTGTCACGATGCAGGGCCAGGATGTGCCCGATCTTCAAGCGATCAGCGATCGGATTGAGGCTGGAGCAACCACCGATCTTCAGGGAGCTGGTTTCCTGGGTGCGGGCAATGAGGCCACATTTAAGCAGCGGATGCGTGAAGTGATCCTTGATTGCGTTGACTTTAATTATATCTGAGAAAGAGAGAGAGAGAGAGAGAGAGAGAGAGAGAGAGAGAGAGAGAGAGAGTGAGAGAGAGAGAGAGAGAGAAAGAGAGAAAGAGAGATAGAGATAGAGAGAGAGAGAAAGAGAGAGAGAGATAGAAATAGAGAGAGAGAAAGAGAGAAACAGAGAGAGAGAGCGGAGCTCCTTCAACTCTTCGACTTCTTCCGCTTAAAACGGCTGAGTGGTAACCCACGTAGGCCAAGATCTACAATTAAGCGAATAAATAATAAAATACATTATGAAATGTGCTCAATTTGTTTAAAGTTTCGGTTTATATTGATTTATTTACTTTCTAAAAGCTTTTCTTTAAATTTTGATCGCGCAAGTGTGACCAGAAAACGGGCCTGTAAAAATACATGGAAAAAATACTAGAGGCTCAACCATAGCGGTCAGTGATGGCAAGATTTAGCTAGTTTTTAGCTGCTTCATTTTACTTGTTTCACAGTTTTATTATTAATTTTATTTATTTACTTATTTCTTCCGCCTGTTTAAAAGTAATTTAATTTAAACGTTCATATTTTAAACCACTTAAATTTATTTATGAAAATAATCTATTATACTCGTACCCGCTACTTTTGCATATAGCTTTTAGCTATTTTCTTAGAGCTGCCATTTTTAGCCATTTTCGCTGTAGAAATTCCGGCATCACTGGTTGTGTGTATACGTTTCGTGGTCGATGAAGGGAGCAACAGGCGAGCAAATAGAGTAAATAGTGCCACAAATTGGGAGTGGGGAGCGCAGCAGGAACTTGTAATCAGCCAGTATCACCATGAGCTGCTTCAGCGCGATGAACGCCCCGCTGCTGGGCGAAATGGAGCAGACTATCGGCATGCTGGAGAGGGGCACCATTGTCACCAAGCTGTACGGGAAGCAGCGGCGGCCGGACCGCCGCCACCTGATGCTCATCCGCGAGACGCGCCAGCTGCTTTGGGCAACGGTGGCCGCCCAAACGCCTCGTACCGACTACGAAGGCGCCATCCAGCTGCGCGAAATCAAGGAGATCCGTGTGGGCAAGCACTCGAAGGAGTTTCGCCTCTTCGCCGACGACTGCCAGCGTTTCGAGAGCAGCAAGTGCTTTGTCATTCTGTATGGCAGCCACTTTAAGCTAAAGAGCTTCTCTGTGGTGGCGCTCTCGGAGATCGAGGCGGATAACTGGGTGCGTGGACTACGTTACATGGTCAGGGACACGCTCGGGGCGCCGTATCCGCTGCAGATTGATCGCTGGCTACGCCGCGAATACTACCAAATGGAGAATGTCAACTCGCACTCGGCCAAGGCATCGGAGGCATCGCCGGCCCAGGTGACCATCAAGGACTTTAAGCTCTTCCTGGCCGGCGTTAGCTGCAAGATGACCACCAGCAAGTTCATGGAGTGCTTCACCGAGGATGTACGGCGCAAGCATGACCTCAAGTTTGATGATTTCTCGCGTCTTTACCAGAAGCTACTGCTGCCCACTAGCTTTCCCAGCGTGATGTGCGGAGGAGGAGCTGCAGGAGCTCCATTTCCCTACTCTGAAGACCAGCAGACGGTGAGGCCAGCAGAATTAAAGCGTTTCCTGGAGACGGAGCAGCGGGATATTAGTGCCAGCGAGCTGAGTGCCGCCGCCATAGCCACCTTCATACGGGACTTCGTGCAGGATGTGGAAAGGGATGTCCAGGAACCCTATCTGTCCATCTCGGAGTTCATGGACTTTCTATTCTCCAAGCAGAATGATCTGTGGAACAGCAAGTACGACTCGGTGTTTATGGACATGAACCAGCCGCTCTCCTCCTATTGGATAGCCTCCTCGCACAACACCTACCTGACGGGCGATCAGTTCTCCAGCGAGTCCTCCTGCGAGGCCTATGCTCGAGCTTTGCGCATGGGCTGTCGCTGCATCGAACTGGACTGCTGGAATGGACCGGACAATTTGCCGTACATCTTCCATGGCCACACCATGACCTCGAAGATCAAGTTTATGGATGTGATCAAGACGATCAAGGATCATGCCTTCACCACCTCCGAATATCCGGTCATCTTGTCCATCGAGCAGAATTGCTCCTTGGAGCAGCAACGCAACATGGCCCAGGCCTTGATCGAGGTGAGTCTGATTTCTCCTGGGGAAATCTTTCAATCTGTAATCTGTGATCCCTAATTCTTACAGGTCTTTGGTGACATGCTGCTCACCCAGCCCTGCGATCGCAATGAGCAGCACTTGCCCTCGCCCTACCAGCTGCGGCGCAAGATCATCCTCAAGCACAAGAAGTTACCGCAGTTTGATGAGATTGGCGGCAATGGTGGCTCTCTGACCCATAGATCTTCCTTGGGTGGCGCCGGCGGCGGAGGAGGAGGAGCAGGTGGTGGACTGGGAGGCGGTGAAAACGAGGGCGATAACATGCGAAAAGTGGTCAAGGATGGCCTGCTGTACTTCAAGGATCCGGTGGACAAGTCTTGGAATCTGTATCAGTTTGTATTGACCCAACAGGAGTTGATATACTCCTCGGAGATCAATGAGTCGCGCAATGGCAACTCGGAGGATGATGACTTTGGCCTGTCGTCGTCCTGTTCGCTGAACAATAATATGCAGCAAAAGCAGAAGGACACCTCGGCCAATGATGAGCTGCATTTTGGCGAGAATTGGTTCCATGGAAAACTGGAAGGTGCGTGCCTTTAGAGTGGTAATTAAACTTGTCTTGGTTACTGATTAATATTTAGGCCTTCAATCCTCTGGAAAGCAAACATAAACCTCTCTTTAAATCATTTTTTGTAGGCGGCCGAAAGGAGGCCGATGATCTTCTGAAAAAGTACAACCATTTGGGTGATGGCACCTTTTTGGTACGCGAATCAGCCACCTTTGTGGGCGACTACAGTCTATCGTTTTGGCGACGCAATCGACCCAACCATTGCCGCATCAAGCTGAAGCACGAGAACGGTTCCATCAAGTACTATTTGGTGGAGAATTTCGTCTTTGATTCGCTCTACTCGCTGATTGTCTATTATCGGAACAACATGCTGCGCAGCTCGGAATTTTCGATTATATTAAAAGAGCCCGTGCCGCAGCCCAAGAAGCACGAGGATCAGGAGTGGTTCCATCCAAATACCACCAAGGAACAGGCCGAACAGGGTCTTTTTAAGCTGGATATTGGTTCGTTTCTTGTACGACCCTCGGTGCAGAGCGTGAATGCGTTTGTCATCTCGTTCACCATCAATCGGAAGATCAAGCACTGCCGGATCATGCAGGAGGGACGACTCTATGGCATCGACACCATGAACTTTGAGTCCCTGGTCTCCCTCATCCATTATTACACACGAAATCCGCTGTATCGCAATGTCAAGCTCTGTCATCCGGTGTCCCAAGAACTGTTGCGTCAAGCCCTGGCTGAGGTCAATGACCGGGTGCATGATGTGGGCAATGGAGCCGCCTCCAACTACATGGGTTCCAATCTGGAGGAGTATGTCACCTGCAAGGCTTTGTATAGCTACAAGGCCAACAAGCCGGATGAGCTGTCCTTCCCCAAGCATGCCATCATCACGAATGTCCAGCGGGACAACTCGATGTGGTGGATTGGGGACTATGGGGGCATGATCAAGAAGCATCTGCCGGCCAACTATGTCAAGGTAAATATATCCCTAAAACTTGGTTAAATAATAAAATAAAAACAAAATAAAAAAATATATAAATTAAAATTAAAAATAAAAAAAATAAAATAATATACAAATTAAAAACTAAAAATTAAAAATATTAAAATATTATTAAATAAAATATTAAATTAAATATAAAAATATATAAATTAAAATTAAAAAAAAAAAAAGAATATAAAAATATTAAAATATTAAAATCTTAAAATTTAAAATATAAAATTATAAAACAATACAAAAAAAAAAAATAAAAATAATAATTAAAAAAAAATTTAAAATAGATCACAAAACTAAACCCACATTAAAATAATCCCTCTTCTAGGTCATTGACTCTGCCACGGAAGACTACAACTCGATCAACGAAGATGGCACCGATGGACGCACTGAATCCATCGAAATATTCGGTGCCGTCGCCTCGCTCTTCGAATCCAACGAGCCCGGCATTATCTTCAAGCTTCAAATCCAAACACCAACGATGCAGAATCCATTTGTCATCGGTTTTGATAACCAGGAGACGGCCTACGAGTGGATAAAGGCCATCCAGGATGCGGCACTGTTTGCCAGCCAGCTGGCAACGGAACGACGGAAAAAAGAGCGCACAGCCCGGGTGGCCAAGGAGATGTCCGACTTGATAATATATTTCCGCAGTGTACCCTTCCGCGAGCACTCGTGGATATTCCAGGAAATGTCTAGCTTTCCGGAAACGAAGGCGGAAAAGCAATTCTTTCAGCAAAACACCCAGCTCTTTCTCTCCTACCATCGCAACCAGATCAGCCGGGTGTATCCCAAGGGTCAGAGACTGGACTCGTCCAACTTTAATCCAATGCCATTCTGGAATATCGGTTCGCAGATGATAGCCCTCAACTATCAGACGGGCGACAGGGCCATGCAGCTGAACCAGGCCAAGTTCCGGAACAATGGACAGTGCGGCTATATCCTAAAGCCGGCATTTATGAAGACTGATAGCTTTAATCCGAACGATCCACTGTCCGATGGCCTCAGCGAGGTGAAGGTCAGCATACGTCTGATTGCCGCCCGGCATCTGTTTCGGGGCGGCAAGTCAAACAATCCCCAGATTGTGGTGGAAATCGTTGGCGCCAGCTTTGACACGGGCATCAAATACCGCACCAAGGTCAACGAGAATGGCTTTAATCCGGTGTGGAATGAGATGTGTGAGTTTACCGTACGCAATCCACAATTTGCCATTCTGCGCTTTGAGGTCCAGGACGAGGATATGTTTGCTGAAACGCATTTTATAGCCCAGGCCTGCTATCCACTGGCCTGCATCCGGCCGGGCTACCGCAGCGTCATCCTGCGCAACAAGTTTAGTGAGGAATTGGAGCTGTCTTCCCTGCTGGTCAATGTGAAAATTGCCAGTGTCACTTCCCCATAGAGCGAGATTTCTGCATCCTTTACTCCTTGTTGTTCTATGTGTGTATGTTTGTGTGTGTCTCTGTGTGTGTATGTGTGTGTATTGTAACCATTCCTTTGAAGAGGAGGAGAAGAGAGTAAATTTTTTTAAAAGCAAAAAAAAATAATAGAAATAATAACTTCCATTTTAAAATAGTTTTTAAACTACTTTATAGCAGGGACCCTAATCTTGAAAGAGCATCCAAATTGTAGTCGATTGGCATACTTTTTTCTGATTTTTTTGTTTAAAGAAAACATTGATAATCATTATTTACGGTCCCTGCTTTATGGTTCTTTTCAAAATTTATTGTTTAAAGTATTAACTGCAAACCTTTTTTTATTACTAATAGAATGGTTGTGTTGTAAAATATGCTACTTACCATAATAACGAACTTCCATTAAAATAATTAAGAATAATATGAGAACGATTGTAGCAAAAAAAAAAAAGAGTAAGAAACAGATGTGCCTTTTGGTTGCGCTACTCGCATTCCATTTCCATGTTATTTTCCACATCATTTTAATGCATTTAAAAATAAAGTAGTTCTATTTTCCCTTTTTTTAACTGATTGTGTCAATCGTTGTTCTTTAAAATGCATATCTAACAGGGTGCAGCCCTACCTAAACACTGTTTTTACACATATTATTTATACTTACATATATGTACATATATATATATACACTTTTTGTTTAATGCCAAATAAAGATTTAACGGCGTTGGCTGTCTATATATACATTATACTATATATTGTGGTGGTTTTTAGTTGATTGTTAGCCATTTTTCATATAATTTGTTGTGGCAAAATGGCTAAGGTAAGCTTGTTAAATTAAAATTTTTTATTAATGAAATAAATTTATTTATGAAATTAATTGATTAAATTAATTAAATTTATTTATGAAATTTATTTATTAATAAAATTAATTTAATAATAAATTTAATTTCATAATTAAATTAAAATTATTTTTTAATAAAATTATTTTATTTATTAAATTCATTGATTAATTAAATTAATTTATTTATGAAATTTATTTATTAATAAAATTAATTTATTAATGAAATTAATTAAGTAAAATTAATTTATTAATGAAATTAATTAAGTAAAATCAATTTATTAAAGAAATTAATTAAGTAAAATTCATGAAAGTATCTAAATAATCATCATAAAATGTATTGATTCCCCTAAAGTTGTTTAGAAACTCCAAACAAAGGCTCAGTTGGTTGCCAAGGTTAGTCAACTATGTGCTTCTCTTTCTATTCCATACCCTCTGTCTCTTTCCTTGACAAGATCTCTTTCTCATGCATTGTTTTCTTTTATTATGTGATATTTTTATTGGACAATTCAGTGAATGTAAGAAATATGATTTTAGCTTTGTTTTTTTTTTTTTTTTTAAATCAGTTTTTATCTAGAATTCGCGTCTGTGGTATTTGTCGGGATCAAAGTATGAAGTAACCACAACGCGATCACTAAACTTTCGTCCAGTGAGTGCCTGCTGGGCCTTTTGACAGTCAAGAACCGAGTTAAATTCGACAAAGACCTTGCCGCACCCGGGAACCTCCACGCCTTCGATGGGACGTGGTATTTCCACGCTTCGCACCACACCGTACTTCGTGCACTCCTCCTTGATGTCCTCCAAAATGTCCTCGTACTCCTCCTCGTCACGCAACTCATCCGGCGTGACCATGTTGAGCAAGCAGAGTACCTCGGTCGGTGGTCCCGATGTCACCACATTCGACAGTCCAGGCACTTGCAACATCACGGACTGAGTGGTGTTGGCTGCATTCTGAGCATTCTTGGCTCCCACGCTGGCCCGTTGAACGATCAGTTTCTTGTCACCCAGCTGCATGCCATTTAGGCCAGAGATTGACTGAAATAATAACAAGCAGCAAAACAAAATTAAATAGCCGAGTAAAGATAGATATTCCTTGCTTTTACCTGATCAGTAATGCTCAGATCCACATATTCACAAAAGGCATAGCCTTTGCTCAGCCCAGTGGCCGCATCTTTAACAAGATTAAATGCCCGTAGCTTGCCAAAGGACAACAGAAGTTCCTTGACCTTGAAAAGGGAATGCAAATACATATATTTTTAAAGAGAGCTCAACAACATTTATAATAATCCATTACGAACCTGGTCATCGTTTAGATAGTTGGGCAAACCTCCAATGAAAATTTTGTGGGGCGAGTCTGGAACCACAGTCGAGATAACTCCGCTGGACACTGCAAGGAAAATTTGAGATGAAAACTGTGAAATCAATGGATGTGTAAGACTAAACTTACCAACAGCTGGCTTAATGGCCGGCGTATCCGTAATGCCCGGCATCGGCTGGTAGTCATGCGGGCGCCTTATCTTCAAGCTCTGCCCCTTCAAGTTGATGCCATCGAATGCCATGGCTTGGGTCGTCTCATCAATGGACCTAAACTCCAGGAAGGCAAAGTTTTTATCCAAATTGATTTGGCAGGCCAACACTGGACTGCCCGCCGCCTGTGCGAGGCCAACTAAATGCATCTGTTGATTGAAGAACTCCATCATCTCCTCCTCAGTAACGCCAAACGGAATGTTGCCGACGTACAGGCGACGAGCCTGTCGGGTGATTGTTGACCCGACCACCGGCACCGCCGTCTGTGGCGTATCTGGCACAACGCTGGCGGGGATCTGGCCGGATGCCTGCATTGCTTTGTACTGCATGGGGGTGATGTGTTCAAATCCCGGTGGCGGCACATCCCAATATAACGATGGCTTGCGCCTCGAGTTCCGGTGGTGGCGTCGGTCCCTTGAGCGGTCGCGATGGCGATCCCTTGAGCGGGAGCGATGGCGGCGTCTCTCCCGATCCCGTTCGCGATCTGAAAAAGAAGAAAAGTGGAAAAGGATGAAGAAAGAAATGTGTATATAGGTAAGTACGTATATCACAAATTAACCCCAATAATGTACAATAAACGTACAAAGGCCAGTGGCAAGGAATCGAGATGCTCACTTGCAATATTAAACATGGCTTAAAACCAAATTAATTGCCAGCCAAAAATATAAGCGGGTTAAAAAAAAAATAAACGCAAAGCCAGCTTGGTTTTAAAATGTACATATATGTATGTATGTATGTTTGTATTTGCATACATATGCGTATGTTTGTGTATGTATGCCGCCAGAAGGGTAAGCTGAACCGGTCAAAATCGAAATGCGAAAGTCGGAAACTAAACGCCGTACAATTAACATTTAAAATATTTAATTTGTAAATAATGAAAACATTATTGGATACACGTATTTAATTAACAACTTCGCAGTAGCGCAAGATACTTTTTTTTTGCAATTTACCCATATTTTTTTTACTAGTTTTATATTTGGGTACACACATATGCATTTGCCATGCACACACTTGTGCATCTATACACTCCAATTTGACGCGTTCAATTCCATTGAACGGTTGATTTTCTTAGGCCTTACCATCGTATCCCATTGTCAAATTTAAAAGAACAAAAAACTAAATATTTAAACAATTTTAACTATATGTAAAATGCCGATAAAAAAAATGTATCCCTCTATTGCGTATAGTAATACAAATATCTGGAAACGACATAAAACAGAACACGTGAAAACTGGGAAATAACGGAATGGAACAGCTTGAGCGCACTGCCGCATTTTGACAAACTATCGGTCAACAATTAATCGGCATGCTTCACCATTTTGGGGTGGCAATAAAGAAGATTACATATTATTTTATTAAAAACATTTAATTAAGAGTATTTAATTAATACACATTTACATTTAAAAACTTGTAACTTTTTACTAGGTGCCCAAAGTTGTGTGTTCTTCTTTCCTTTCCCATTTTAGATCAGTTTTACAATTCGATCTGTGACGTCATAACAAATTGTACACAACCTTCTTGGTATTACACCGTGGGACACATTGTTTTGTTTTTAATTTTGGAGGAATGTCGCTACCGACAGTGCAATTATGAGCATTAAGATATATTTACCGGTTAATTACTTTTACCTTAAAAAGCCCATCAATTTATATGGCCAAGTAATAATAACAGAAGACAATATCGTTGCATATCACATTGTGGAATCTGCAGATTTGGAGTTGAGTGCCGGCAGAGCCACGGATCATCTATCCAGCAATTTGCGTTTCCTGGGCTCCATCCTTAATGCCGACTTCAATGCGGATCAAAATCAATACCTACAGCTCGATATGCGGGTCTGCTTCACATACGTCAGCAGTCAGCCCAATATATCGCTGGTCTATATAGGCATTGCTCCAGATTATTTAAAGCACATTAAACTAATCCTCTATGAACAACAAACCATACGAAATTGGTTCGTTGACTGTGGAGGCGGCGGCGAGGAGGCATCCAATAAACTCGATGTAGAATATAATGATGACTGCAAGGATTGTGATTTCCTGGAGCTCTTTAAGCTGGCCCAACGGCCGGCAACTGGAGTTGAAAGACCAAAGAACAGTACCAAAAAGAGTGCTCTACGTACGTTAACCCTTATGGTGGCCAATTCTCCAATGGCTATATTTAGATATATTGCCGAAAACGTATTTGTGAACAGCATAGTAGTGCATACGACTATATACAAGCATTTTAAAGAATGGCAGTCAACTTGTGATACACGGTAAGAGTGCAGTTCAGATTACATCTTTGATATGTACTTGTACCTGCCTTGGGTACAATCGAATACATCTGAATATACCATTTTTAATTATTTATTTTTGTAAACCCTGTATAGATCTCGTCCTATAAATATTGCTTTGGATAGAATACTGGGTGTTATTTCCATGATAATACTCTTTTCGCTTGCCACACAACCAGGAGATTTTCTTATACAGATATCACACGTAAGTTGGGCCTATCTCCGAAGTAGAATCATCTAATATTTATATTTATTTTCATTTCAGGTTGTTATTGATCAATTATACAGCCTGTTGAAGGTATTGGAGGGCAGTCCTATTGGTCTCAAGCTGAATATACATTTGAATAATTTCTTCCTTGACTGCTTTAAATATCACATTGAGTTGTGGTCTACCTTTTTGGGTATATATATATATATTTAAAATATCATATCCCAGTAATATTTAACTTTTGAGATTTTTCAATTGAATAGATTTCATCGAACCGTTGGTGCGACAAGTGTTCTTGGCCATAGGAGTATTTGGTTGCCTTGGCTTCACATTCCAGATAGCCCTCTTGGCGGACCTAATATCCATAATTGGAATACATTCGCATTGTTTCTACATTTACACAAGAGTGTAAGTTACGAATTTAAAGCAAAAATATGATTTATCTACTTACAATTATTATTTTTCCCAGGCTCTTCAATGTGGAAAAGAAGGGCTTGTCAGTGCTATGGCAAGTGGTGCGAGGAAATCGGTACAATATTTTAAAAGGCATGTGTACATTATTAGAAATACCTTAGAAAGTGATGAAAGTTGATTTAAAATTATTTAAAATACGACCTATTTCCAGGCCGCATCGAGGCTCATAACTATATGAATCGACAGCTATATCTTGCCACTATATTTTTCTCGACTATTTTGTTTTTGCTTCCCACTACCTTGGTCTACTATATAGTTTTTGCTGCTGTAAGTATTTTGAATGATTAAAATTAATAAAAATTATATAACATTTTACGCATATTTGTAGCTTAAGGCACTCACACTTGCAACACTCAGTATATTCGAATTCTTTCGACGGAAAATGTTATCCCTGCCCATTGAAGAATGCATCAAGTGGTTGATAAAAGGATGCAACGAAATAGGTTTGTGAATATTCTAATGCTAAAATTAAACTTTATATAATTCATTTATTAAACGTGCCATTTTATTTTTAGATAGTCTTCAAATGATGGATGTTGTCTTGGAAGAAAAGGCTTTTCTAATGCATAAACATCATAGAATCGAAGTATCAGTATATAAGATTCAAACCTGAATAAAATATAAATTATAAATCAAAAATATTAATTAAAGGTTGTATTATTGAAATTACTTATTCCTTCATGATATATACCCAGGTTTTTATTTTTAATTCTGAAAGGGGTTACATCATTAAAATCGACAAAAATTGTAATAAGTGATGCATTTTGGAAATGTTAAATTAAAAAAAAAATAATTTAACAAATTATTAAATTAAATTAAATAAATAATTTAATAAAGTCTAGAAAATGTATTATTTTTTCTCATCTACCTGCATTTTTTTTATCGATATCTTAAAACGCAGATACTAGATGTGTTTTCTTTAAAGTTTCTGTTTCAATTTTAACATGGGGTAGCAAAAGAAATACCTAACAAATTAAATTTTAAATAAATTAACTAATTTTAATTCAAAGCCACAATTCGATATACTAAATCCGAAAATTCTAAATGTAGCTGAAGTGGAAACGGTGCATAATAAATATATCCATACAGCCTGTGCTAGTTTCTGTTCCATTTCACGCGTTCCAGTGTAGGCACGAGCAGCAACTCGGCCATTTTTCTTGTCGTGCCATTTCCATTTAGACAGTACATTCAACTTTGTTCTACAGTTGCACAGTGAATTTTATAAAGCAGTTTTGTCGACAAATACATTATTTGCAATGGAAAGTGCCGTGAAGCAAGATAAGAACACGAATCCGTTGCCGCAAAGGCAGCAAAGGGGCAATCAAGTAAACAAAAATGTCGGCAAGCAACTAGCCCAGAAAATGAACGATTCCTCCGATGGAAGTCCATCTGAAAAGAAGGCACGATTCAGTCAAAATGCCCAGAACGGTGGAGTAACGGGTGGCGGCGGCGGTGCTCTTGGTGGCGGCGGCGGAGGACCTGGTGGTGGTGGCCCGAATCAAAATAAGAACTTTGCCAACAACAAGGGTGGATTCGCTGGGATTAATCGCAATCGTAACCGAGGAGGCAATCAAAACCGGCCAAATTTCCAAGGCCAAAATAATTCTGCAAACGTAAGTAAATTTTATATTCTATATTCGCAGTATGCACTTTTATGTATACATTACTGTATTTCTAATTGCGAATTACATTCATACATACAAACATATCTCTCTTTGGTTAATTTCGATATGCTCACTTGTGCATCAACCATTTACCAATTCGGAGAGTTTACCCGTACACTCTCCAAGATGTGGTTGTATGTATGTATCTATGTATGTACATACAAATTAACAACTGCAACCGACAGAAAATGTCTAACGCAAAGTACACGCTCGCGCTTGCTTAAAAAAGGCAGAGCTAAGCAAAATATGTGTGTATGTATGTGTTTATTTAGGTCCGATTACATATGTATGTACAAATGTTTATGTGCATTATTAGGATGAAATAAAACATAACCCTTGAGAGTTTAAATTCAGTAATTGCTTGATTTTTCAATAATTTCTGTGTGTTTTTCATTTGGATGTACACTCACGGCAAAACAAATATAAACCGCCACAAACTAACTAAAGAAGCAAACAGCTTAGAATGATCAAATTGGCCGGCCTTTTGTATATTCATTGTGTGGATATTTGAATCTACATTTATTTGTACGTACATCCAGATAAGACATATTGCTTGTTATTGTACAATTACTTATGAGAATCTATTAGCTATCTATGAGTTGTAAGGAGAATGCGGGTGTCGTATGTATGTTATTAGGTTTTAACTATTTTTATAATTTTTTTTTACTGCAATATATTGATTAAATTTAAAGATAATAGAAAAAAAGCATAATTTTAATTTAGGTTTATATTTAATAAATAAAAATTCCGAAAATTCCGAAATATTTTAGTATTTTTCAAATATATTTTCTTTAAAGATTAACAATTATTAGATATAAGTAAAATAATATATATATATAAATTTTAAATATAAATTATTTGATATATTTTTATTTTATCTATATTTAACTATATTTTTTAACTGATTCTATAATATAATACAACATATAGCAAAAGCCCGTTAACGATTCGCCCAAGCCGGACGCAGGAAATGTTCCAGTCAAGAACAATGAGCCTGCGAATCAAAACCAATCGAACCAGAATCAAAACCAAAACCAAAACCAGAATCAGAATCAGAATCAGAATTCCAACCAAGGACCAGGTGGTCAAGGTGGACAGCAACAAGGAGGTGGTCAAGGCGGTAACCAGGGCTTCCGAGGTCGTGGCGGCAATGCCGGAGGCGGCGGCGGCGGTGGTGGTGGTGGTGGTGGTCACGGTGGTGGACCTGGAGGACCTGGAGGACCTCAGCATCAACAGAGGGACAACAGAAATCGCGGCAATCAACGATCGGGCGGTCCCGGTGGCATGAACAATTCGGCAATGGGTGGCGGCGGTGGTCCTGGCGCAGGCGGTGGACGCGGTGGCGAAGACTTCTTTATTGCCCAGAGGTTACGCAGCATTGCTGGACCCACCTTGGAGTTGCCACCCGTCGAGGTGCCGGCCGAGACCAAGTTCTCTGGCCGAAATCGACTTTATGTGGGCAATCTAACTGGAGACATTACCGACGATGAGCTGCGCGAGATATTCAAGCCGTACGGCGAAATTGGTGAGATCTTCTCCAATCTGGACAAGAATTTTACATTCCTGAAGGTCGACTACCATTTGAATGCCGAGAAGGCCAAGCGTGCTCTTGACGGTTCAATGCGTAAGGGTCGCCAGCTGCGTGTCCGGTTCGCACCCAATGCAACCATATTGCGAGTTAGTAATCTCACCCCGTACGTGACGAACGAGCTGCTGTACAAGTCCTTTGAGATCTTTGGTCCCATCGAGCGGGCCATTATCACCGTCGACGATCGTGGCCGCCACACTGGCGAGGGTGTCGTTGAGTTTGCCAAGAAGTCATCCGCTAGCGCATGCCTGCGACTGTGCAATGAGAAGTGCTTCTTCCTGACTGCTTCACTCCGTCCATGCCTGGTCGAGCCAATGGATGTGAACGATGACAATGATGGTCTGCCAGAGAAGACGATGAACAAGAAGATGCCCGAGTTTTGCCAGGAGCGTTCAATTGGCCCGCGATTTGCCGATCACAATTCGTTCGAGCATGAGTACGGATCGCGGTGGAAGCAATTGCACGATCTGTACAAGAGCAAGCAGGACGCACTGAAGCGGGAGCTTAAAATGGAGGAGGACAAGCTGGAGGCTCAGATGGAGTATGCACGCTATGAGCAAGAAACGGAACTCTTGCGGCAAGGTTAGTATAAAATCAAGTATCATAATTTTACGTTTGCAGGGTTACTTTGGGGAGAATTTTTCTATATTTCTATATATTTTCAACGACAATTACTGTTGATTGTTAACATACTATGTATGTATGTATTATCTCTGTTGCTTTTTGAGAAAACAGTCCCCACTGTTCCACTTAGAACTGGCCTTTCGCACTTCTATGGCTTTGGAATGGTAGCAATTATTGATTAATCGGTGGTCGACCCGCAAATATACCATTTATGCTTTAAATAAGTTTCAAGAGATGCAAAAAATATGATATTAATGGAAAACATCTTAAATTTTAATATATCAAAAATCAAAATTAAAAGCAAATATCGATAAATAAAATGTAAATTATTTTCGTTTTCTATTTTAATCGATTATTATCGATTTACTTGTTAATTTTTTATCGAAAAAAATCTATTTACTGGAAATCAATTTATTATCAGCTCTACTTTTTATTGCATATTTATGACAACGTAAAAATATTAAATTATATATTGACTTTCTCTTCAGATATCGATAAATGTTAATATATCGATATTCTCCTCTAATTGGAATTATCCGTTTCAAATTCCTGCGGAAATCGGAATTTTGAGATATTTTCTTTTGATAACTAAAATAAATGTGGTCACTTGGTAAAGATATACAGATAAAAGCTTCTCGGGGTGTAGGATATATGGCCCGTCGTGGTCGGTATGACTTATTTATTTATGTTAATTTATGTACCTTATTCATTTATGTAATTTATTCCTTTGAGTTGTAATATATACAGCCGACGTTGTATATTTCACAATTGAAGATTCAATGGAAGCACGTTTGCTGTCCCTTGAAACCAATTTAGATATTCTAAATATAAGATATTTAGAATGTTCATTCGAGTTTTAATAGTTAATTGTATAATTTTCCAGAGTTGAGGAAGCGCGAAGTTGACAACGAGCGCAAGAAATTGGAATGGGAGATGCGCGAGAAGCAGGTTGAGGATATGCGGAAGCGCGAGGAGGAGACCATGCGTAGGCATCAAGGCGAGATGCAGAACCATATGATCCGGCAGGAGGAGGACATGCGCCGGCGGCAGCAGGAGAACACGCTGTTTATGCAGGCACAGCAGCTGAACTCACTGCTGGATCAGCATGAGGGCTTCGGTGGCGGCAGCGGCGGTGGTGGTGGTGGTAATAACAGCTCCAACTTTGACAATTTTGGTGGAAACAGCAATTCACCATTCGAAGTTTTTAGAGGTAACAAATAACTATTAAACTTATCACCAAGCATCTAACCTGAGTTCTCTCTTAATATAGGCAATAACAACAACAATTCAACCATGGTTGGAAACAGTTCTGGTCCCGGAGGTGGACCCAATCAGCAGGTATGTTCTTCAAGACCTAACAATTGTTACTTGCCGAAAAATTATACGCTTACCACATTTCTGTGGCAGAGCTACCTCTCTGTCTATGGCTTCTCTAAAGCATATATGAAACCCAATAGATATTTTAAACAATTTGCAAGGGAAGGAAGTTGATTTATTGATCAACAACATTACCTAGTTGAGTTTCCTTTTCGGAACTTTTGAGACTTGTATTTTTTTATTCAATTCGCTGCACTGAAATGGGATCATTTGGGTTCGGGGATATGATGAGGAGTGTTGAGCAGAGCTCGAAAATAACAGATGAAACCATTTTTTGGTACTCTCAATTATGAAACATATAGTGTTTCAGAAGAGTGGGATATATATTCAGCCGGTGGGATTTCGAAATTCGTTTTTTGTTTTCTTTTTTTTAATTTGAAAGATTTCTATATTTTTATTTTATTTTTTTTATTTTCATTAGATATTTCTTTTAAATTAAAATTTATTTATATTTTATTCTTATTAATTAAAAAAAAAAATTTTAATTTTATTTAATTTATTTATTTTTATTATATATTTTTTTTTAATTTCATAGATCTATTACTTTTCTCAAATGTGAATTAGGAAAAACCTTATGGTTGCCTTCAATAGAATTTTTTATTAATATTTTTAATGTTTTAATTTCGCTTTTCCCCATACCGTTGGTTCTAAAAATCCTAAATTGGTAACATTAAACATAAAGAAGGAACCAAAACAAGGAGAACTGTTATTTAAGAGCTCTGATAATAAGTAATGCAACTATGTGGGTGGGCTGTGGGAATACTTCTTTCCTGAAAGACCTATATCTTCTAATCAGAACCTAATTAAACATATTATTCGAGTGCATATATGTTGTAATTATTATTCTAGCAAGTGCTACTTCTCTTTCAGCTCTACATAGTTATGTTGAGAGCTTCTTGAATGTGTTTAATATTTGTTTTCCAATGGACTTGTATGAATCATCATACTAAGAACCCCAACAATACCTACTCTTAATATTTTTTTTTTTATACAATGAAACCAAATCCCTAAAGGATTTTTCTGGGTATATTATACATGCGTTATACTTTGGATGTGAAGTTGATATCTAAACTGATTTGGGATTATTATATGACTCTCTTTTCTCCCCTCCCCTATAACTGAATTGGGTTATACCGTTACCTCTCCTACAAAAAAAAAAAAAAAAAAAAAAAAAAAAAACATTCTGAATTGAACAACAATTATATTTTATTGCTTGACTAGGACTCCTTCGCTTTTGAATTTGGGGTTAACAATATGAACCAAGGCGGAAATCAACGCGGAAATAATGGCGGAGGAAATAACGCCCCATGGGGACGTCGTCGTTTTTAGACACGCTCTGGAGAGCATATTAAACAATACAATAATAAGGATGACAAACAAATATAAAACGTATGCTCCACTCACAGGCAAAATGATTACGTTAATTTACACTTGACTTTGTTTTGCTCTGCGAAAGATTAAAAAAAAACTATTAAAATCTCAAAAAAAAAAAAAGAGAGCCCACGTATCGTATAATCCTATGCAATGCTGCACGATCCCAAAAACCAATAAATCCATAAATATACATTGATTAAGTAAAACATGTATCTCTCGACTGTCAAGCTTTTATGATGAATCTTGACTCGGACATCAGAAATAAAAAAAAAAAAGAAGAGACAAGTGCAGTAAATGCTGAGAATAAAACTAAATAATGAATATTTCCCACTTGCGAGAAACCAGAAACAACATCTACATCTATTTAATCATAACGATACATTTTTTAGATAAATCGTAGTGTTTATTTTGATCCAGTAATATGTTTTATATACTTTTTTTTCTTGTCTATCATGCAAATGAAATATATTATGATAATATAAATACTTAACTTGAATTCAAAAGACGATCATTTAATTTGTTAATTTACCAATTCCCTAACTAATGGTGAGTATATGCTGCCGCAGGAGCGAGCGCACGGATGCCTAAGAACTTCGATTAGCAATTGTAAATAAATCAATTTTTTTTATCGGGGGGTATTTTTTTTTTTCTTCTTTTTTTAATTTAAAATCTAACACAAAATTAATTGAAAATCTCTAGATATTTCTACAATTTAGAAGCCTTTATGTATAATTTTCTTTAATTTTTGTATTTATATTTTTTAAATTTTCAATGTAAAATTTTTCTTGATAATCCATTTTTCTTATATTCATTGTAAAAAAGAAATATAGAAACTAACAAAAAAAAATTGGTAAAGATTTACAGTGTAAATTATACACAATTAAATTTGAATTTTTTATGGTTTATTTAGTTAATTTATACTGGGAATTAAAATTATACAAAAAATTATATTAAAGACCATTTAATACTTTCATATAAAATATTTTATTCAAAAAAAGTAAATGGACTTTGAAGCTAACTTCGGTCAGCCGATGGATTTCTATCTTTTCAGTTTTATGAAACATTTTGGGATACAACTGTCAGACTTTTTTTAATATTTAAAAATTTACATAGCTAATTTTCTACTTTGAATTTTTTTTTACATATAAAATATGGATGGGGGATATATCTATACATTTTCGCATAGCGGAAACTTCTCAGAATATTTATTTTAAGAGCTTCAAATCTACAGATCTTTGAGATTTAAAAAGCTGAAAAAGTTGAAAATATAGCATTATAAAGTTGGGAAAAGGGGAAACCAAACTTATTTTCCATAGTTACTTGGTAAATTTCTCTAAATTGGTATATCTATTTTTTTAAAAGGTTACGATGTAACTGTAAGAATGGCGATACAATTCGATCTTTTCACCATACAATTTCTGACGCTGCAGTGTATTTTTTGGGAATACTTTAAATATTTTGGGGAGAAATATGACTAAATTTATAGAAATGAAGAACGAAATCGATGTCCGCGCTTTCTTAATAACATGTGACTGCGAATGGGAACAGGTAACACCCTGTCCTTGTTTAATTACCCTTTAATATACCCTTTAAATCCCAACCAATATTTCTTAATAACGTTCTTTTCACAGGTTTTTCATAATAACGTGAGTGATGATTTGCCGCGTTTTGCATGCATATCGTTGGAAAAGTGTTAGAATGTGTACCCTTTGCACGATTTCAATTTAAGAGGTCTCATTTTTTCATCAAACTAATGGGTATTAAAAAAAAATTTAAGATTTAATTTTCATTGGTACAAAATTGTAAATTTTTCCTAAACTTGTGAAGCCATTTTGTTTTCTCTTCTTTTTTGATTTTTTATTGATAAAAGTGTTTTTTTATTTTTTATTCCGGTTTAATATTTATTTATCGAATAATAATTTTTTAAATAGCTCATGTGGGTGTTAGTTAACTAAGCCATTTAAAAAAAAATAATAATTGCCGCTTATTTAATTTGTTTTAAATCGTATTTTATCGATTTTTATCGATATGGAATGTGATATCGCAAAATGCGAAGGATTTCGATAAGGGTAATCAACTCGTTCCAGGGTTTTTTTTACATTTCGCTCTGAATATATTGTGATTGGCAAAAGACAGTATTATTTTCATCGTTTCGGCTCGATTGCCAATTTACGCTTTTCCAATTATCGTAAAAATATCAAATAAAATGAATCATCGGTGAAACTGCGATGATTTCAGGGAAATGGACCTCTCCCAAGTCTCTTATTGCTGAGACATGCTTTTTTTTCAGATTTATATAATGGGATATTGTATTCACAAAAGCTAAATAATAATAATAATTTCATTTAATTATTACTTCATTGAATAATATCAAAGACATCAAATTGTGTGTATCATTGAAACATCGCTTGATGGAACATTAAATATTTATGGATCCCAAAATCTTCTGTCAAAAGTTCTGAATTATATATATTATTATGCCGCGGCCAACCTCTTCACCTTATCATTACATCCAAGGCAAGGGATGTGAATGACACCGACCGCGTACATCCCAGAAACTTGTGGACACGAACGACAGACACCTCACCTTGGCCTTTGTTGGTGCACGTTAACGTTTTGCCTTGGAATGTTTTTTCCTCGGTTCTCTGGTAAGGTTTTTATGGATCATGGGACAATGCAGAAACTTAATTGGGTCGCTAAATATATTTTTTTTTATATATACATATATTTTATTATATTTTCCGCAAGCAATTATGCAGTTAACAGGCATTGATGATTGATTTTAACGGCGACTTGTTGTGGGCAAATTTTACAACCATAAAGGAACTCTTATTGAGAACTTCAAAGTGGGAATTAAATAAGGAAATTATTGGCATAATTTCTGCTCTATCCTGGCGATTTTGTATTATTAAAAAAACAATTTAATGTTTTCTTACTAATTTCTCCAACTGTTCGGCAAAACCTCTCCTCTTCTCCACTTTTAACTGGTTTCAGTTCCTAAGGAATTGATTCTTTGTAACTAAAAAAAATATAAAAATAAGCATTCCATTTGGGAAAGTTAATAAAACTCTACGAAACAAGTAAGAAAGAAAGAGACAATTTATAATACCCTCGTACCTTGTACCTCGTACCTCGTACATAGTACCTTGTACCTTGTGTGGAAACCGGGATTTAAAAGACCATCTCCGGTATTAATTGTTTTTTTTTTCGACTTTTTAAAGTCTTCCAATTCTACAAAACACTTTTCCTTGAGGTCACTTTGTGATGAGAGATTTAAGAAATCTCAAAAAGATTGTTTTAACCTGTTTCTTACAACAAAAAAAAAAAAAACAAATAATCTAAAACCAATTATAATACTTTAAATTTACACAACGAGAACATACAAGCACCGCGAATAAAATTTATAATGTATTATTGGAAATCGAAACATTAAATATAACATCAACCAGTAATTTGTAAATTAGTCTTTCAAATTCTTAAGCATTGAAAATATATTTAAATTTTTTATACATTTATGATTTTATGTAGCTAATGTAATGGTAGCTAATGCTTTTGCCGCATTGTTCAGGCAGCTTAGCAAATTACACGATTTTTATTTAAAATACCATTAACACAGCAAATATATTTTTTTTATTATTAAAATTACTTAAAACAGGCAACACAATTGTATCATAGCATGTTCTCAATGTGCTTTTTGTGCTCGGATTAATTTTTTTTTGTTTATAAAAACTGAAATCTATCAAATATACATATTTTTTTTACTTAAAAATAATTTATAATGTAAGCATAAAACACAAGTCAAAAAATATGTCAGCACTCAAAGAATAGGACAAAATAATCAAAAAAAAAAAAAAATAATAATAATAATAAACCTCTAAATATTCAGAAGACAAAGTAATGAACCTAAAACAAACCTTAATGATTTCCATTTCTTTATAAATATAAAGAAAATCATTACGAGTTAAAGAACCCACTCGATTGTCTATTAACCGTAAAGCATTTGTTTTACCTTAAATTATATCCGATCTTTGGAATTTTTGGACTAAAAGTAAACTGCACCAAGAACAAATACTGGAACGAGGCAAACACTTTGAGACGATGAACCAGTAACCAGTTAAAAAATGCTTAAAAGCAGTCTTCAATGGTTTGAACTGCTAGAAAAAATGTCAACTCTACAAAATATGGAGAATATATGCTTCGAAAACAGCAGCCCTTGCAGCGGAAGTGTATCCACTGAAGAAATTGACCCGGAAAGTCGTTTAAATATATATACAAGGTAAAAATATTGATAATATCAGCCTTTGCCAATTGAAAAGCTTTTTTAAGAAGCACTGGAATCCCTAAACCATTTTCATATATTTTTATAGAATATATTGAGTGCTCTATAATGGGTAAGCAATATGAGGGTATTTTCAACAGTGTAGCAATGGTTAGTCTAGTAAAATATACCTCAACTTATGTATAGTAATACGAAATAGGTTTCTATATTTCAAATGTTTTGTGTTTTAGTTGGCTTTAAATGGATATTTCACAAAAGTTGACTTAGATCACTTAAAATCAAGTTCCTGTAGGTCGAAAAACACTCGAAAAAGGAAATATCGTCGCTCCTTATTGATCAACAACGTTTATCCTTGGTATACATCAACAACAGCATCAAGATCTCTGATCACTGATGGATTTTTTCATATAGTTCTGTTCAAGGAACAGGAAAAGCACGCTATATCTTATCCTGCACGCGCCTAGAATGCACAGAAATGAGAGAAACAAAATTCAAATTCATGTGGCTAATGGCTAAATCACATAAAAACAAAATATTAGATATACCACCTTGTTTCTAGTTCTCACTCAAATGCAATAGATGGTGATGAAAAGAATATATTACATATACACCACTTCAGTATGTTTAACAATCATCATTAGTGATCCATCAGTGATTATCCAAAATTATACAAAATCTACAATTGCTTACAAATGCAAATTTTGTATAACAAAATTATAGAACAAAATTTGAAACTAGATGCAGTGTAAAGCAATTAATTTGCAGAATTTTTGTTAAATTTTCTATAATTTTTGTGGTTTTAGCTTTTCATAGAATATGAAACAGTTTAAGTTTTGGTATATATGTACATACATAGTACAAATTCCTAAAGGCTCAAATCCGATGTATACCCGAAAGGTTTTTTGCCGAAATTGACCAAAGTTCCTGCGCATGACACTGCCAAGAGGAGAGCGGCAATTGATGATTTCGGATTTGACTTTAAAAAATCTGTTTGAATGAAATCATTTGATGGAAACTCGTGTTTGTCTCCTTTTGTTATTAACACGCTTTACTTTGCCAGTACCAGTTATTAAAGATTTTGGCAAGGGCACAAAATGCCCCAAAATATCGTGCTTGGCTCAGGGCGAACCGCAAAAGAGACCAATTATAGACTTGTTTTATGGATGAGAGAGAGAGAGAGCTGATGGTGTGATGTCAGTTCGAAGACTGTTCCCGAATGAACATCGTTGGGGCCTAGCCGGCGATAAGCCTTTAATTACAGAGGAAAATATAAATAGCTTCTCAAATCCGCCAAATACATACTATATATTGTTTGTTTTTGCTTGCAAAAGCAGTCGAATAGAAGACTGACAGCAAAGCGATAACCTATAATATCAATCAGGTAACCTATGTTTATATGTTTATATTAACACTTCCGAGCTTTTCGGGTGTTTCAAATTACAATTGTTCGATCGAAGTTGCTTGGTTTTTGAACCGATCAACGTCAGTTTGCTGCCGATGTTTTTGTGGCGGCCCTCCCTCTAAGCTGCTTTTTTAAATAATCGATAATAATTGAATATTTTAACTAATCCAACTTATGTTTGCAGGAGATCAAATCTATTGACGATCCCCCCCAACCACATGCCTATGCCAGTGCCAAAGACATAATCTATTCGGATTTCATGGCGTTTTTATTATTGGAAGAAATCATCGTTATCGTATTTTTAGAAAAAATTGTTATCGAAAAAGATTTTATTAAAAAAATATCGTTGAAACTTGACCAGTTTTATTGTTTTTATTAAGGGAATGTTCTTTAAATATTAAGGAAAATTTAATCGTTTGGCCATAACGTAAGTAATTTTGTAGAATTTTAATTATATTTTTAAGCGTCATCAGACGACAAGATCTAGGTCCTGCATAATTGATGATCGCAAGCTTTTAACGAGATATTTTAATAAATGTACATGAAAATTACACAGATTTCCTTATTTCACTTTTAGAAAATTCAAATGCGGATGTTAAAAAAAAGATTATTTATTAATTTTGCACTGAATATTGTTTGTTAATATAAATTCTCTGTGAAGATTTGTATTTTATAAATTTTTTATAAATTATAAAATTAAAATTCTAAATTATACATTTTCTTTATAAATTTTAAAGGCGCTATTTTAAATTTACATATAAAAACACAATATTTTAGTAAATTAAAAAAAACTTTGTAAGGGGGAGATATTTTATAAATTTAATTTAATTTAATATCCTTTAATAATGTTATATATTTGTCATCGAGTTAAAATAGCTGAAGCCAAAACATCAGAAAACCAACCCTCTTAGTGCCGGTTGAATATTTCCCAAAATAATTAAACCTATGAAGATACAAAAGTACCATTTCAATTACATCAAGTTTTGTTTATTAAATGTGTTTGCGTTTGTTTGCGTGTGCACATGCCAGTTCTCAACAGAGCAACCATAACCTGTCCTAACCGCCAATAAATGTTTGATTTGAAGCAGATAATTTAAAAGCGGCGCTCTTGCCTTCACCACACGCATACATATGTACATAGGTGCATACATCCATATGTACATATTGGGAATTGGGGATTTCCTAAATCTAGGCTCCTACATATCCGGAGTCCGGACACACACATTGGACGTTTTGGCACGACTAGATTAATTATTTCAGGTCATATGTATGCCTGTATGTACAAAAGCGGCAAACGCAAATCTCTGCTGTTCGCTATGTGGTATCTCATATTTGAATGTCAGCTTGGAGAGGGTCTCAGCCCGATGTCATGTATTTACATACATACATATATACAGAGTACGCTTGTATGATGTATGTATGCAGCGAGCGTACATCTCGGCTTGTACGAAAGTTTCTTAAAGGTGTATTTGGCCATACACAGGTAGGCATGCACCTATGTATGGGTGCGTACGTAATACTAATTGGTTTGGTTACAGCACAGTTGCGTGTTATGTGTTTGCATTTTGTTTTGTTTTGAAAGCTCCAAAAGCTGTGCTTTCATGGGTCTTAATGCACACACTTGCATACATATGTAAATACAAGCGACGATAGCAATGTACGTGAGCGTGTGTTTGTGTATGCGGTTAGCACAAATCCAGCGAGAAAGAAACAACTAACGCTGGCTATATGTATTAACTTCAAAATAAAGTTCAGTTTAAGCTGGAGCGCAGTCGAGGTTGCGTCGTTTGTTCGTTCGGTCGGCTTGGAGTCCGTTCGTTTTCGTCTCGTTCGGCTAGTTCCTATGTACGCATGGTAAGCACCGCGTTCTCTTTCGCTTCCCAGTCTCAGTCTCAGTCCCAGTTTCAGTTTCAGTCGTTTCGATTGCGTTGATAAAATTAAACCTAAGCCCAAACCAGCCGTGCTAATAACAATGCTGTGATTTATTTTAAAATGTGACTGTAAAAGATCTGTTTCCCACACATACATACAGAGGGTCAGAAATAATTTTTGTTGAATCGTCGTTGTTGCCAATTTTATGCTTAGTGATGTAGGTATACAAATACATACAAATGTATGTATGCATTACGTGCAATTGATATGTACATACATATATTTGAAATGGCAACTCTTACGTAGTGTTGTTTATGTGTATAGGAAGTCACCAATACAACTGCACATTTGCATTATCAGACGCGTAAAGTACGAATGTGTGTGTTCACCCGCACTTCAAATGAAAGGTGGCTTGGGTCTTAATTGTTGTTGCCCGTGTGCAATTAGTGTGAAATTGGTGTCTGCGGTGAAAAATCGGTGATTAAGTGGAGGTGTGCGATTTGATAAATAAGTGATTGAGCCAAATGCACGAACGCGGCTCAACACACACACACACACATGGTCATGCTCAGATTCGGCAAAGTGAAGTACACACATACATGCGTACATATGTTTCATAAACGAATGGCACAGTGAAACAGAAACCGGAATCAATATGTGTGTGATAAAACCGTACACAATCTGTTCGAGCCTACTTTTTATTGTATGTATGTACGTAAATATGTATGTATTTAGGCGCATGCATAAATTTGTACATACCGCGCATACATATCTACGTGCTGCCACATAAAGTACGAAAAAGTGAACCAAAGCCACGCCACCCCCTACCCCTTCTCCCAACCCCTAACTTCCCACTCCGAAAAACCGTACACAAATTTATCGATAATAAATAGCCTCATGTGCATCAGGCACGTACATAGATTTCCCCTTGCACATACCGTATGTACAAGCACGACGACGCTACATACAGAAGTGTGCATACATACATCCCAAAAAAAAACATCCAGTTGGGACGTGAGATTGTGTACAAGGAATATCAAAACGGTTATGTCAGTGCTGCACTTTTTTTTTCTTTCTCTCCAAACATGTATAATCAGGCGCTGCTACAGGCGAAAGCCGTCAGTATATAACACCCGAGACTGCAGGAAACATGGCTTGTGGGTGCGAGTGTGTGTGTGTGTGAGAGTGTGGCGAGGTGCGGTGAGGTTACATGTTGCACATTCTGAATATTCAAATAGTTGACAAACAATAGAGTCCAAATTGCTCTTCGTTTTGTTTCGCTTGCAAAGCCAATTCTTTCCACGTAGAACGGTACCAGAGACAAATCTTAACCCTTGCCTATGACTTGTGGATTTTTCCAGCCAATTGTTGGCTTTAAATTTTAGAAAAAATAAAGCAAACTGTGATTCTAGTGAAAATGGTTATTATTTTTCCTCGGAAGAGTTCTACTTATCCAACTGCCACTGCCTTTATTTCCGTCTAACTAGATTTCTTACTATCGCATAAGTCTTGGAATATGGAAATATGAACATGTATTATAAAAGTAATGCAAATTTACGTGGAAGGGATATTCCAGTTTGCAAAAGTAAGCAAAAGGTTCCATGAATATTCATGCCCGCCGGCGGGTGGCATCATCTCTTGTTCAATCAATCCCCACTTGGAAGATTATCAAATTTCGATTGGAGAGAGATATGCGATCATGGCAAATTACGTATACGCCATGCGTGTCATAAGTATATAGATATGGCAGAGACCAGTCCCAATCTTCCGGCTGGTTTGACAACTTGCCACTGCGAGTGATAGCTTCAACTTGGTTGCACACACTCCCCCTTGGCCTAGCCATTGAGTCATTAATTCAAACCGTAATTCCCCCCAGGGTGGTGAAGCTGCACTTACTCTGTTCTGTTCTGTGTGGGTTTTGTCTGTTATATCATCAGGAAAACAATGGGAACCCATTAATAAGTAAACACACAAACACATAAGCACAGGGGAAGCACCAGCACCACCACCACCGATGTCGGTTGGAGGTGATAAACTCCCCTGAAGTCTTCTTCAATGAGAGAGCTTTGCGGCTATATAAATATAATATATTTAAGTGGGAATATATATGAATCACAGCGTTCATTTGGCTTAGCGGGCGGTCAACACGTTTAACAGCAGCCCAAGGTTGCATTTGGAGTTGGAGAGGCAGAGAGCGAGCACACAGCTCGCCAAGATCTCATCATCATGATTCCATCTTCTCTTCTCTTTCCAACAGATACGCCAGACAGCTGAACCGAAAAATATATACTACATACATGAGTACGACAACAGGAGAGGAGGGACTCTTTGCCGCAAAAGGACTCTTGGGGAGAATCAAACTACCTTAATACCAACATAGCCTGAACAGAGTTAGATATGCCGGATGATACAGTAGGGCTCATTGGAAGCGTTAGAACAGCAGCAGGACATAACGGAAGCGCATTGCTGCTAGCCACGGAGAAGGAAAAGGGAACACCAAGAACCCACGGCACTTCTGAGCTATCTGCCGGAGAGCCAACGTATCGAAAGATCGAGCGCAGAAAGAGACTCCAAGGCCATGAGGCGACAGCGACAGCGAAAGCGCAAGCGATAGCTACCAGAAAAACTCCAGATGCAAGACTCAATAGGATCTATTTATCTACATTTAACCGAATGGCACAGAGCTGTATATATTTTGTATTAGTTTTAGTAATCCTAAGCCAACATAGTAGTTGCGCTCTACGGAGTAACGAAATTGATCACCGCGGAACAGCAGCAGCCGTAGCAGTAGCAACCTTGCCCGCGGATGATACTGATACTGACCCCCGCCGCAGTGCAGTGCCGGAAGGCGACAATGGGGGTCAAGCACAGGCTCAGACGACCATTAGTAAAGGCGCCGCCGCCGCCGCACACGTTAATAATTATGAAAATACTCACATAAATGCCAGTGCGAACAATGAACGTGTTGACCCGCATCATCATCATCATCAGCATCACTCGCCACATAGCCTCGACCTCGACGGGATCGATATCTTTGGCGCCTACAGTATTCCCGAGGAGGCGATATACACGAATGAGTTCGCTGTCAACATTCCCTCCGGCAAGCATGTAGCTGATTTCATAGCCGCCAAGCATGGCTTCATCAACAAGGGACAGGTAAGAAGATATCTTCTTATGCAACGCAACGCAACTTTCATTACGCTCTTTGTTTCCTTGTCTAGATTGGAGCCCTCGATGACTATTACCTGTTCCAGCACCATCACGTGTCTAAGCGCTCGCTGCGCTCCAGCCGCAAGCATCAGGGTTTGCTTACCTCCGAGAATGAGGTGAGGAAGGACATCTCTCCAGGATTTTTATGTTTAGTAATTATTTTATTTGGTTATTTAAAGGTGAAATGGATGCAGCAGCAACACGAGAAAGTGCGGCGAAAGCGCGACGGTCCCTACCAGAGCCTGCCCACCTACAGTCCGTATAATGTATTGCGGCAACCGGGCGAATATGTTGTGGATCCAAATCCACATCTCTCTTTTACACCCGACACATCGTCCCTGTCGCTGGGCACAACGCACTCGGGGCACATGGAGTATCGGGATGTTAGCTCCCATTCCATATTTCCGGATCCGTTGTTTAAGGAACAGTGGTATCTGGTGAGTAAAGTATGTGATCATCTCTCACTTAAATGCATGCTTCATACGTTTCATAAATACATACAAAATGTATATGTTTTTAGAGTAGTTTATTTTTTGTATAGCCACAATATATTCGTAGCTTTTGAGGTTAAATTGCTAAAGTTATATTTTAATTGAGTAATGACTCTAAAAGAAGTTTGGTTTAAAAAGGTCTCGAATCATCATTCCACTGTTAACATAGCAAGATCTATCTAAATTGTTGCTTACTTAATCATGATTACTTTTCCTTTGGCCAAAACAGAACGGTGGCGCTAAAGATGGCCTGGATATGAATGTGGGTCCCGCCTGGCAGAAGGGCTACACGGGCAAAGGTGTGGTCGTTTCTATACTAGATGATGGCATCCAGACCAATCACCCAGATTTGGCTCAGAACTATGCAAGTTACAAAAAGAAAACACACATATACCATAGATGCTAACAAGGTCCTATATGTTTTCCAGGATCCTGATGCCTCGTTCGACATTAATGGCAATGATTCGGATCCCACGCCCCAGGATAATGGCGACAACAAGCATGGAACCAGGTGTGCCGGCGAGGTGGCAGCTGTGGCCTTCAATAACTATTGTGGCGTTGGTGTGGCCTACAATGCCAGCATTGGTGGTAAGTTATTCGAACTTCAAATCCAGAGACACACTCTTTTCAAACCCTCCTCCTCTAATCTCTCTGCAGGAGTTCGCATGCTGGATGGCAAGGTCAACGACGTGGTGGAGGCGCAGGCTTTGAGCTTGAATCCCGCCCACATTGATATTTATAGCGCCTCGTGGGGCCCAGAGGATGATGGCTCCACTGTCGACGGGCCGGGACCCTTGGCCCGCAGAGCCTTCATTTATGGCGTGACCAGCGGGCGGCAGGGCAAGGGTTCGATCTTTGTGTGGGCCTCCGGCAATGGCGGTCGCTACACCGACTCTTGCAACTGCGATGGTTACACCAATTCCATCTTTACCCTCTCCATATCGAGTGCCACACAGGCGGGCTTTAAACCCTGGTATTTGGAGGAGTGCTCCTCCACCTTGGCCACCACCTACAGCTCTGGAACACCGGGGCATGATAAGAGCGTGGCCACCGTTGACATGGATGGACGCTTGCGACCGGATCATATCTGCACCGTTGAGCATACGGGCACCTCTGCATCGGCACCGCTGGCAGCTGGCATCTGTGCCCTGGCACTGGAGGCGAATCCGGAGTTGACGTGGCGCGACATGCAATATCTGGTGGTCTACACATCGCGCCCGGCGCCATTGGAGAAGGAGGCCGGTTGGACACTAAACGGTGTGAGGCGCAAATATAGCCACAAGTTTGGCTACGGACTGATGGATGCCGGGGCAATGGTCTCGCTGGCGGAACAGTGGACATCGGTGCCGCCGCAGCACATTTGCAAGTCGCGGGAGAACAACGAGGATCGTAAGATAGACGGTACCTTTGGTTACACACTAGCCACGCACATGGATGTGAACGGATGCGCTGGCACCATCAACGAGGTGCGTTACCTGGAGCACGTTCAGTGTCGCATCACGCTGCGCTTTTTCCCGCGCGGAAACCTGCGCATTCTGCTCACCTCGCCCATGGGCACTACCAGTACTTTGCTGTTTGAGCGCCCACGTGACATTGTCAAGTCCAACTTTGATGATTGGCCGTTCCTCAGTGTGCACTTTTGGGGGGAGAAGGCGGAGGGACGCTGGACCCTTCAGGTGATCAATGGCGGAAGGCGGCGTGTCAATCAACCGGGCATACTCTCCAAGTGGCAGCTCATCTTTTACGGGACTTCCAGCCAGCCGATGCGTTTAAAGTCCACCGAGCTGCTCAATAACGGCGGCGGGCCTCCTCAGCTGCGGAGCAGCCCCATTGGCTCCCACACGAATCCGTTCCTCTTCCCGTCCGCCTCGAACATTGGCCAGCCGGCCAATGAGGGCGGCAACTTTAATACGGACAGCTTTGCCAGCTACCTCAATTACCAGAACATCTTCACCAGTGCCGGATCCAATCCGGAGCCAGCCACAGCCACGTTGGATGGCCAAAATGTGAGCACTTCTTCCGCTGCAGTAGCAGCAGCACCAGCACCTATCACTTCCGTGAGCGAGGCCAGGGACGGCAACAAGCTGCTTATTCTGCACTCGTGCGATGCTGAATGCGATTCTTCCGGCTGCTATGGCCGTGGACCCACCCAGTGCGTGGCCTGCAGTCATTACCGGCTGGACAAGTAAGAGAAGGAAGCCATCAAGTGTAAGGAAAATGTTTAATTTATTTTAATTAATTTTTTAAAGCACCTGCGTTAGCCGCTGTCCGCCGCGTTCGTTTCCCAACCAAGTGGGCATCTGCTGGCCCTGTCATGATACCTGCGAGACGTGCGCTGGCGCAGGACCCGACAGCTGTCTCACCTGTGCCCCGGCCCACCTACATGTCATCGATCTGGCTGTTTGCCTGCAAGTCTGTCCCGATGGATACTTTGAAAGTGAGTTGAGACCCTTTTTGACTTTATTTTGTGTTGAAAAAAAGAAATTTAATTGATATCGAAATTATCGAAATCTTTTATAAATCGATTTTTTTAATTTTTAAATTTCCATTGTTCCGTTAAATGTTGATACACCATCTAGATATTTCTGAATTTTGTGCTGAAATAGAAAGAGATAGAGACATGGGAGTTCCCCAAATTCCCACATAAATTAGCTTAATATAGTTTTATAATAAAAATCTATTTAGATGAAAATCGATGTATACATACATATATATTTATGGCTATAAATAGTTTTTTTTATATTTATGTATTTAAAAAAAATTTGTTAGAAAAAATCGATATCCTGAAAATCGATTTATTTGCAGCCCTAGTATTTATTTATCGTCTCTTTAACTAATAACAGATAGCCGCAACCGAACATGCGTACCCTGCGAGCCCAACTGTGCCTCCTGCCAGGATCATCCAGAGTACTGCACCAGCTGCGATCATCACCTGGTGATGCACGAGAACAAATGCTACTCGGCCTGTCCCTTGGACACTTACGAAACGGAGGATAACAAGTGAGTAGCAGCTGCCTAGACTTTGCATCTTAAACTAAAGCTTTCTATTTACATGCATAGATGTGCCTTCTGCCACTCGACTTGCGCCACCTGCAACGGCCCCACGGACCAACACTGCATCACCTGCCGGCCGAGTCGGTATGCCTGGCAAAATAAATGCCTTAATAGCTGTCCCGATGGTTTCTATGCGGACAAAAAGAGGCTCGAGTGCATGCCCTGCCAGGATGGCTGCAAGACCTGTACCAGTAATGGTGGCGCCTGCTCCGAGTGCCTTGAAAACTGGACGCTGACCAAGAGAGACAAGTGTATTGTGACAGGCAGTGAGAGCTGCAGTGAAGGTAAAATGAAGCCTCCTAGATTTCATGTTCCCCTCTAAATCGCTCTCTCTTTCGGATCCTTGCAGCTGAGTTCTTCAGCCAAGCGGACGGCGAGTGTCGATCGTGCCATGCTTCCTGCGAGTCCTGCAACGGCAAGTTGGAGACAAATTGCATGTCCTGCCCACCAAATCGTTTGCTGGAACAGAGCCGTTGTGTGAGTGGCTGCCAGGATGGGTTCTTTATGGAAACAGCGGGTGTATGCTCGCCATGCTTGCATACCTGCAGCCAGTGTGTCTCGCGGACGAACTGCAGCAATTGCTCCAAGGGTTTGGAGCTACAAAACGGCGAATGTCGCACCACCTGTGCCGATGGGTAAATTCAAAATCTACTTGTAAAATTCATTAAAAAATCTTATTAACTCGTCTTAACTCTTCTTTGGGGCTTTAAAGGTACTACAGCGATCGTGGGATCTGCGCCAAGTGCTACCTCAGCTGCCACACCTGCAGCGGACCGAGGCGCAACCAGTGCGTTCAGTGTCCAACTGGCTGGCAATTGGCCGCCGGCGAGTGTCATCCCGAGTGTCCCGAGGGCTTCTACAAGTCGGAGTTTGGTTGCCAGAAGTGCCATCATTACTGCAAGACATGCAACGGTAAGAAAAGTTACTTAAATTTACTTTAGAAACTAAACTTATAACTTATATATCCTTTTAGATGCCGGTCCCTTGGCCTGCTCTTCGTGCCCGCCGCACTCCATGCTTGATGGTGGCTTGTGCATGGAATGCCTGAGCTCCCAGTATTATGATTCGACCACAGCCACATGCAAGACCTGTCATGATTCGTGCCGCTCCTGCTTTGGCCCTGGACAGTTTGCCTGCAAGGCCTGTGCCCCGCCGCTCCACCTGGATCAGCTCAACAGCCAGTGTGTGGCCTGTTGTCCAAATCAGACGGCAGCTGAGAATTCAACGTCAACGTCAGCTCCTTGCTGCCATTGCGATGCGGAAACTGGTGGGAAATTAATTCTAATGTTTTTTTGTATATAAATATATAAATTCTTGTATATTTCAGGCGAGTGCAAGGCTACCTCAACAGGCGGCAAGCGTCGCACAGTTGTGGGTGCCTACAAAAGCGGCTACACCTCGGATGCGGCTCGAGCCATGGGCAGCGAGGGTAATGGCAATGAGTTTGTCCTAAGGCTGGACTCGCCGCTGACGGCCATCACAGCCATAGCGGTGGCCATCTGCCTGCTGATCATCACCATATTCTCCATAATCTTTGCTGTTTTACAGGTAATTATTATTTATAAAATATAATATAATATAATATAAAAAATAAATCCCGCAGCGCAATAGCAACCACGTGACCAGAAACTCGGTGCGTTACAGAAAGATAGCCAGCAAGAAGCGCAAGCGAACCAGCGAGGCTCGATTGATATTCAACAATGGTCGTGGTGGTGGTGGCGACGAGGAGGAGGAGGATGAGGAGGAAAATAACACTGAGGAGGATGATAATTCCGAAGAGGATCGAGATCGGGTCTACAAGAAAGGCACAATTCATGGAAACGAATTTTACATAGAGAGTACAAATGATATTGATGCGATCGAGTTTCACTGCGCTGGCGCTGCGGCGCCGGCAAGAAGGTCTAGGGGAATGCATGATATTAAACCCAATGCAAAAATGGAGCACTTAAGCCGTAGCTGATTGATTCATTGATCCGATTGATCCGATTGATCCGATTGATCCGATTGATTGATTGATGAAAAACACACACACGTAATGCGTACCAACAAGAACTTTGGATCTTGGATTTCTTGCTCTGGACTAAAATAGTAAATTTTAAACCTTATTTTGAGGGAGGATATAGCGAAATCGAAATATTTAACATCCGAAAACAAAACAAAACAAAAAAAAAATGATAAAAAATTTATATGTGATTGTGAATTGTTTTTATATATATATATATTTGTAAATTTAATGTTTGTATTAAATTTTTATGAAAAATGTTATGTCAAGTTGAACTGAAACTAGTTGCCTCATGTGTGTATGTGTATGTTTGGGTGTTTATTCTTATTTATTTATGGCGGGAAGGGAGATAGTCCTGGTTTTAATACCCAAAGAGATGCTATAAATAGCATCGATACTGTAACGATTATTTGAAGCGAAGGTATAGGGGCTATATTATTGGAAAATTAAAGTTTTAAAATGTCAAAACTTGGCCAAAAACCCCCTTCGGTTTTTTTGAGAAAATGGCTACATTTTTAAATTCAAATTAAATTCTATTCGGAAAGCGGTTTTGTGTTAGTTTTAAATTTAAATATTTTCCGATTTTTTACAATTTTAATGATTTAACCTCTTGCATTTTTTTTTTAAATTTTTTTGCAAAAAATCGAGTTTTTAAAAAATCCATAAAAAATCCAAAAATGCAGTAAATTCAATTTGGAAAGTGGTTTTGTGTTCGTTTTTACAAGGTTAATAAATCTGCATACTAAATTTTAATTTATTTTAAATTTAATTTTTAGCCAATTTTTGACAATTTTAACGACAATTTTCAAAAAAAATTGAAAAAATTAGTTTTCCTTCTGGCATGGCTAGAAAGACTCGCCTGTTGATGCTGATCAAGAATATATATGGTTTATAGGGTCGGAAATGACTCATTCGCTGTGTGGCAAGGTTTTGACTGAAATTAGAAATACATTTTTATGTATTTATTCCCCCCATAGTTATTATATTTTACACATTATTTTGCATTGTTTTTTAGAAAGTATTTTATTTACAAAATATCGTATGAAATATGTACATTCTTAATACATTTTCGTTTTATTTACTATTTTTTGAGGCCAAAAGACAAAACTACAAAATATTGTAGTTGGAATTTGGATTACATTTATTCAAATGCTCATAGATACGCAGATATATGTTCCATGTAAATCATTATAAATTCGTTAATACTTTATTTTCATTCTTTTTCCGTGTCTTGTGTTGCAGAGATTATATGTGTGTAAGCTAGGTATCAAAAATCAAGTATATATATATATGTATATATGTATTTTGTCTTTTTACATAGGTAGTTGAGAGGTATTTTACATGGATCTCGCTGTAATCGCACTCGCTACTCTTTACGAAATCGTACAATCGCAGCACATGAGCGAGTAATACAGACATTTGACAACCTTTTCGTCGTCGCCATCGCTGCCCTTGGACGAATTGAGTTTGGCCTTGTCATTGCTATTGTAGCTATACAGTTGGCCGTCAAGCTGATCGGCCTCAGACTGCAGGCTGCCATCGAGTATGCCCTTCTTCGGAGCCTTCTTTCGCTTGTTTTTGTGCATCATCTCGTTGCAGTTGCGCTGCTGCACCATCTCGTCGATCCAGTCAAAGTCGGTGGCGTTTCCCTGGAAGCGGGGGAAACTGGAAATGCTTTCTATGGAGTTGATATCCTCCTGTTTCCAAAGAATTTCCGATCAAAATATTTACAAAATTATTAATACAAACCCCAAATGAATGATCATCAACTAGTGCTTACCTGATTATTATTATGGTTCTTATATTTAATCTTCTGCGGCGTCGTCTGTTGAGAATGGGCCGCGTCCTGCGCTCCTTGTTGTGCCAGCGGCGAGGAGGTCGTTGCTATCGAGGCTGTGGTTCCCGCCGAGCTATTTAGCACCACCTCCGTTTCACCAGTTGCAGCGGCTGGTGGCACCTTGGGCAAGTCTTCGGGGCCCATGAAGTTGTGCTGCAAACAGGAGACTCCTCAAAGTTAGTTACCCATGTAGTGGTTACTCCGTGTGTGCGCTGCTCTTACAAAGTCCTGTATCTCGGCGGTGGTAATGACATTCGGCGAAGTCATGGCTCTGGTGGATGGTGTCGAGGGTGCAATCTCCGATAGAGAGGATGTGGGTCTCAGATTGGGCAAGTGTGTGGTTACGGGGGTGGCCGGCAAAGTGGCAGTCTCCGATACGATGGCCGATGAACCATCAGTGGACGAAGTGCATTCGCTTTTGCCGCTTTGAGCGGCCAGTGAGCAGGTGGCCACCAGGCTCAGGGAAGAGGGTGCAGCCAAATCGGGTGAGGGTCTGAAATGTGGAAGCAGTTGTGTGTTATCATCATTTTATATTACAAATAAACAAAGGTTGAGATAAGTAAAACGGTATTAGGACACAGCTGTGGTTAACACTTTCGATTTTAGTCATAATAATTGCTTTGTTTGGCCCCTATTTCTCCGTCTCAACCATCTTACTTACAAGTCAATCAGCTCGGACTGTGCCTTGCTGCCGCCCAGGGACCACACCTCGCTTTTCTTTTGCGGCCCCGAGTAAGAGATGTGCTTGTTGGTAGTACTAAAGCGGCCTTTGGAATGAGACTTTCGGCCCGGTATCCACAATATGCGCATACCAGAGGATTTGCTTTTCTTCGTCGAGTTGGAAGCCATCTGAAAATCGTCGACTTGTGTAGAGTTTAACATTGAAATGGCACAAAAAATAAAAACATGCACGGAATGTGGGACTTGTATTTGTGTCTTCTACTGTGTGAACCTCAAAAAATGTGTAAAATTGGTGCCTGCAATCTGGGAAATTCAAAGATGCAACTATTGTATATAAATACATTAATATTCTTTATTATTCTTAAAGATAAAAATAATAATTCTTAGAATTCGTCACTTTCTTGGAATTACTTTTATCTTGGAAGCCCTTTAGTTACCCCAACATATAAATTATAAATTACTCACAATTTTTAAACAAGTGTTGGAAACTCAAAATTACCGCTACACCGATGTTTAATTATGAAAATATCAACAATTTTGAAATTTTTAAATATTACGAAATATAAAAAAGGGGTTTTTATACGTAAATCACCATATATTTCGATTTAAATAAAGCCTTTAAAATATATTATAATTATTTGTTACTCAAAGCATAGCTCTCTGCATTACCGCAAAAGAAACTCGTTGACAGTGGAGATTACGGAATGAATGAACGCGTTGCGGCGATGACGACCTTTAAAATATTTAAATGGGCTTTACCAATACCTAGTCAAGATTCACACATCACATCAACGACCGAAAATCGCCAAAAAACTTTGATACGAGTGACTTTTTAATAAACAAAAACAAATAAAAAAAAGACCGAAGCTTAGAATGCCCTAACTAGGGAACTAATTCTTATTGTTTATAGAAATATTTAAAAAGTATAAGTTTAAATTGAATTTATTTGAGAAGGTAGAAAGCCATATTTGGGCCATCTTTGGGGGGTTCTACTACCTGAAGTTTCTTGGCAAAAAGGACCACCCTAATAATCCGTATTCTTTGCTCCCATCTTAAAACAACAGTTATGTACACACATACACATACATATACGAGCGACAGATACAAGATGTAAGCCACAAGCACCAGAAAGCTGGCTCTGTGTAGAGTTTGGGTCACAAAGCTTTAAAAACAAGAGACAAACACATAAGACTAAGACGGGTAAGTTCGGTATGTGCCGTCTTCGCTGCTTTGCGGTATACCCCAAGGAAGGGTATAAGGCATTTATTTATTTACTCCAGACACTACTTTATATGTATGTACATACAAGTTGGCCGTGACAAACAAACGTAACAGACAGTGTATGTACATATGTACATCATCCATACATACATATACATAGGGAAATTGGCTGGAGTAGGTGGTAGATGAAAGCACAACTGGCTTTCGTGTGTTAAAAGTGGTTAAATCAAAACTTAAGCCATTGATTAAAGCACGCACAATGCACAACAAAAGAGATAAATCGCTCACCTTTTATCCTCAGATCTCGACCTCAATATCACTTATGGAAGTTAAACATTCACTTGGTTTTTGTGCAAATAAGGCATGTGCGTACGCCAAGTAAGTACATATGTACATATGTACGTGTAAGCCGCCGCTGTATTTAAGAGTGGGTTTTTTTATTTGTGTAAATTCGAGATACGGCTGAGATTCGGTGCCAAAAGGTGGCAATTTTCGACGCGTCGCTGATTTGTTTTGATTTTCTCCGAGAACTTTGCAAATTGACAAAATAAACCAACACACTAGTGCTGCAGTATGCTCGCTAGGCTTTTCGCTTATAATGCCGAAAGTTGTTCAGAAAAATACCACATTTGTATCTACACAGCAGCTGGTTACACTTAAGCCGCACTCGCAGAGGTGGCAACGCCGCATGGTGCAGAGCGAGAGAATCTCCGAAAAATTGGGAAATTCTAAATATATAACATGTTCTCGGAGCAGCGAGCGTGTAATATACGGATTACGGACCTGGCCAGGCCCAGTCTCCTCGTGCTCGTGCTGCACTCTGCTATCCGTTATCCGTTGCTCGCGTGTTAGACGTAGGTAATTCACTGCCTGGTTATTTTTATTCATTTATCCGCATACGTTGGGGACCGACCGCGCTCGTTAGCTTGCGTGTGTGTGTGTGTGTGAGTGATTGAGAGTTTGCAGGTGCCTGGATGTTAACAGTAAAAGTTAACTGTTGAGATACATAGTGGTAGATTAATGTTATCATCCGTACATCCCTATGTACATATGGATGTACAGATACATCTCTCCAAATTTACGCCACTCGAAAATAGCCATAAGGCGCATGTATATGTGTGTGTACATATGCAAGCAGAAGGCACAGCTGTGACCAAGATATTAGAGCTGCAGATCAAATGTTTTTGTTTTTTATTTTTTTGTGTGTACTTTTAAATCAGTATTTGCACATCACTAAGTTTTAAAAGTATATAACCCAAATATTTGTACTACAAAAGTCGAGATTTTACAAGCCTTTAAGAGATATACTAGAACCCCTTTGACGTGTAACAAAAAAAATTAATTAAATAAAACTATAAATATAAATTTTAAAGAAAAAAATGTAGTTTTTCGCAACTTCGAGCAATTTGTATCGATTTATTTGCTTTATAAATAACAAAATAATTTTAAATTTAAAAAATGTATCTATTATTTTACAAACTTAAATATTCATAATAATATATAGAACTGCAGGACGATCGTTGGGCGCTAGGATATTGACCACCACTGTTGATGTGAACCATCCATTCGTACATGTGTTTAGCCCGACCCGGCGCGCTTCTTTTAACAGCCCTCACCGATTCATTAGCGAAAATTTATTTTTGGAGCTGCGGCAAAAACAGCGACAAATTTTATTCGAATTTTTTTTTATTTTCTATGTTTCTTCGTCGACACGAAAAACACAATTCGACAACTTTCCTCCCATCCATTCAATGCACGGCGCCCGTCCGACTGCAGTTCAATCAACCAGAAGCCTCAATTGAATTTGAAAATCAGACTGCGAACCGTTAGTATCTGCATTTGATGTAAGCGGGGGATGTACATACATACATAAGAGAAGAGGCCTGTATTCGTTACAGTCCCAAAAATTAAGGTGTACGGTACGAGGTACCACTTAATATTTCAAGAGTACAAAATTACTAGCATTATAATATTTACAAAATGCGCAGCAGCGTTATTATGTAACATATGTACATATATATGTACATACATACATGTGTACATCAAATCGTACACAAATGGGGACATTTTGTTAATTCTTCAGCTCAATATTTTTGGAAATAGCCCGAATTCTTTTGTGGGAAATTGTCTAAAGCTGCTTAAAATATTTATTTTGTTACTTTTAAACTAGAGTATGGTAATATTGATTGATATGTATTAAATAATGAAGAAACTAATAAGAAAAACACATAAAAAATGTAAACCAAGTCTAGATCAAATCGCTCTGTGATTCTACAGAGGAGAATGTCAAAACTTTAAAGCCAATTATAAGTAGAACCAAAGACAATAGAGTTAACTTGACTCTAATGTCTTTGGTAGAACCTTAAAAACTACAAAAACTTGTCTTTATTTAAAAAATATTACTATAATTATATTATAAATTAAATTTTTACCTTTTTTAGATTATCACCCGTGAAGGCAGGACACAAGAAAGGCTGTGATCATGGACCCGGAAGCATTTTTGGACGTGGCCAACCAGGTCATTAAGCTGAAAATGTTTCCATTCTTTGACATTGCGCACAGTCTGCTAGCCGCATTGGCCGTGCGCGAGGATTTGGGTGCCAATGCGCAGGCATTTTCGCGGAAACATCCGCTTGCCTGCTGGCTCTCCACCATGCTGGTGATCTTTGCCGGCGGCATGGTGGCCAACGGCTTGCTGGGCGAGCCGATATTGGCTCCGCTAAAGAACACCGGCCAGCTACTTGTTGGCACTGCCGTGTGGTAAGTTAGCCAGAAGCGTTGAGCCCCTCCGATTTCCCCCAAGTAATTGATATACTCCTTCTCCAGGTACGTGGTGTTCTACACGCCGTTCGATATTGGTTACAAGGTGGCCAAGTTCCTGCCCGTCAAGATCGTAGCGAGTGCCATGAAGGAGATATATAGGGCAAAAAAGGTCTACGACGGTGTGGGACATGCGGCCAAGCTGTATCCCAATGCCTGGATAATCATGATCATCATAGGCACCCTCAAGGGCAACGGAGCGGGCTTCACCAAGCTAATCGAGCGTCTAATTCGAGGAGCCTGGACCCCTACGGCCATGGAGTTTATGCAGCCAAGCTTGTAAGTATATTCCTTGATATGACGATCTTGATTTTAGATCATGTATCACCATTATCCTTTTGTAGTTACACCAAGGCATCGTTGCTGGCATCTATTATCTTTGTGCTGGACAAGAAGACCGACTGGATCTCAGCACCGCATGCATTGGTTTACTTTGGCATCGTCATATTCCTGGTCTACTTTAAGCTGTCATCGATTCTGCTGGGCATCCATGATCCCTTCCTGCCGCTAGAGAATCTATGCTGTGCCATTTTCTTTGGCGGCATCTGGGATAGCCTGGCTAAGATTCTGGGCCGTGGACAGGCCAAGGATGGGGATAGCAAGGATGTGAAGAAGAATAACTAACAAGCAAAGCAAACAAAACAAATGCAAAAACAAACAACTATTTGTAGTTAGCCAAAAAAGTACTTAATGCTGCCAACCAAAGCATAACGCACACACATATATTCATATATATATACTATACTATATACTATATATGTATAGCATAGATTAGCCATCATAGGCGTGCTCCTTGCCTTGGCTCTTCCCCCTTTGCAAGCGGTTTCAAGCGCTTCCTAAACTAAACTGAAAGCCAACGCATTGAGAAAACAAACGTCAACCGAAAGATCTTCCCGTGCCAAAGACATTTTTTATTTTTTATGTAAACTCTGTGTGGAAATTGGTCTTGAGAGGCAGCTCTTGTGGGTGGGTGTGCCCTTTAGCTGCTGCTGCTCGACTCTGATTTCACGACAAGTGTTTTTTGTTTTAAATTGGTAGTATAAATACGAGATCATAACTAAAATCCGACAGGAAAACGAACGAAATGTGTAAATATATATATGGGAGGGTGTGCAGATCACGCGCGAGGAGGTTTCTTCCTTTTTATTTCATTTATTTGTAATATTTTTTAAAATAAATTTTAAGAGTTTTTATCTAAAAACTCGATAATAGAACAAATTGGCCAAAATGTAGACTTGTGAACACGCATTCAAGCTGAATTAAGGAGCTTTTTTGCAAGAGAAAAGCAGAAGTTGCAATAAAATTATGTAAACTATACGAAGATTGGACTGTGTTTACTCATTTTAGTTTTAAATTGGTTTAAAAAAAGTAAAGTAAGTAAAGTAACTAAAACAATAAACCAAGTAAAGAGTTTCAAATTCGTTTATTATACAAAATTTTCAGATTTAAACAACCATTTGCTGAACTTAAAAGAGAGTCCAAAGTGAATGATTTGTTATAGATTGTAATCCCTACTTTCCTTAGATTCTTTCCCGAAAAAAAGACCCAGCCACGGAGTTGTAAATGGACTTTAGTTTTAATCAATATTACAAACTTTAGAGCTTACAATTAAATTATAAAGATGCAGACTATCCACTGTCTACACGGTGGTGTAGTGCGCCTTACAGTGAACTGAAACAAGAATTAGTAAAAACAAAGTTTCCATCAACCAAAATCTGCACAAAAACTCACCTATAAACTCGCCCACGGGATCGTTGTCACCCTCGCCCCGCATCGTGCCCGTGATCTCCTCATTCTCCACCATCGGCAGGAAGAGCTGCACGAATTCCGGCGAATAGGGATGGGTAATGGTCTCCAGGACCTCAGTGACAAAGTACCGGATGAGGGAGATGTCGGTGTCCTCGATGGCACAACACTGCTTGATGTACCGCAGGACGGGAACAACACAGCCGCGGGTTAGCAAATTAACCATTCGGTCCAATATCATCTTTTTCATCTCCAGCTGGACAAGAATTTCCAGCTCATCCTGCTTGGATTCGAACAGGCGGATGAGCAGGAATAGGATCTGCTGCTGCAGAGTGGGATGCACGGCGGCCACCTCATCCAGAACGGCCAGATGGGTGGGACAGCTGTCGGTGGAGAGCTTGAAATAGGACGGTTCCATGACCACATTTTCGATCCATCGAATGACGCCAACGCCCACCACGGGATATCTAGGGTAAAAGCATAGAAATGTATTTGTGTTTGAGGTTTATCTCTCCTCTTGAAACTCACTTGATGCAGTTGTAGAGCGTCTGCAGCTCTGCTATCAGCTCCGTGGAGCCCTGGTCAACGTTACAGATGGCATGCGCCTTCTCGATGGCCTGAATTGTGCTCTTCAGCTCCTCCTTGTTGAGGGTTCGCTCCGTCATGGGCCGCTTCTTGGCCGGCTGATCAATCACAGCCGATGCGTAGGCGAGCAAAAACATGTACTTTGGCTTATGCTCGGGATTGATCTTGACGCCGGAACGGAATAAAGCGTCCACTAGAAGCTCCAGGAACTGTGGATTCCGTATCAAATCGATGGGCGGCGGATCGGAGCCGGAGTAATTGCGAAACAGCACGGTAATGTCGGCGGGATTGAGTGTGTTGCGTGTGAGCATGGAAGTTAGAGCCTGGCAGGCCTGCGGATAGACTGCCGAGCCATTCAAGGCCATCGTTATGGGTGTGACATTCTGGTTGCTGCGAGAAGAGAGATAAAGATGAGCTTGCTTGAAAAAAGGTAATCCATAATACCCACTTTTGTAAGGCATATTTGATAATCTCCTGGGAGAGACGCTTCATGTTGAAGCCACCCTTTTGCTCCTGGCTGAGCACCTGGATCAAAACCTGAGAGTAGACATACGTGTGCTGGCCATGACACACCATGCGGGCGCATTCCTGGATGGCCCCATGCACATCGTCCGGATTGTTGAGAAACTTCACAATGGAGGTCTTGAGGACGCGCGAGAAAACCTCTATCTGCTGGGCCGCCGTCGAAATGGAGGTGATCTCGCTCTGGAAGCCCGCATCCGAGATCAGCTTGATGGTAAAGTTGAGCATCAGGCAGTCGGGATATTCCTCGGCCAGCCGGTAGATCAGTGAACGCCACGTGTAATGGTCAATCATTTCGGTGAGCCAGTCGGGCGTCTCGCCCTCCTCGGTGAATATGGTGTCGGCCTTCTTGGGATCAAATGACTTGAGTATCATCTCCTTTAAATGATTCTCCACCATGGCCTGCACCTCGGTCACCTTGACGCCGGCCAGAATGAGCCACTCGGCCAGCAGGTTGGCCATCTGGGCCACCGCCTTGTAGTTCTCCGAGAGCATGGATATCACCTCCTCGGGTGAACCGCCCGACTGGAAGTAGCGCTTGAGCTGTGTAAAAATGCCCGGCTCCATGATGTAGTCGGGGGTCAGGAACTTCTCCAAGCACTCCTGGATCGTCTTCTGTGGGTTGTCCTCGTGCATTTCCTTTTATTATTATAAAAACAAACATTATTTAAGTTTAAATATGTTTTTTTAAGTGCAGGCTTAAATAAACAAAAACACGAATACAAAACAGAGTAGGCTTGGCCCACACTCCTCACCTCCGTGTTGGACTGCGCCTTGGCGCGGCTCTGCCAGGCGGAGTCGTCGTATTCCACTTCCATTTCAAAAACTGATTTACATTAACAAACTAATAATTTTTAATATTTTTTGTTTTTTTCCTGCTTTTTTGTTGTTTCCAAAATTAGATGTGACCTTAAACTGATAAAGGCAAAATAATGTAGATTCTAGAATTATGCCATGTTTACACCATCAAAATCGATTTATCGATAAGCCAACGAGTAAGTATATTTTGTTGTTTGGTATTTTTAACTGCCAAGCGGTCACACTGTTGCCGGTCTTCCTCGCGCTTTTTGTTGTTTTGATTTATTTTGCTTTTAATTTGATTTGTTTGAATTAAAAAGCAGAATCTTCCGCCATGTCGAACCAACGGAAGGACATGTGGAAGCTGCTGTACAACCATGTCAATCGCAACGGTGCCAATTTGGCCCAGGTGTACACGGTGATCGAGGATATACTGTGCCAGGAGCCGAGCCTCATCAGTTGCTCGCTGGTCCGAGAGCTGAACAACAAATTCCAGGACACCTTCCTCCTGTGGCTGCTCAACAAGCTGGCCAGGTGCCTCAGCGAGGCTGCGGATGGAAGGTGAGCCAGCAAGATCCTCCCTCAACTTTTAATAATGTTCTTATTTTTTTGGCCTCCAGTCAGTGCATCAATCTGCAAAGGAAAATCCTTAGCTCCTGCTGCTCCAATCATCCCAAGCTATTCCAGCGCCTGGTCCTGGCCTACATCGAGGCTCTGGATAAGCTGCACCTACAACTAAGTCGCGTGGATAAAAAACACAGCCTGTGCCTGGCCATTTTCAAATGCGATGTGGCCTGCCTCCAGGAATTTGATCCACTCTGCGCCTTCGAAGATGTCCATTTGCCGCTGGCGAGGGCCGATTCGTATGCCAAGAGTCTGCTGCTGGTGCTCCAGCATGCCCAACTCATTGGCCATTCGACGCACTCAGGCATCTTCTCGGGCAGCCTGCGACAGGCCCTGCACATCCTCAAGGAGTGCGACATGGAGGCCAAGCTGGTGAGCTTGAACTACTGTCACAGAGTGCTGCAATCCCAGTCGCCAACAGATCCGGATGTCTGCCATTATGCCCAGCTTACACTTGAAGCTTTGACTATAATGTGGCCCTTGGTGGCCAAGTGGCTGGAGGTGGGCTGTATGACGCGGGAGGAGCTCAAGCAGCTGAAGGTTATAACGAGGCAACTGCTGGGTGTTTTAAGGGAACATCTAAGAGATCAGGAAGCCCTGCAACTGGGTTATCTCCTCTTGAATGAGCTACTCAGCTTGCCGGCTAACCTGGAAGTGGAGGAGCTGCTGGAGGCAGCCAGTAACTATATGCAAGGCCAGCTAAACCTAGGGACAGCCTCGCTAGAGCAACTGGAGCACCTGCATCAGCTGGTGATGAGTCATTGGCGCTTGCATCCTGAACATTTACTGCCACTAATGGCCTTGCTCTGCCTCAAGCATCAGGGCATAAGGGCAGGAACAGTGCAGATCCTGATCCAGGAGGGTCTTTTATCCTCAAATCCTGAGAAGCCCAAAGAGCTACATTTAATGGTGGCCATTTTGCGGGCTCTGAAGCAGCTGGAGCAGCTCATCTTAAACCAAAGCCAAAGGAAGCTAGCGGAAGAAGAAGCTACCCGACTAACTCCAGCTGTGTTGGCCAAGTTGCCGCTGCAGTGTGACCTGCCCCAGGTGAAGGACATCAACTGGAACAGCCTGGCCATGAAGTTGCTAGAGCAGCAGGCCAAATTATCTCCCACCGAAATGGAAATCTTCTCGCTTTTGATGCAAATCTCGAGCATTCGTCAGGCCTTGAAGTCGCCCACGCAACATCAAATGCTGAGCCTCCTCCAAAGTCGCGTGGCCTTGCCCTTGGGTCGCTTGGAGCTGGATCAACTGTGTGCCATACGCCTGGAGGCCACTCCCTCGAGTGCCCACACCCAGTTGCAATCCTTCTATGCCCAGCATTACACGAGTCTCTTGGAGCAAGAAGCCTTCTTTGACCACCTGCCCCAGCTGTACATAGCGGGCTACATCAAGCAGGAGCAACTGGTCAAGGTTTTGCCGGGTATAAAAGGTCACAAGGAGCGGAACCAAGTCCTACGCCTTTTAGTTTGCTGCTCCTCCCACTTTGCCTTCAAAGTCAAAGATCACATTGAGTTGTATTGCTCCAAGTGCAGAGCCTTGCCGGAAGGCCTTCCTCCGGGGATTTACCTGGGCAAATGCAAGCAGCAACCCGCCAAGTTGGAGTTCTCATCTGTGACACTGGAGACCATAGCCAGGGATTTGCTGTTCCAGCCGGATTTCTGCTTCATTACCCGCCACCTGGATAGGCTGAGCCTGGAGCCAAGTCTGGTTATGCGGCTGCTTAAGGAGGAGGTCAAGGCTTTGGAGGTTGTCCAGGCCAATACCTTCCGTCTCCTGGTGCCCGCCATGCCCGAGTTGATGCCACAATTTGCCAGCTTTGTCTTGGAGACCATTAAGGCCATGCTGGCGAGGCCTTTGCCGGAGCAGAGCATCACCTGGCAGCGAAATATTCTACGCATCATCATAGCCTCTGCTGCAGATCCCCACATAGAGGAAATCTGGCTGTTCCATTGGTTCAAGATGACCTTTTTCTTTCTGGTCAACACCCACTCGCTGGTGGCCCAAGAGGCTGTGCTGGCCGCCAGTGAGTTGTGTGCCAGCCATGGCGTGCAGACCATCAATCTGTGGAACTGGTATCGCCGAGATGCTTTGGATCTGACCATACGCCTGGCCCTGGCTGCGTATCTCACAGAGGGGGTGCGCTTCACCAGATCGCTTAGAGCGGTGGGTAGCAGGAGTCTCCTTCTCTCCCGGTTTTGTTTGTAATTTTTTGTGCTCTCTTTTTAGCTCACCAAAATGCTGGGCTTTTCGTGCGTCCAGGAGTTTACCTGCAAGTATCATCGTTTCCTCACTGCCATGGTCTTGCCGCACTGCATCCTGGAGCCGCGCTGCAAGGGTGTTTTGGTTTTGATAGCCAAGCAGCTGCGCAAGCCCATTGCCACATTGTTCTCCACCTCCTTTCTGCGCATCTACACCCATGTCTACCTCACCGAGGAGCCGGAGCTGGCCAATAGCTGCATTGAGCTGGTGGTCAGCTGCACGCAGTCCAGCCTGCAGCAGCTCATGAATGCTGATGTGAAGGTGAGTGGGTTACTTGTCAATGCTACTTGTTACTTGTTAATGATTATCAATGGTTTCTTCACAAATTCCTTCTCTTTTCCAGCAAACTGTGGCCGAACTGCTCATCTACTTTAATCGCAATCCCACCTTTGTCATGCGCTCCTTCCAGAGCCTGCTGCAGTTCACTGGCGGAGGAGGAAGTGTCCCCTCGGAGCTGTCCAGTCAGGCGGCCAATGCCGAGTTTGCCACCTTCATTGCCGAGCGTTTCCTAGGCGTCATCACCTATTTCGAGAGCTGCCTCAGTGAACCGACCTTTGAGAAGCCCCTCAAGGAGGAGACCCTGTACAGCCTGGGTCAGATCATGCGCTTCGTGGGTGCCCAGCATGTGACCCAGTTTCGTTTCAAGATCATAGCCATGCTTAGTTTCGTACACACCCTAAACGAGCCGCGTTTGCAGAGGATTTGCCTGAAGATTTGGCACATCTTTTTGCATGTGGTGAATGTCCAGGAGCTGGGGCCATCGCTGGGCAGGATTGTGGCCACATTGCAGCCGCTGCTGGCAGACAGCGAGAGTGTTTCGCAGGTGAATGATTTGTACGAGTTTGTGATCTTGCGGAATGCCTCCATGCTGGGCAACTACATAACGGATTTGTACTTTCTGGAGAGGATGGAGGAGGTGTCGCCGGCCATAAGGAGAAGCATACGCAGGCACACGGCGCATTTGGTGTTGAGTGGGGAAGGAGGAGGAGGAGCAGGAGGAACAGGAGGAACAGGATTAGCACCGGAACAGGATGAATCACCTGCCCAACTCCGCGATCAGCTGCGCTTTCTCCACAAGCACATTGTGGACGAGTGCCTCCAGGTGCGTATCTATGCCTTGCAGCATCTCGGCGAGCTTTTTGGCCGCCGACGTAACCAGCTGAACCGCATGATCCTCAATGAGCAGCCGCTGGAGCCCATGCTGGAGCAGATTGTAAACGTTTTGATGACTGGCTGCCAGCACGATGATCGGCAACTCCAGATGGCCTCGGCCAAGTGCCTGGGCGAACTGGGTGCCATCGATGCCAGCTATTTGCCCTCCAACTATAACTTTGCCAGCTCCAAGCCCATGCCCCTCAGTGTTCTCTCCGATGACTTTGCTGTGCTGGCCCTGACCGCCTTGTGTCGTGGCTATCAGTTCCAGCAGAAGACCAAGCATGTGGATAGCTTCTCCTTGGCCATACAGGAGACCCTGGCTGTTTGTGGAATCTCTCCGAAGGAGCACAAGAAGGTGCAGTTGTGGCAATCGCTGCCGGAAAGAATGCGCCAGGTAATGGAGCCCCTGCTCCACTCCTGCTACACCAGTTGCCAGCGGCCCAGCTCCCTCCTGCAGCAGCAACAGCAGCCGCTCTTTGGCAGTTACTACTACTACGAGGAGTGGGCCTTCCTCTGGGCAGCCCGACTCATTGATTACATACAAACCTCGTCGGATACGCGGCATCTCCTGAACTCCTACAAGCCCTGCATCAAGCGGGATGGCAACATGCTGAGCACCTTTTATCCCTACATCCTGCTGCATGCCCTGCTGGAGTGCAGCGAAGAGCAGCGGAGGCTGATACTCGAGGAGTTCATGACCGTTTTGAGGGCCAACGAGAAGAGGAGTTCCAGTAACCAGCAGGAGCTGGGCGAGATCAAGGAGAATGCCTTCAAGCAGTTCGAGTCTAGGAAATATGGAGCGGGAACCAAGCAGCAGTTAACCAAACCCACGGGGGAAGGTGGATCCTTCCAGGAGAGGAGTGCCGCCGAAGCCAGTCATGTGCCCCGACTGGCCGGCAAGCTGTGCGCCGAACTCTTGGACTTTTTGCAGCGCTGGCTGAGGGAATGGCAGCGCATGCATGGCAGGAGTACCAATGGCAAGCCACCACAAACTATAGATAAAAACTACCGAAAGATTCACGAGTTTCTGGCCGAGATTCCCAAGCTATTGGTCTCGCGGGCCAGCTACAATTGCGGCGAGTATGCCCGCGCCTTGAGCTACCTGGAAAGCTATCTGGAGGAGGAGGAGGAGGACAAGCCCAGGCGCCTGTTGGAACAGTTTACCTTCCTCGTGGAAGTCTATGGCTCCTTGATGGACTCGGATTCGGTGGAGGGTGCAGTGCAGGCTCGCAGCTACGACAGTGTAAGCGTGGCCCAGGATATTGTGGTGAATCGTTTGGTGGAGCGGCAGCAGGACATGATCACCTGCTATGAGCAGCTGCTCTCCAGCGGGGACCAGCTGCAGCCGGAGCATATCCAGGCCATGATTGATGCGTATTTGAGGGATACTCCAAGGACAGCCCAGCTTATAGCTGAAGGACTATGGCAGCGTTTACCAGAGGATCAGTACTCGGAGCAGTGCTTTGCCGAGTGCAAGTCGGAGCTGCTGTGGCGCCTGGGCAGCTACGATGAGCTGGAGCAGCTGCCTCTAGAAGAGCTCAAGTCCAATTGGCCTGCCCAGTGCTCTCAGGGTTGCCTGGCCTTGAGGAGACCCCTTACCACTCCCTCGCAATTCGAAGGCTTGCTGGATGGGATGCGAGGTTCGGTGCTGGAGCAGCTGCGCAGCTGCTCGGCTGTCCAGCAGCATTCCTATGCCAATGCCTATGATTCCGTGTTGAAGCTGCACTTGGTCCATGAGCTGCAGTGCAGCCAGCAGCTGGTGGAGCAGCTGGAACAAGGTGATACGGCTACGGAAGACCAGGAGAGGATCATGCTCAGGTACTTTGAGGACTGGCAGTACCGCTTGCAGATCATCCAGCCGCAGGTTCGCGTCCAAGAGCCCATCTACAGCTTCCGCCGGAATCTACTGGCTGAGCTCCAGCAAAGACTCTCCAGCCGGGAGCATCTACTGCCCCATCTCCAGACGGAGCTGGCCAGGCTTTGGCTGAACAGTGCCCAGATCAATAGGAATGCTGGCCAGCTGCAGCGTGCCCAGCTGTATATACTCAAGGCGGGGGACTACAAGCCTCCGGGTTTGTTTATTGAGAGAGCCAAACTCCTCTGGCAGAAGGGGGACCAGGTGATGGCCATCAACTACCTGGAGGAGCAGCTAACCAGCATGCGTCTGGCCTGCCAGGGTAATGTCAAGGCCATGCCGGAGGATCAGCGACACTTGTACTTCCAGGGCAAGTACCTGCAGGCTGTCTACAATGCTGAATCCATGCACCTGTGCGCCGACGTGGTGCTCCGCCAGTTTGAGGATGCCATTGCCGTGCACAAGCAGTCCGAGAGCTGTCATGTGCAGCTGGCGCAGTTTCTGGAAAAGATGCGCGAGGCCAAGCTGGGCAAGGTGTCCTCCACATCCCACGAATCCGATGACATGCTCATCCAAATCCTCTTCAACTACGCCCGCTCCCTGAGGTATGGCAGCCAGCATGTCTACCAGTCGATGCCGCGGGTGATCAGCCTGTGGCTGGACACGGCGGAAAATTCGCCCAATGAGGTCCAGCAGGTGCGCAAGATGAACGATCTGCTGAGCAATTGCTGCACTGTCCTGCCCACCTCTGTCTTCTACACGGTCTACTCCCAGATGCTGAGTCGCTTGTGTCATCCCCATGCCGAGGCCTTTGCTGTTTTGCGCAATGTGATTGTGCGTCTGGTGGAGGAGTATCCGCAGCAGTCCTTGTGGATGCTTCTGCCCCACTTCAAGTCGGCCACCGCCAACAGGATCAAGCGTTGCAAGCTGGTGCTCACCGATCGGAGGCTCCAGAATGCTACCTTTCAGAAGCTCCTCAGCGACTTTAACTCCCTCACCGAGCGCCTGATGGAGCTGACCAACAAGGAGGTGGCCCTGGATCGCACCTACAAGCTGAGCGACCTGGATAGACGCCTCACCAAGCTCTGCAATCAGGCGGATTTCTCGAATATCCTGTTGCCCTTTGAGAAGTATATGCAGCCCACTTTGCCGCTGAGTTCCGAGGCCACATCTCTGTCACCTCTGGCCGGGCACAACTCCAGCTCCAGCTCCACTGGCAACTGGTTTCCCTACCAGCAAATCTACATCAGTGGCTTCCAGGAATCGGTGTTGATTCTGCGCTCGGCGGCCAAGCCCAAGAAGCTAACCATTCGCTGCAGCGATGGCCAGGATTATGATGTACTGGTGAAGCCCAAGGATGACCTGCGTCGCGATGCCCGTCTGATGGAGTTCAATGGCCTGGTGAAGCGGTATTTGCATCAGTCAGCGCCAGCCAGGCACCGGCGTCTTCATATACGCACCTATGCCGTGCTGCCGTTCAATGAGGAGTGCGGCCTGGTGGAGTGGCTGCCCAATCTCTCGTCGTACCGCAGCATCTGCATGAGTCTGTATGCTCAGCGGGGGCAGGTGATGTCCAGCCGGATGCTGCATCAGCTGGCCGTGCCGCTGCACGATCCGCTGGAGCGGAAGCGTGAGGTGTTCCTCAAGCAGCTGCTGCCCGCCCATCCGCCGGTGTTCCAGGAGTGGCTGCGTCAACGCTTCGCCACCCTGCACAGCTGGTATGAGGCCAGGAACACCTACATACGCACCGTGGCTGTCATGTCCATGGTGGGTTATATCCTAGGCCTGGGCGATCGGCATGGCGAGAATATTTTGTTTGATGAACGAAATGGAGACGCTGTCCATGTGGATTTCAACTGCCTGTTCAATCAGGGTGAACTGCTGGCCTATCCGGAGGTGGTGCCCTTTCGGCTGACCCAGAACATGATCGCGGCCATGGGTCCGCTGGGCGTGGAGGGCAGCTACCGGAAGTGCTGCGAGATCACGCTGCGGCTGCTCAAGCAGGAGGCCAAGACCCTGATGTCGATGCTGCGGCCGTTCGTCTACGATGTGGGAGCCCAGATAAAGAATGGGAGTGCCGCCGCCAAGATTCACAACGATGTACAGCTTATAGCGGATCGGCTGCAGGGGCATGTGAGTGATTTTTACTTTTTGTTATGATTTTAATTGATTTTTTTAAATTATTTTATTTAATATTATTTGAATTTTAATTAATTCTTTTCAATTATTTTATTTAATTTATTATTATTATTATTATAATTTTAATTTATTATTTTCAATTATTTTATTTATTTAATTATTTTTATTATAATTTTAATTAATTCTTTTAAATTATTTTATTTACAATAATTTAAATTATTATTATAAAAAATTTTATGTTTTTTATAATTATTATTATAATTTTAAGTAAATCATTTTATTTAATTTATTATTATAATTTTAATTAATTTTTTTTCAATTATTTTATTTATTATAATTTTAAATTATTTTTTTAAACATTTTTATTTTATTTATAATTATTTTTATAATTTTAATTAAATCTTTATAATTATTTTATTTTATTTATTATAATTTTTTATTCATATTTTTGTAATTATTTTATTTATACTTTTTCTTAATATATTTTTAAAATTATTTTTCCAGGTCAAGCGTCGGGCCAACAGCATTCCCTTGTCCACTGAGGGACAGGTGAACTTCCTTATTAACGAGGCCACCAAATTGGACAACTTGGCTGTCATGTACATTGGCTGGGGAGCGTTCCTTTAGACCTTAATATTCCCCATCAAAAGAGAGTTTTTAAATACTCATTAATTTACATAAATATGCCTTTGTTTTTATATGTGTAAGTCAAAAAAATATAAAAATATTTAATAAAATTAGCAATATATATATATATATATATTCTTTAAATTTGTAATTTAAAAATTAAAAAAAATAAGAAATATATATATATATTTTATTTAAATTTGTAATTACTGGGATACTACAAATCGGAAAATAAAATCTGAAAATTCAAAAATAGACAAAATTAGAAAATCCGAAAATTTTGAATTTAAAAAATCACAATCTCATATCATATTATTTATTTACAAATTGTGCTATTAAACAGTCGGATACTTTAAATTGAAATGGGGATTTAGATTCATTCCGCTAACTTCCCCAGAGCCCTGGGAACCCGAAACATATCGTTGATCACCTTGACAACGAAATCGGGCAGCAGACAGGCCGCCGAGCAGACGATAGTGTAGAGCCACAGGGGCAGCGAGGCCAGGAACTGGTTATAGACATCATAGAGCTCGCCACTGGTGTCCAGATTGTAGAGGTACGTGGTCAGCATGAAGGCCAAAATGGAGGCCAGAATCATTCCCAGGTTCAGATAGGTGAGGTAGCGGGCCACCAGGAGTAACTTCAGGTTGCCCACGATTACGATGACGGTGATGAGCATGGTGCCAAAGGTCTGGAAACTGGCAGTCTGTCCCACATTGTGGACCACGTTCTCATCGTTGAGCAGGCAGTAGGCGAAATAGAAGATGATGAAGCATTGCAGGAAGCCGTTAAGGATCCACAAGGTAAAGACACCCATGGAGGCCTGGCGATTGTGGGCGAGGGTCTTGTAGAGTTCTGGATGTCTGAGGAAAAGGGAGGAGGGTCGGTTTAGGGGTTCTAAGGATACTCTTAAGGAATGTGTCAAGGATTCACCCACCTGAGCAGCTTCTCCTCGCTGTAGTGCTTATCCGAAATGGCCAAATACGTGAAGCTAAACGAGATGTAGACAATGTCAAAGAGCCAGAGATACAGCGAGTTGTAGACATTGGTGGCGGAGAAGAGATCGTAGACCTGGAACAGGGCCATACACCCCGTGATGATGATGTTCTTGTAGCAATAAAAAAGCACCAAGAAAGCCAAACGCTGGGAGTTGTAGTGACCATGGACGAGGAGCAGCCGCTGCAGCATCTCAAACCGGGCTATGGCAAAGTCAGCACAGCGTGCCGCCTGCTTACCCTCGCGTCCAGCTATCCCTATGCCTATGTGCGCCTCCTGAATCATAGACACATCGTTGGCCCCATCCCCAATGGCCGCTGTGATGTGCTTCTTGCGCTTCTTCACCAGCGTCACGATCTCACACTTCTGGAGTGGACTCAGGCGGCAGCAGAGCACGGCCCGGCAGCGTAGGGCAAGATCAGCAAATTCGCGAGGAAAATGCTTTAGCAGGGCGGCAATGGTAGCTCCATCAATCACCAAAACCTCTGCCTCAGCAGCTTCGAGCTCTTGGAGACGTGCTTTTAAAACTGAAACCTCGGTGAGATTGACCACAAAGTGGGGCTTGGAGTTGGGAGGAATGTGCCGGCAGGCCAGGCCTATATTGAAGGCAGTTTCCACTTTGTCGCCGGTGAGAACCCAAATCTTCAGACCAGCTCTTTGGAGGGCCTCCAAAGTCTCGCCCACCTGCTCCTGCAGGGCATCCTCCAAGGCAGTGGCACCCAGGAGATCAAGACCTGGACAAGATCAGATTGGTATTAACCTAGGCAAAAAGGTATTCTCGAAAGACTCACCCATCTCCACAGCTTCATAGCACTTGGCTATGAGCTCCGAGCGATTGCTTAGCTGTATATTGGCGTTGTTGTACTCCGCCTTAAAGCTGGCCAACTCCTCCTCGCTGAGAGTACGCCGGGCCACGGCCAGAGTGCGTAGACCCTCCTTGGCATACTTGGTGATTTGCTCATCAGTCTGCTCCAGACGCGGACTTGGCTTGCATCGCGGAAAGATGATGTTCTCGGCTCCCTTGCTATACAGCCAGATGGTGCCACTCTGGCAGTCCCTCAAAATGACGCTCATCCGTTTCCTTTCCGAGCTGAACTCCAGGACATGAAGCCGCTCGTAACGCAGCTCTTCGGTGCTAGTGCCGCCGCCTCCTGCCCAAGGATACCGACGAATGTGTAGTATGTCCTTGTCCTGACCCTCAAAGACAAGACCCAAACTGGCGCAGCCCTCGAGCAGGGCTTTCTCGTCGGGACTGGAGGCCTGATAGCGGCCCACAATGTCGCCGTTCATCAGGCGGCTTCGTTCGGATGTGGACTCCGCTGGCTTCTCGCTTGCTGCTCCCTGAAGCACTTCCACGGTGTGGCAGACACTCAAAGCCTCGAAGAAGATGCTGGCCTCGGCCTGGATGGATTTGGATTAGAGTACTTGCTACCCGGATACTCACTCCCAAGGATACTCACATCGAGTTTACCCAACTCCAGCTGCTCGCCAGTGTCCTGGCATAGAAGCTGGGTCTTCTGCAGCTGGAAGCTTTGCCCCGAGACATAGCAATTGACGAACTTCATGAGGTTCTTGGTGAGAGTGCCCGTCTTGTCCGAGAATAGTATATTGACCTGGCCCAGTTCCTCGTTGAGGTTGGAGGCATTAACTCGGCAAGGCTGGTCGGTCTCCTCGTCGTACAGATGGAGGTCGTTGTGCATGAAGTGCATGCCAAAGATACGATAGAGTTCGATGTTCATATAGGCGGAAATGGGCACCATGTAGTTGAAGAGCAAAAGGAAGGAGAGGAAGTCCTCGAAGATCTGCCAGGCCGAGTTAAAGTTGGTGGGAGGGCCCAGGTAAGGCATGGTGGGCACAATCTTGGCCTCCTTGTGACTGCATCGAAAAAGAAGGGTATAATATAAGAGAGTAACTTTTGTGAGACCTCCTCTTACCGCTGGATGAGATACAGCACCACCACCACCACGACCATTCCCACGATCAAAGCCACCATGAACCTGTTGATGTACTTCTCGCTGGAGGCGGACTTGTTACCCGTGTAGCGACTGTTCAGCTGCAGCTTTGTGTGCATGCCCGTGTAGATGGCACAGCCCACCGCTCGGTCGGTGCCCTTGAGCCGAACGCCACGGAGCAGCAGGTTATCAATGGTCAGCGGCAAAGCGGCTTCCCCGGACTTGAGCTCCAGGCGTCCATTAAAACTGTACAGATCCGGGGTGGCGGGCTCACACACAATGCAGCCTTGGCCCATTCCCGAGCCGAGCTCATAGTTATGTGGCGTCAATATGGTCTTCAGGTTGGTCTCTCCATCCAGATTGGCCGTGGTCACGTGGCACTTGGAGGATCCGGGCGAAGACTGCAGTAGCACGAGGTCACAGGGCACATCTCCCTCATTGCGGACCACCACAAGATCGCCGGGTATAACGAACTGGGAGGCTATGACCTCCTCCTTGCCATTGCGGATGACAGTCACTGGAATGTGAGGTTGGACAGGATTAGGTTTGGCTGAGCGAATGAGAATATGAGAGAAAGGCGATCTAGGTACAGAGTTTTTACGATTATTATGTCCAGTACCTGTACCTAAGCAAAGACTTTTAGCTGAAATTATCATAGTTTGTACCTAGGAGTGTGTACCTAGAGCGCCTTCCTCTGCGATTCTCATTCTGTATACCTAAGCAAGGCCCACCTCTGCCATTCTCATACCCTGCAGGTACCCTGCCCTTGTACCTAAAGTGCTTTCCTATTTACCAAAAATCTTTTAGTAAGTACCTAAGAGCGCCTTCCTCTGCGATTCTCATTCTGTATACCTAAGCAAGGCCCTTCTATGCTATTCTCATGCCCTTCAGGTACCTTGCCCTTGTACCTAAAGTGCTTTCCTATTTACCAAAAATCTTTTAGTATGTACCTAGAAGCGCCTCCCTCTGCGATTCTCATTCTGTATACCTAAGCAAGGCCCACCTCTGCCATTCTCATACTCTACTGGTAAGTACCTTAATATGAAATTTTTATAATTTGTACCTAGGAGCTCCTTTCTCTGAGATTCTCATTTGGTGTACCTAAGCGATTCCTTCCCATTGCCTTTACCTTAGGTAAAGGGTAGGTACTCAAATAAAAATGTTGCCAAGGCCACTAAACTCTTAACTGTCTTTCGTTTAAAATAACAACTAATCTAATGTTTGGCGGTTGATAGACTTTAATCAGTTGGAATAATGGCAGTCATAAAAATTTGTTTTCTATACTTAACCCAGAGGATTCACTTGGTAATTGAATATATTTTTATAAATTAAAAGGTTAACTTTAATTATTATTTATTTACTCTCCCTTACCCTTGGCCGTGTTGACTAACTTATCGCTCTTGGATCTGGAAAAGTCCTCCAAGCCCTCCTTAAGAGCCGTGATGATCATGACAAAGAGCAGAGGCAGCAGTGAAACCAGCGGGGATATGGTGTCATCTGTGTGTTTATAGTTGAGTGTAAATCCAAAAATCAACAATGATTTTATTCCAAAACTTACTTACGAAGAACGAGACAATGGTGATGATTAGAAAGTAAAAGTAAACAGCTCGGCGGAACTGCTCATAGAAATTAAGTGGCAGAAACGTTAGCCAAGTGTACTTGGTGGTGGTCACCCGGTTGAGGCTCTGCTTTCGATGGCCTTCGATGCCGCCGATCTCAATCCGCAAGGGTGGATCCACCTTTGACATTTTCTTGCCCTCAGCCCCCATGGTTGTTCTCTTATTCTGTGATTTTGATACCAAAATTCGAGTTTAATTCCTGCGGAAAATCCAAGCGAGCGAGTGCCTCCTTGCAGCTCTCGTCGTGAGACCTTTCCGAACAGAAGTAAGACTGACTTTCGGTGGCATTTCAAATTGTGCAAAAGTGCCAATTGAATGGGCCTCCGATACACACACACTATGGCTTTGTAAGTGGGCCTGTCAAATGTAGAGAGAGAGAGAGGTATGGTATCCCATCCAAAAATAAGATATGTTTTTATTGTAATTCCATGGTTATAATCACTTAGATTAGGAGAATTCCTATTTCCGGCAGGCTTAGCGATGATAGATTAGTGGAAACATCAAAGTCGAGGGTTCCAAAGGAGGGCACACAGAGAAATTATGACCGATTTTGTACGGTTTTATTGAAATTCGATAGAAAAAGAAAAATCTGGATTTATGTACATGTAAATTAAATTATTATAATAAATTGTATATATTTTTTAATATATTATATAATTAAATATATTTTATTATATTATATAATGAAATATTAATCAATTTCCTCAAGGTTCTTATTTTTAGTTATTTTCCCCTTTGAATTGTTTTATTATCAATCATATTTTCTCTAGGTGTAGATATCGGCAACACTGATTAAATTTACTGTTTCCACTTTGATATTAGATTAAAAATCAATTTGTATTTTAATATAAACATTTAGAACAATGAAAATAAGTACTTGTTACACAATTATTAACGTATATTTATGTACATATGTCTGTTGTGTCAAAGCCTCTTCAGAAATTATATCAGCTGTGGGTTCACTTTCGTATACTGATTAATATTATCGGCTATTTAAAATTCCAGTATCAAATCCACCTGATATTTTGTATACTAAAAACACAACAACAACGCCTCCTAATCGGATTTCTAATCGTGTATTTCGATTACCCCAAAAAGAAGCACTTTGAGGGGTTTTTCTAAGTTCTTGGCTTATATTAGACCATGAACAGTGGGCCTAATTTGATAGGAAACCTATATACTTTTGTTTTATAAATGTAAAAAATTAATATAAAAAATTTTAAAAATATAATAAATACTTAAGTGTGTTGCTATAGCTTTCCATTAATTTTTTTTTATATTTAAAGTTCAAGTTTTGATCTTAAATATTTCATTAAAATCATTAAAAATATTTTTCTATATTTCAGATAAATTAGTCATTGAAATGGAGCCAGTGTAGGGTCCTTGAAATAATTTCTTTTATTATTTAGTTTATTCCCTTTCTTATTCTTTTATTTATTCTTCACTTTTATCTGTATTTTTGTGAACTGATTATCATGGTCTTAAATAGAAAGAATGGTCAGGAATTTAATCATTAAAAGCTTTAAAAGGTGGAGTAAAACCGAAATAAAATGAAGCTACTTTTAAGCACACTTTTGGGCTGAAAACATATATATTTATTACGTATGCATTTATGTTTATATAAATAAACAAATATAGATTCGAAGATCTACTAGTTGATAGTCTCATGATTATATTTTGATAGAATACATCATAGTTCTTTAAAAAGTTTTATTTTATTATTTTATTTAAAATATCTTTCTCCACAAGGACCTATCCCATTAAATTCTCTTAATAAAACCCACATACGTTATTTCCCTTTAGTTTCCACCTAATGGAAACTTATTCAATTGAATATTAACCTTAATTATTGGGTTTTTCTTAATGATTTTTTGATTGTGTGGAAATAGATTATTTTCCATGACATTCATATATTTGTACTTGATAGGCCTTAAGCTCCAAAAATTCTTTTTCCGGCAGCCATATTTATAATATGTTTACTCATTAAACTGATCGATGACATCGGGTTCGGGTCAGAAATCCCGATGGTGAGTCACCGGACGATATAATGGCGATAGACGTACATACATAAATGTGACTTTAACTAAAATAAATAATACAAATAATAATATTGATATCTTCAATGTTTAGATAAATAATAATTACAGCGGCAATTACAATTAAAATTACAATTAATTCATTTAATCTTAGTGTACTCTTTTCGTTTACAATTGTAATATATTTTTTGATAAAATTGTTTTTGTTGTAATGTAATAATTGATTGCATAATTAATAACAAAAGTCAGGCTAATGTTCATTTAAGAAAGCAAATAATTAATTAGATAATGTATATATATAATAAGCTTGTAAGCAAAAAGATAATGTATAAGGTGTTTCAAAAAGTTAGTGGTTATTGAAGGTACAAATTTACCAAGCCTTTTAAAAAACTTATTCCGCAAGAAATTCAGTTTGAAATTAAAATTCAACATATACTTTTATTCAAATTAAAATTTAATATATTTTTATAAAATTTAAATATAATGTATATATTTTTTAATTTATATTTTATGATTTTTTTTATTTAAATTTTAAAATTAGGATATAAATGTTGTAAATTTGTTGCGAAAAATATAGCATACTTTTGGACACTTTTTGAAATAATTTATGATCCTTTAAAACTTCTTTTGTATCAAAAATCACCTAGGATCTGAAATCTCTTTAAAAAAACATTTTTTAAATCATTTAAATATTTGAAATTAATTGTTTCATTTAGCAAATAGTGTTTAAATTTGTTTTGTTTACATTTATTTGAATAGGGATTTCCCCCAATTGTGGACCCGACCTCACCGGATGTCCCGGGGCAACCAGCCGCCGTAGACCCCATCATTCCCGTGTTAAGTGAGTCACGAAGCACCAATGCTCCGGCTCTCGCCTCCGGCTCAGGCTATGCCAACGCCAACGCCAACGCCAACGACGACTACGACTACGACTACGATGGATATGTGTGTCCATGTGATTCAATCCCAGCCAACCATTTCAATCGCGGAAGAGTCGCCTGCGACTCTTCTAGAAGATAAATTTGATCGCCTGCGACATCGCATTCTGATCGCTTTCCAATCTTCTGTTGGGAGAAAATGTACCTACGAATGCGACTCTTCTAAGGGAGTCGCGGGGGGCTCTTCTGAAGGAGTCCCAGAGGAGTCTTATGGAAGACTCGCGGAAGAGTCTTGTGGAAGAGTCGCTGAAGTGTCGCCTTAAGAGAGTATAAGAGTTTTTAATTTTTTTGTTTTTGTTTTTTTAATTTTGTCATTCTTTATTTAATTTCATAATTTTTCGACATAACTAAGCTTAAATTTAAAATATTTATTTTCTTTTCCTTCATTTTTAAGTTTTTTTTGTTTCTTATTTATTCTATCCTGCGCATGAACAAATCCAAAAGAATTCGGGAACTTTCATAAACCAACACCTATACAAAAGAAAATTAAAATTAAATTAATTTCAATTATTTATTTTACTATTTTAAATAATACCTTTTATCGTTGAAAATACGTTTTGTATTTGTTCCTCGCCAAGTCAGTTTCATTATTTGTTTCACTTCTTTCACTTGTTTCACATGTTTCTTCTTTTTTTCACAAGGCTCAGGATAAATAGCATCAAACATTCGTTTGCCTTAGATTAGGAACTCATTTTAGTTCCAAAGAATATAAAACAAAAAACAAATAAATAAAACAAAAATAGTTTACCGAACAATTGAAATTTACATATAGATCGACCGCAAAGACAAAAGATCGAAGTCAGACTAAATGAACACAGAAATATTGAAAGACGTTCGGTTGTTACTCCTATTCTCACTCAAATGTAATGCAATTTGTTTTTGTATAACTCTTTTTGCTTTCGGACGCATTCTCTGCTTTGCATCTATGTACGGTACTTTAATCCCTCATTCCTTCATTTCCTAGTTTTTAACGCTGCTTAAAAAATCGCCAAAAAATCGCCCCCCGCGATTCCCAGGAGACTTTTCTTAGGAATTTTCGTAAATAAGTCCTCCACCAATCGCCAAAGCGACTCCCAGGAGATTCTTCTTGGGGATTTTCGTAAACAGTCATCCAGCAATCGCCAAAGCGACTCCCAGAAGACTCTTTTTGGGGATTTTCGTAAATAAGTCTATCAACAATCGCCACCGCGATTCCCAGAAGACTCTTCTTCGGGATTCTCGAAAATTATTTCACCAATGATCGCCAAAGCGACTCCCAGAAGACTCTTTCTGGCGACCGGCGATTCGAGAATCGCCAAATGGTTGGCAGGGAATGCCTCACGATAAGATATTGTTATCGACTTTATCTCTTCGGCTAATGGCAAATCGCAAACAGCAAACAGTCCGGAGCGGCTAAGAGAGAGGGAGAGACCCAGCTGAGCTGCTACCAAGAGCGAGTCCGTGTCCGTGGAAACCCCCTTTGGCGATGCGAAGCAAGTCTCCAGGAGAGCGTCCGAGTCCATATGTATCCGAATCCGAATCCGAATCCAATTCCGAATCCGAATCCGAAGCTGATGATAATATGCTGCCGATTTCCCCATAATTCTCGGGTGCAACGCACTTGTTTTATATAATATTTTTTTTTTGCACCCATTTGGCAATATCTATAAGTCAGGTAAGACCCTGCCCGGGTGCAGGTGTGGACTGGGGTTGGGTGCCATGGTGGGCTATGGGTGTAAATATATGGGGGAACATACATGCAAAGTCCGACTGGCGAGCAGCATATAGAGGGTACGCATGGGCTTTTGTTAGTGGTAACGCTATCAACAATTCTTCGACAGTTTGCCGATAGATCAGTTTGCGCGTGGAAGGCTTCTCTTTCCATCGTACTCCAGTGTACAATAATAATATATATATAAATATATTTTTAGCTCTTTTTGTTATTTTTTTCGTATTTGATTTGGCCACGTTAAACGAACTGGTGGTGGTTTGTCACCCGATATTTGTTTGTTTGTTTGGTCAGGAGGACCTCGCTCGGCACCACAGTCTAGGATCAACTTCTCGGAAGACTTCAGGAAGACTTTGCTTTAAAAGTTGCTGGATAAAATGGTAGGTTAAAGTCAGTGTTCAAACAGGACTTTATAGAGACCTGAAGTCTTAAGATTTCTTAACTGGAAGGCAAATTACCTTGTGGTTTTAAGGAAGCAGAACTGGATACCTCTTGTTTTATTTTATTATTTAATAGTGCAAGTGAAGTTGGTTTATAATATATATAATTAAGTGTTTGCTAAACATGGAATAATCTATTTAAAATAAAACAAACTTAAGCCCCAAAGTGTGAGCTATGAAAAAGCTCTTCTTGTATAGTGAAATCCCCACTCAAGCCGAATGTTAGGTTTACTAACTACCCAAGACATCAAAGGATTATCTATTAGTTTTAAAGTTTATGTTTAAAAAGTGAAATATAATATATTTTATATATATTAAAGTTAAAGTTTATATTTAAATAGTGAAATACAGTTACATTTAAATTGAAACAGTGAAAAGTTCCCGCTATTTCTACCCTGAAAAGCTCTATTGTTATGGTGAAATGCCAGGCAGTAAATCCACTCAAATTCGTTTGGTACAATTGCGATACCTACTGGCACGCGTCCATGCCGATCTCTCCACCTGTTATCGTTGTGTTTATAGACTCCCAAAGTGACTTGTCGAGATGCTTGAACCAAGCAACAACAAAAACTGCCTCGATCATGGTGATACTCAGGCTCACAGTCGATCAGATAAAATAGGCTTCCTCCTGCCCCCCCTCCAAGATATCAAGTCATATAATGTAACCAAAACGAAACGAACCGAACTGAGACCCAACCCAGCCCAGTCTAATGATAAGCGGCTGCAGTTGCTCCGGTAACCGCTGTCCGCTGACACCGTCGTCGATTAGTCAGCTGAGGTGCTCCGGCACTTAGATATCCCCGCAATCTTATCAGCATTTTGGCAGTTTACTCTTTAAGTACATATGGGCGAGAGATATGGCCAAGCCCCGGGACTAAGAGAGAGACGTATTACTAGTAGAACTGAAACTGAACCCGAAAGCAGGGGGATATGGGATTATGTGAGGGGGCCGCCCGGTTCGGTTCTCTTGCACGGATGTTTTCAGTTCGTTCGGGAAGGGCGCTTTGAGAGGCGGAAGGTCTCTACGCCTGCGTGTTGTTACAACTATCAATTACTAGTAATATACCTTATATTTTTGTGAGTGTATGAGCCTTGAATGTGTCGGTGCAAAGCAAGTTACGTTGAGCCAACACACGTAAAAAGGGCTGATAAAACGGGGTGTAACCCATAAAGATAAAGCATTTTGTGCACATTCATGACGTCTCCGTATTGCATTGATTGAATATATAGCTCTCTCTCACTTTGCGTGTTTCTCTCTCTCTCTGTCTCTATCTCTAAACACACTGGTCTAAAATCAAAGAGTGTCTGTGCTTCGACTAACGCTAAGAGTGGGTCTATTGGTTACCAAAAGTTAGTTGCCGATAAGCAATACGACCAATTCGAAGGCAACGAGCTATTCCAAACGAGAGATATACTGAAATCGGTCAGTTGTAGTTATGCTATTGTTTCGCGTCGGTGCCGCATTGTCCCCAGTAAGCCCATCCGTATATATATGAGAACTTTGAGAGGATATACTACACCCAGGATATATCCCAAAAGGCAGCGTGCATCATGGATAAGTTCTTCGAGAGGCTTCTTCGCAAAAGGGTGAGTCGGAGTCTCCGCCTTGGGGAGGTTCGATTGAACTTCGATTGACAGGAACAAACAGTGTGAATTCTTTTGGGTATTAGGTCATAGCCATGGGCATAGCCAACTGAGTGTACGTGAGTGTGTGTTTATCCGGAAAGCAATCTATATTCGTGAAATAAACAGCCAAAAAAAAAAAAAAAGTACCGACGCTTGATAGCTGGTAGCTGGTATCATGTTTCTATAATCTTCAAAATCCTTCATTTGGCTTCAAGGTTTTTCGTTTGTATTTACCTTAAATTAAAAAGATCTTGTATTTGAAAGAAATTACGATTATATTCTGGTTTGCCAAGATATAAATTTGGCATTTTTGTAATCATTAACTGGCGGTGTTTTTCATAAGGGGTGATAGTCATTGGACTCACATTTAGTATACCCTGTAATTGAAGATTTCTCTTGAGTATATATTTAGAGTTTACAGGGATCGCAGAGAGGTTGTATTCGTTTAAAATTTATGTTTTTAATTATGTTTTCAATTTCAGGCTTTAGTTATTGCCTTGATATACAGCTACTTATGCATAGTTATCATATTTTATTAGGATAAACACAGACAAAGTTACACATACGCCTGTAAAAATACGTATACGCATTGAGTATACGCATTACGTATACGTATTAGGTATACACATTACGTATACGCACTATTATTTTGAACTATAGTATATATGTTTATATATATAATAATATATAAACTTGCTCAAAGTTTTAGCTTTATCAACGCCCTGGGATTACATACTACAACAAAGTTTTGGTCAAATTTATCAGTTTTTAAAGTCATTTCACAGTACTAGAACTAGCCATGGCATTTCATGTAATTAGGAAAAATGTGTTTTATTAGTTATTATTAGATTTATAAATCAACATACTGAATTTAAGTTTATTTTAAATATTTTTTTTACTGAATTTAAGTTTATTTTAAATATTGTTTTTACTGAATTTACGTTTATTTTATATATATATATATTTTGTTTAATTTTTAAAAATTTAAAAATATAAACAAAATTTGTTTTTTAATTGTGCAATTTTTGTTAATAATTTTTGTGAAAATATCAAAATTTAAAAAGCTATAACTTTGCCAAAATTGCATTAAATTTCATTCGGAAAGCATTTTTGTGTTAGTTTTTTAAATCTCAATAAATCTGCTTACTTAATTTAACTTCTTGTTAACTTTTATTTTTTGTTGCCAATTTCGGCAATTTTAACGATGTAACCCCCTATAAAATTTTGAGAAAAATGCAAAAATATAATTTTCTTCCAGACATGGCTAGAAAAATGCGTCTATTAATGCTGATCAAGAATATATATGTTTTAGGGGGTCGGAAATGACTGCTTCACTAAATAAAATCAAAATACTCCTCAAGAAGACCGGAAATATTTGATTTTTTTTAAAGGAATATTTATTTTTTATGCATTACATCTATTGTTAAGTCAATCAACTATGGTTGGTTGGTGTTTTTATTGTTTTTTAATATTTTATATTAAACTATAAATAATAATTCAATTTAACAAATAATTACAAAGATAATGTTATACAATTTTTTCAACATAATAATCCTAAGAAATTGGTAATTCAAGGAAAACAACTTCCTGTTTCCCAAAATATTACAAACATTTCTTATAGACTTGGTTTATTCTCCCTAGAAACGTCATGGGTATATTGTGTAGTGTCAGTTTTCCTAAAATTTAACAATGGGCTTTTTTATGTGATTTTATTTAAATAGAAAAAGTGCGACGACGTCATCAATATGGCAAATTAACTATGCACTTTGAACCCATCAGGCCTGGGCCTCGGCCTGGTGTGTATCGCAAACTTTTACTCGACGACGTCAATAAGATTCGAGCTTTTATTGGCTGCTCCCCCGTGGGTCTTGCTCTGCTCTGGCTATACGTTCAATTTTCGAGGCTGTGAATGCGATCCGAATGGGAATGGGAATGGGCATGGGGTAGGGGAATGGGTACCCCAAACTAGGGGGGGACTTGGAGGTGGAAGCGACGCAGACCTCCCATTCTCAGTGTGAGAACGGCTTTCCAGTGGCGCACATCGTCGCACATCGCACATAGCTCATCACGCGGCCCGCTTACCGATCGTTATTTCTTGTGCTTATTTGTGATTGATGTTACCCTTTTTGTGCGAGTTATCGTTTGCCTATCGAAAGGATATCGATTCACAAAGGAATATGCCATACATATCGCAAAAATCGGAAAGAGCATAGAACCGGCTTAAGGTTTAAGCCTTAATGTTACGTGACGAGAGAGTGTGTGTGTGTGTGTGTGTGTGTGTGTGTGTGTGATGTGTGTGTGCTAAGAGCCATGTAAATACAAAAGGCAAATATATGTACCACGCAACGATACATACAGTGTAGAGCGCACTTACGCTTGCACAATGATCATAGAACCTTTCAATTGAAGTGTTAAAATTGACCACTTAACATCGCTTTAAGGTTATACGTTTAGACGTTTATACGCTTCCTAAGTGTGCTGAGAAAAATCCACTCTCTATGTACAAATATAAATAAAATATAACAATAGAAAACTAGCAGTAGCAGCAGGTGCTTCCCTTAGCACGGGAACATCACCTGCAAAGTTTTGTGGAAATTCGTGTAAATTCCCTCAAGAGATGAAACGCTTTCCAAGGCTAACCAAGCCAAATGCCAGGCGACAGGTGTTCCAGTCAATGTCCGTGTCCGTGTCCGTGTTGGGTGTTTGTGTTAGACAATGAATTTCTTTGGCCATGACTATCTGAGCGGATTTCGACGCATCGATCGCATTGGTACCACCTATCGGCCACCGGTCTGGGCCGAGCAGGAGTCGTACCATCTCAAGGAGGCGCTTCTATGGAACAGGCGTAAGGTAAAAATGATCTTAGGGACAAGTCTTATAAAATAGAAACCCTTAAAAGGCAAGGAAATTACTTACAAATGTGCCCTTGAAATAATAAATTCATTTATAGCTAAGCTTAGCTTTGGCTTGCCTTTAAAATGTATTTAAATTTGAGAGAAATTTCTGTTTGAAACTGGTATTTCTTATTTATAAATTTCTTCAAATCTTTGGGGAGATTTTAAAATTAAAAAAAAATAATTTAAGAGACTTTAATACCATAATCTAAGTATTTTAAACTAAAGCGAGTGAGTACCTTTAAAAAAAAAATAAAACAAAAACTTAAATGTTCTATGTATTCTTTATTTATAATCTAATCACCGTCTGTCAGTTTGTGGTTATCATTTGATTTCCAGTCTGGAACAGTCCCTTCCTCTTCAAAAGGTGCCCTCCCCTCGGACAATAAGAGTTTCCTATAAAAAAGATATGAGAGCAGGGTTCTTTCTTCAACTATTTATAGACTTACAACCCCAATAATATTCCAATTATTTGTTTCTTTGAAGAACCGAGTTGCAAGTCAAGTGCAAAGGAGTAGACACTGCTTATAGTAAAAGGGTTATAAGTACTTATTAGATTCTTTATTAGGTACTTTAGTATTTACTTGAACTTGGTACTAGTTTGCGGGAATATAATGTTTGGTTTTAGGTCCTAAGTGGAAACCCTTCAACCTTGAATTTAACGTGATTCCCAGTTTTTAAAGTTACAAAAATTCCCCTTTTAACATTAAGCTGCTCTTTTAAAAGCTCCTGAAAACCCCGTTTAATATGATTTTCAGTTCTTTTAGTTCCCAATATCTCCTTTTAACATGATATCTTGTTTTTATAGTTCCCAAAATTCGCTTTTATTATTATCTTTAGTTCTTAAAGCTCCCGAAATCATAACATGATCTCTTCTTAACGCTCCCGAAATCTTTCTCCTTGTATAATCTACAAAATCTCTGTTTTTTTTGATCTCCCTACAATGTGCTCTGATCATAACATATTTTGCCATATTCAGATGCACAATATACTTTGCATAGAAACCTTCTTCCGTACTCTCTCTCTCTTTCTCTGGGTGCGATTCGTCACTTAATTAACCCCATTAACCCCCATAGCCCAAACTCATTCATATTGATGTTTGAAAAAGATTGTCAGCATTGCTTTAATAGGTAAACACTCGTGCCCATGAATATAAGAGTGATTTATTCAGAAGCCAATAAATGTATTTTTTGTAGTTTTTAGTTGTGGAATTTAGCTAGGAATTTCCGTAGTTTCTGATAAGATAAACTCCCCCAGGAGGTTCTAGACTGACCCTTTCTATATCCTACATATTCGCAGGGATCCAGAGTTAGTACCATAAATGACTGGCTTCAAATACAAATCGGTGGCCCCGAGGATGTCAAGAAGAAAAAGGCCAAGGGCCAGAATCGCATCAAATCCACAAAATACACCCTGATCACATTCCTGCCACAGAATCTGTTGGAGCAATTCCGGCGGATAGCCAACTTTTACTTTCTGGTGATGACCATAATATCCCTATTGATAGGTAAGATGATTCCGATTTCTTATAGTATTTTTTATAATATATATAAAATTCCCCCCTCAGATAGTCCCGTTTCCCCCATGACCTCCCTGCTGCCCCTGGTCTTTGTGATCGCTGTGACCGCCGCCAAGCAGGGCTATGAAGATGTTCTTCGTTACAGAACGGACAACGTGGTCAATGCCTCACCTGTCACAGTCATCAGGGATGGCAAGGAGGCCATCATCAAGTCCGAGGACGTGGGTCCCGGTGATCTCGTCGTGGTCGAACGGGACTGTGATGTACCCTGCGATTTGGTTTTGCTGCGCTCCACGGACCCACATGGCAAGTGCTTTATAACCACCGCCAATCTGGATGGTGAGTCCAATCTGAAGACCCTGCTGGTGCCAAGAGATCTGCCCACTGTGGATTTGTCCGAGATGCACAAGCTGGGCATGATCGAGTGCGAGAGTCCCACCACAGATCTGTATAGCTTCAATGGCAAAATCGAGCTGAAGGGCAGCGAGGGGCGGGTGCTTCCCCTGTCCGCCGAGAATGTCCTGCTGCGCGGCTCCAGGGTGAAGAACACCGAGTGCGTCATTGGCTGTGCCGTGTACACCGGTATGATCACCAAGCTGCAGCTGAACAGTAGGCTGACCAGGAACAAGAATGCCTCCAGTGAGACGTACATCAATCGGTTTTTGATTGTCATACTGGTGGCCTTGATAGCTATCGTCACACTGCTGTACTTCCTCAAGCGGTGAGTAGTCTTTAGAAGGTAAAAGAATCCTGATCTTAGTAGATTTCTCTCTCGTTCCTCAGCTACAACGAGCTCTTTGTGATACCCAAGCTGACCTACCTGGGCGATGCCACCGATAGCTATAGTGTGAAGCAGTTCCTGCAGGATTATTTGTCTTTCCTTATTCTCTTCAACTACCTTATACCCATCTCCTTGTACGTCACCATTGAGCTGCAGCGCGTCATTGGCAGCCTGTTCATGGAGTGGGACCAGGAGCTGTACGAGAGCGAGACCGATCAGCCGTGCGTGGTGAACACCTCGAACCTCAACGAGGAGCTGGGCCAGATCAACATTCTCTTCTCGGACAAAACGGGAACCCTGACCAAGAACGAGATGAACTTCCAGCAGTGCTCGATAGGCGGCAGCAAGTTCCTGTTCAAGAAGACGCGGCTAGAGGATGAGGAGACCAAGGCCCTCCTGGACATTAACAAGTTTAATGTGAGACATATTAACAGTTTAAAAAGTAATAAACCATATTAATAATATTTTATATTTCTTATTTTTCCCACAGGCAAACCAGCGCATCTTCTTCCAGGCCTTGAGCATCTGTCACACTGTCCAGGTGGCTTCTGGGTCTTTGGAGCAGGCCGATGCCAGCAACAGCCAAAAGGAGCCAACGGCTGGTACAGCTGCAGTGGCCAACAAGACAGGTCCGCCCGAGATGTACTCCATTTCGGACATCACCGAGGAGAGCCACAATTCTAGTCAGCAGAGCGAGCTCAATGTGAGCCACACCATCGAGAATTCGGTGTCGTCGCATCCCAACAATGGCAACTTCACGGTTACCTCCTCGGATGTCAATCCCTTGCTGGTCTCCGACGATGGCTATGGCGTGGAGCGTCGCAAGCGTCCAGTGGTGGTCAAACGGAGTCCGAACTTTGCCCGGGCCAACCGTGTTCACATTGCTGGCGATTCGCCAGCGAGTCCAACTGATCAGAATGGTGGTGGTGCCACTGGTAATGGGATCAGTAAACAACCCAATATGCGTCCCATTTCCTTGCAATTCCAACGTTCTACCTCGGAGCGAGATCTGCCGCAGTTTGGAGAGGCCAACACGGGTCCGGTTTTGGGCCATCGTAGGGCCCATTCCTACGGAGCGCCCAATGCGTATCTCTCCAATCCTCTAGGAGCTCCTAGTAGTCCGCCTGCTGGGGTACTCTTCCGCTCACCCAGCACCGCCTCCCGGGAGTCCTATGCGGCGCCCACCTTCACCCGCCAGCCCACCATGCTGGTAAGAGCCGAGTCGCAGCGAAGGAAGAACGAGATCCGTGACTTTATATTGTAAGGGTTTACTTTAACCTCAAAAAAATATTCTCTATAATAACAATTACCCTTTAGTACCCTAGACTACCAGGCCTCCAGTCCGGATGAGAAGGCCTTGGTGGAGGCCTGTGCCAATCTGGGCATGGTCTATACCGGCGACGATGATGAGGTGCTCCGTGTGCGCATTGTGCCGCCGCACATGGACTACAAGCGTCCGTTTACCAGTGCCAAGCCCAAAGAGGAAACCTTCCAGCGTCTCCATGTCCTTGAGTTCACCTCGGATCGCAAGCGCATGAGTGTGATTGTCAAGGATGCGGAGGGGAGGAGATGGATCTACACAAAAGGAGCCGAAAGCTATGTGTTTCCTTTGTGCGCGAATAGCTCGGCGGATCTGGTGACCAAGACAGATGCTCACATCAGTGACTTTGCTCGCCTTGGTCTGAGGACACTGGCCATAGCCAGGCGGCAGATAGCGGATGCAGAGTACCAGGACTTCCTCACAGAGCTGGCCCAGGCCAATAGCTCGCTGGAGAACCGGAAGCAACTCAGTGAGGAGTGCTATGCCAAGATCGAAAGCAGTAAGTCTTTATAATTTATAATTATATATTTTCTTTAAATTTTTTAAACAGTTCCTATAAATTTTGTATAAACTTTCTATAAACTTTCTATAAATTTTCTCTTTGTTTCCCTCTCCTCTCAGATCTTGACCTCTTGGGCGCCACAGCTGTGGAGGATGCCCTGCAGGATGATGTGGCCGATACCCTGGTCTCGCTGCAGGCGGCGGGCATTAAAATCTGGGTTCTCACCGGCGACAAGGTGGAGACTGCCCTGAACATAGCTCTGTCCTGTGGCCACATACCGCCCGATGCCAAGAAGTACTTCATCATTGACTGCAAAAACCGGGAGGAGATGCTGCTACATCTGAATGCCTTGGACAGGGAGATTATATTTGGTATTGGCCAGGAGTGTGCTCTGCTCATAGATGGCAAAAGCCTGGGCGTGGCCCTGGCCGAGGTCAGCTCCGAGTTCCGGGATGTGGCCGTCAAGTGCACGGCTGTGCTGTGTTGCCGTCTTAGTCCGCTGCAGAAGAGCGAGGTGGTGTCGCTGATCAAGTCCTCCAATGAGAACTATAATACGGCCTCCATAGGAGATGGAGCCAACGACGTGTCCATGATCCAGGAGGCGCATGTGGGCATTGGTATAATGGGTAGGGAGGGTAGACAGGCGGCACGCTGTGCGGACTTTGCCTTTGCCAAGTTCTGTATGCTGAAGCGGTTGCTCCTGGTCCATGGTCACTATCATAGCGTCCGGCTGTGCCTGCTGGTGCTGTACTTTTTCTACAAGAACATTGTCTTTATGGGGATTATGTTCCTGTTCCAGTTCCACACGTTATTCTCCTCCTCCTCCGTTTACGACTCGCTATTCCTCACCTTGTACAATGTGATATATACCTCGCTGCCCATCCTGTTCATAGCCATCACCGAGAAGCCCTACACCGAGGAGAAGCTGATGCAGTAAGTGGAGCTACCTAATCTCTACAATTATTTATATAATTTTTTATTTATATTTTTTTAAGAACCCCTCAGCTGTACAAGAAGAACACGGACAACAAGCAGCTCCACTGGCCATTTTTCCTCATGTGGATGCTGTTTGCCATTTATCACTCGGTGATCATCTTCTACTTTGCCTTCTGCCTGTTCTCCTACAACAACGTGATCCTGAACTATGGCCAAACGGTGGCCTTTTCCTGCTTTGGCACCCTGCTCATGTGGACCGTGGTGGTGGTGGTCAACCTCAAGCTCTGGCTGGAGTCCATGTACCTCTCCTTCTGGTACATCTTCACCATAGTGATTTCCATTTTGGGCTTTGTGATCACCACGGTTATCTACAATGTCATCAACCTGTGAGTATTTCTAATAAATATATATATTATAAATATTTTATAATTCATTAACCTTCTCAGGGACTACGATACCGACATCTACTGGGCCTACAACAACCTGCTGGCCTCGCTGCCCGTCTGGCTGTGGCTTCTGCTGACCAGCGTGGCCTGCCTGGTGCCCGACTTCACCATCCGGATGCTGCAGAGGGCGCTCAACATCAAGCACTTTAGTATCTTTCCCGGCAAGCAGCGGAAGCTGAAGATGCGCGAGAAGGCCGAGAATACGTACTTGTAGAGACCCCTCTAGGCTATAGTTTTTATACCGCTAATTTATTTATTTGCCTTATTTGTGTACATATTTCTTTTTTTTAAAGAAAAACCTTTTTTTTTTGAAAAATTTAATTGTTTTGGTTTTTTGATTTTTACTGAAAAAAGGCGATAAAGCTCTTAAAGTGTAAGTAAAAACAAGGTTTTATTATTATATATTTTATTATAACATTATATATTATTATTATTTATTATTATGGATGACAAATCCAGGTTGTTAATGATAATGATGAACAATCTAGGCAAGCCACCATTAATATAATTCATTTTATAATAATTAATTTTTCTCATATTAAGGGCGTTTTGCTTCCTTAAGTTTATTTCTTAATATAAAGGCAAATTACACTTGTTTTTCTGGTCAAATTTCCATTAAAAGCCATAGCGAATTGGCTCTTAAATTGTCTTTCGTGTGCACATATAATTCCCAACTGGTTCTAGCATTCCTGGAGTGAAGTAATGGTAGCCAGCCTTAGGTTTATACAGTGGCAAGTGTATGTGTGTGTGTGTATTGGTTGTGATTTTATGTGGTATTGTATGTGTTACTTACATATGTGCTTGTGAATGTTTTTAAAATTTGAAAAATTTTTTAAATTTTAGAAAACACTCAAAAAGTCTTAAGAGTAAGAAAATCTTTCTTAAGTTAAAAAAAAAATGCACTTTAATATATTTTTTGGGCAAATAATCCTAAAACAAGACCATTTTTCTAGACTCAACAAAAATTGCCCTAAATTTTAGTTTATTATATTAATTTTTAGTTTATTTTTCTGATTTTACAGATTATTTTTTTCTGAAATCTAAGGCGTCTAGCTTTTGGCTCCTTTTTAAGTGCAATTTTCTAAATATTTTATTAAAGGTAAAAATTTTTACAAGTGTATTAACCCCATTACGGCCTTATCTGGTTGATGGCGTCGTTTCCATTCGTGAGCCCATTTTTCTTTCGATGATAATGATATCTCGCACGGGAGTCTATGGGTGTATTCGTAGGTAGATAACACCCACTCTTTCGTGGCACATTCGCAGCGAATTCTGGCAGAGATCGAGAGTGGAGTGGCTCACATAATTAATATTTTTATTAGTAGGCCCTTTCCAGTTGCGTTTTATGGAGAGCCGGCGAAGAGTTCGCTGGGTTAGTACCAAATACTCAATAGTGGGGCAATGTGTGCTCGCTATCGCACATAGATTTCACGGCCGCCTAAAGCTGGGAGGAGGAGGAGCAGCAGGAGGAGGAGGAGTAGCAGCAGTATCTAAACTGAGTCCATGTCCATGAGGTGTAATCAGCGCGCAAAAGTGCCCATGTGTGCGGGTATGACTACCACGCCGAGGAAGGCTCTCTTAATCATTTCCAACGTTCTGCGTTCAGTGTGTGTTTAGGGCGGTGTTCTGGCAGCATTAAAAAATAATACAAATTGAATCAATTTTTGAATTCTCTACCTCCTCCTTCCCCCCTTCTAACCATGTCCTTTACCAAGGCCTTGTCGCGGGAGATCATTCCAGACCAGGCAGAGGAACAGGAGCCGGCCAAGTCCACCACCATAATCAAGTATGAGAAGTCGTCGTGTCTGTTTTGCAACGAATGGTTTGATGCGCAGACTTTTACGGTAAGAGTAACTGCCTCCTCGATCTTCCACCTGATTCTATATACTTGTTGCCCCACAGGAGCACTTGATCCACTGCGGCCAGGTCTTGGAAGAGTGCCCCAAGGGCTGCCTGGCCTTTATTCCACGCATCCGCATGCGCTCTCATTTGAAAGAATGCCCACGGGCCAAGCAGCAGCAGCAGCTCCTCAATGGCCAGCGGCTGAGTGCCAGCATGGATAGGCTGGACCAGCAGCAGTCCGATCATCGCCTGCAGGCCTTGGAGCAGGATGTGGGCACCATTCGCTCGGTGCTGAACGAGGAGATACGTCAACGCCTGCATCTCATCACAGATGTGGGTAATATCCGCAAGCAGAACCAGGTGGTGGAGGACTGGAACCGGGACACGGACGAGGTGGTTGGAGGACTGCGTCGCCAAATCGAGGAGGAGGCCTCCCAGAGAGCCTATGCCCTGGAACAGAACCAGCTGGATGTTCAATACTGCTGCAATATCACTCAGGTGGGTTGGTTTTATAATTAAATAAATATAAATCCTTTCTTACTTTACCTTTTCCACCAAAGTCCCTTAAGGAGCAAGTCGAATCCAGGCTAGACGAGGCCCAGAAACTGGTAAATCAACTCTCCCTGGACGTGACCTTCCACCAGAACCAGCTGAACGACAACATCCTCAAGCTGGAGGAGCTTATCTTTGAGAACGAGCGCCAGAATCGGTGAGTGAGCCACTATCTCGGCTTGAAGGCATTTGCTGAAGCCACCTGCAGCGACAAGTTCTTCCAGATCGAGGAGTTCATGCAGCAGATCAACGAGGACATCAAGACCAAGCTGGGCAACAGTGACTATGTCACCACCAAGCAGGCCACCTTGGACTACGAGGTGAAGAATGTGAAGAACATTGTCTGCGAGACGGAGGAGCGTTGCGACAAGCTGGACAGAGCTCTCCACCAGACCATGCAGAATCTGTCGGATTTGGAGAACCAAATGGCCATGCAGCAGCGCATTGCCAGTGTTCAAAATATCAGGGGTAAGGTGTCTTAAGCATACTAAGGGTTTACCTAATCCCAGTGCCTTCTTTAGGTCACTTGATTTGGCGCATCAAGGACTACTCGAAGAAGCTGGACGAGGCCAAGCAGTATGACACCATCCTGCACAGCGCCATGTTCTCCAACAAGGCGTTTGGCTATGCTTTAAGGGTGAGTCTACACTTGTAAAAATAATTTTATAGATTTAAGAAAGATCGCCCGACAAAAATATTGCCCTAAAACTAAGGAAATTTTCATTAGAATTAAGATAATGTGTCCATGTTTTGATGGCCAATTTTGTCGTGAAACCAGGGCGAAGTTGCCCTAAAATTTGGAGCTAAAAATTCCGCACACGTGCGCTTATGATTCCCAACTGGTTCTAACATTTCTGGCAACGTCTCTTCTGCGAATTTCTAAATGTACTTGCAAAAATCGGCTTTTTAAGGGCGATTTTAGGTAAACATTTTTATAAGTGTACCCTCTTTCAAAGCAAACCAAAAACCTAAAGTAATGACTCTTTTAATACCCTGCAGCTGGACATTTACCTGAACGGCAAGGGCACCTGGAAGGGTCGGAATATGATTGCTTGCCTCAATGTCTTATCCGGCGAATATGATCCGCTGTTGGCCTGGCCCTGTCGCCTCCAGGCCGAGATTGTGATCCGTGACCAAAGCTCGAATATGGCCGAGGCCCAGGACTATGTGAAAACGATATTTGTGCGAAAGAAGAGCGATGACTTTATCCAGAGCAACCAGTACTTTCACATACCGCACAAGGTGATCACCAGTCGCAACTATCTGAGGAACGATGCCATGTTCATAGAGGTTCGCATTCTCAAGCTATGATGGAGCCTACTTTTGGGATCCCCCAGAAGAAACATAACAACAACCCCTGTCGCCGATTACTGAGAACAACAACATATGTAATAATTTATTCCAGTGAGAGCAAACTAGAAGTTGAAATCGTTTAATAAACACGATTATGTATAGTATATATGTAAGTGTATAAAATCTTAGTCGCTTCAAAATGCATACATATATAGTGTATATATATAGTTCGGTGTATGTTCGCTGGTTTAAATGCTTTTTAGCGTTAGGCAATAGAGTTACATTTGAGGCACAGGTTGAGACGAATACTAGATTTTAGGTTTTTTTTAATTATAACATTTTATGGGTGTGTGAAAAAACAAGTAGCAAGTGGAACTGGGCGACTCCTTTACATCCTAATGAAGTGGTCGGTCATCTTAATAGATCAGATCCTAAAATTGTCAAACAAACGGACTTGGGAATGGGTCCCGATCAGGTATTATCTGTGAGCACTTAGAGTCTACAAAGTGTGTGTATGCGTATGTATATGCAAGTCATAAAATACAAGGGAAAAAATTGAGGAGATTACATATTCGAATAATTGATTTATCTCTGCGGTTCGATCTGATTTTGGATTTGTTTGTTTTTTTGTTTAAAGAAAGAGATTCTTAAGATGAGCGCTGTTCGCCCACCAGGGCGTAGAGAGCGTGCTTGTAGTGGCCAGAGGTGTCGCCCTGAAAATAAATAATAAATATAATATAATATTTATCGCTTATTGCAACGATAAATTATCTATTTTTATCGATAAACTGCACATACCTTAATCCAGCTCTTCAGCGACTTGCCGTACAAACGCTCGAAAGCCACCTTGATTTCTGTCATATCAATCTGGAATTAAGAATCAGTTTTAAGCAAAAAGAAATTAAGAAAAAGAGACCCTCCTCCTAGCTCTTAATACCTCGCAGCGCGTGATGATGACACGGATCAGCTGAGTGTCGTTGGTGCCAATGCCGGCCATGGACTTGTGCAGTCGCGAGGCAAAGTACTCGGCCTTGTTGGTGACACACTTGTAGATGGCAATCAGGCCCTCCATGATGTCGCCGGAGAACTCCTTCTTGATGGCCTTCTCCAGGGAGTGGCCAGTGATGCTCTCGTACTCTTGGAATATCTATCAAGGTAAAAGGAAAAATATATATATAATAAAAAATAATAATAAAATTAAATGATTCTCTTTACCATTTTCAGCTGCTGATAGTTCCTCTGACAGAGGATCATGTTGAACATGCTCTCGTCGGTGCCCACCCGCAGCTCGCCGGCCTTGAGCAGCTCCCGGGCATCATCCTTGGCCGCAGCGGGATCCACACGTCCGCTTTCGTCTCGGGCCGCCGTGCACAGCGAGGTGAGGAGTCGCTTGAAGTTGCCCGAGGTCTCCGACTTCAGCTCCGACTCCAGGTGAGCGCCGTACACTGGACACAAAAGCTAGAGAATTAATATGTTTCCATGCGAACAACCTACGTTTAACCTACAGCGTAAGTACTGGTTTTTGATGGTATAGATCTCCATGTTGGACAGGGTGCACAGGATCTCAATGAGGACCGTCTCGTCGGTGCCAATTCCGGCCATGGCATCGTTCAGCTCGGCGCAGTAAAAGTCCACAATGGGACGGAGGAGGCCAACGAGCAGCTTCTCAAAGTTGCCGCTCGTCTCCGACTTGATATCCTCGATGAGGTCCTTGCCAAAGTGCGTCTTGAACTGGCGCTGGATCTCCTGGCGCTGCTCGTTCGTCCGCCGGCAAATGATGTTGATCAGGGCATTCTCATCCGTGCCAAAGCCCTTCATGGCCTTGCGTAAGTCGTGGGCATCCTTGACGGGATCAAAGTCCTGCGCCGGCAACACAGTAGGAGTTCCCTGAAAAAAAAGGAGACACACACGAGGGATGGATGAGAATCATTGGATGGTTAAGATCCTTCTTGGGTGACAATGACTGGTGAAATGATTGAATTTTTGTTTTGTGGTGTGGAAACCCGCCCAAAGAGGGTAGCGAGTGGTGCTAATTTTGATGGCCAATTGTCTGATGACCAACCTCTCTGTGAGCTGGAGGGAAAGACCGATGCGCGTGCTCCTGACCATGCCCATGCCCTTGTCCATACCCATAGCCCTGACCATGCCCGTGCCCATAACCATGCCCTTGCCCCTGTCCCTGCCACTGTTGCTGCCCTTGTCCATGCCCATGCCTATAGCCATGTCCATATCCTGGTCCCGCATCATAGCCAGCCGTCATGGCCGGGGTAAATCCACGATCCATGGGATAGGGTGTGTTCGAGACTGGTTGGTATTGGTGGTGGTGGTGGTGCGGCTGCTGTGATGATGCAGATGGATATGGGTGGTTCGAGGTGGGATAGGGAGCCGGAGCAGCCGGATATGGTGCCGACATTGGCGGATAGGGAGCAGGAGTCTGATGGGTGGCAGTGGGTGGTGGGTATGGTGAGTTCTGCTGCATCGGTGGCACCCAACCAGCTCCAAAGGGCGCTCGCGGTGGCTCGTTATTGGAAGTGGGGGGATACTGCGGTGGATATCCTGCTCCAGTACCCTATAAAAGATTATATTTATACAAAGTATTTATTTTTTTAAATGATAAGCTTGCAAAGTCAAGCTTTGATGAAGCTCACGCAACTGAGATTGGAAATGAAATATTAAAGATTTATGTTTTTTTTTTTAAACAAAGAAAAGCCCCTCTTTTAAATTGTAAAAAATAAATATAATATTTTAGAGTCTAGAATATATTATTAATAATATTTATATATATGTATTAAATATGACTTCTAGATCATGCACTTCTCTTTCCATTCTGAATATAATTTTTACATATTTTTTTTAAATATTTTCTAAAATTTATATACAATTTATATACATTTAAACGTGCTTAAATAAGAGTTTGGTGAGTGAATGATGCTTTTAAGGTTTTTAGGCTCGTCTAAAAAGGATTGGCAACTTACGAAGGGATACATTATGAGGGAGATTCTACGCTTTGGGTTTTCCTGTTTTTGGAGATTCAGCTACTGGAAAAGGTACAAGGGAGAAACAGTTAGAATTCAATCAAAAATATTTAACTTAACATAGTAAATACAAGTGTTTTTGGAAGGTAACACGACATAGCAGTCGCAGCCACCTGATATAGTTTGTTGTTTTTTTAGAGTTTAATATGACTCCGGTGGTATTATGTCACCTATGTTACACCCAAATATCACGCTGATTAATTTGTCTGCTAATTAAAGAGACCCTGGAATTATGCGTACAGCCATCAATATTTGCTCTACTTATTTATATACAAAAAAACTAAATATAACCAATTAATTTTCAAGAAAAAACTAAATGTAGGTTTTTGAATCTAAATATAAATTATTTAACATATTTTTAAAGAGTTTTTCCTGAATAAACAAGTAATATTAATGCCGAATAAATAATTTAAAAGCTAAATATAACTAATTAATTTCGTAAGAAAAATTAAAAGTCTAAATAAAAATTATGTAAAATATTTTCAAAGACCTTTTCCTCAAGAAACAAGTAATAATCACATCTAATAAATAATTTTAAAGCTAAATATAACTAATTAATTTGGTAACAAAAATTAAAAGTCGAAATAAAAATGATTTAAAATATTTTCAAAGACCTTTTCCTCAAGAAACAAGTAATAATCACATCTAATAAATATTTTAATAGCTGTCTTGGGAATTTTATTAAAGTCAACAAGTATTTTTCAAAGAATCCCAATCCCCCTTTAATAATTTAAAGCTACTCAACGTTTCAATTTCAACGTCACTGTGAAAGTTGGCATTCGTGTTTTGTATTCGTTATTTCCCAGCAGCGTCAGAAGCTACTATTAATACATACAAGCCAAATGCGAATGATGAGTCAGCCCTTAGGGCCGAGTTTACTGCTTATGAGCCTTGTTTGTTTGTATCTTGATGTCGTGTATTGTATATATTCAGACACGTAGGCGCCGAAGTCATTAGGGGGAATATGCCGAAAACAAAAGTCGGAAATGAAAGTTCATACGGGCGAACTACAGTAGCTTCTAAATATTATAATATTTTATATTTTTAAATTTAATATAAAAAAAGAAATAACCATGAACCCAAATGTGCTGGCAAACGATCTTTAAGGGCTCCGAAAACACATGAAATTGTTTGTTGCAATCTCAAGATATAATTTTGAATATTAAAGCCTTAAAACCTATATAGAATTTGTAACAATTTTAAATAAAATAAATAATTTCAATATAAAACATTTTAAAACAAATTAAAAACCAAATAATAAATCATAAATTGAAGGAATCATTTGGGTTAGCTTTAAAATAAGTAAATCATTAATTTTTAAGAGTTATAAAAATATCTAAATATATAAAAATTGCAACAATATTAATCAAAATTCAACATAAATAAGCTAATCTTTGGTTCATTAAATTGTGTGCTCACTGTAAGCCCTGCGGGGTATACAATGTATGAAATTTAATCAGTTGGGTTTGCCGAAGAATTTATGTTTTCGCTAGTCTTCGATTTTTGGAGCTTTTGTACATATGTATGTACAAGAGTATGTATGCCTTTGTTTATGAACTATTCGATTTTATTTGGGATAACCCGGCAGCTCATATTTAATAAGTATGTACACTTGTGTTTTTTTATACTACAAATGCGTGCCAAGAAACGATACTAAGAAAAGGGGTAAACAAATTAGTTATTTTAAAAATTTACAAGATTTCTAAAAAGCAGAAAATGTGATATAAAAGCCTTAATAAATTAACTAGATTGAAGATTAAAGCAGACCCAACTTGGCATTTAAAATCCCAAAAGATAAGCTTTAATATTCCTAATTGTTTAATGATTTTTGTTTAATAAACAATTCTTTATAATATGTAAGCTTCATTCGTCTTTCGGCAGAAACTGCCAGAACTTGACTCACTATCGACGGGGGAAATGTATTTCATGATATACATTTGTTTTGCAACAAGAGCCGGGAGCTGTTGCCATCCCAAGATGATTCATCTTACACTCAACCACATTTTCCTCCTGCCCCTCCCCCCGGCAGACCCACATGCCACATTATCAGATATCTGATGTGCAACGGCCATCGGCATTATCACAGAGTTCTAAATAGTAATTATTTTGTTGCAAGGTCGCAAATCAACAGATGGGCACCCCTGCCTGTGTGTGTGTGTGTGTGTGACTTGGAGATACAATTGTATCTTAAAGATACGAATCGAGTGCTTCCAATGCTGTAACACCGACGACGTCGTACGATACACGTCTTTGCCCAGTAGATACACACGTCCGCGTACATAAATATGTATGCCTCTGCGGAGATTAGATGGGCGCAATATATGTCTCACACACAGAGTTTGTTTTATAAATTAAAGGCAGCTCTCTCTCGCTTTATTATGGCACACACACGTCCCAGGCGACCCGAAAAGAATGCGAATGCCACGGTTAAAGTGAGTCGAAGACCATGGCTAATTCGCACTATTTAAATATGCATAAACCTTTTAATTACTTTAAGTATCTTCAACACCAGACGACGACGACGCGACGACGACTTGCTTGAGTACTTTACAATGTCGAGGCTTTTTTTATCAACTGACCTACCACCAGGGAGGGACAACCACCTGTTGCCGTTTGATAACTCAATTGCGTGTCCCTCTAATCGATAACGATCACTGTTTGAATCTAGCGCCCAAAAATACTACAAAGAGCGAATAAAATACCAAATCGTTCGATGATTTTGAAGCCTATCGATTTTTATAGTGTGAACGGTTGAGAATTATTTTAAAATTAAATAAAGAAATACGTTTATTTATAAATAAATAAATAACAAATAAAATACATAGTGAAATTACCAACACCTCAGATAAAGAAAATGCAAAAGTGTGTGCCAATGCAAAAGTTCGGTATTTTGTGTATTTCCCTAAAACGGTCACACGTTGCCCACAACCAAAATGCGGTCACACAGGCGGCCAGTTGTTTTGTTTTTTGAAATGAAAAGGACATTCTTGCCGTATTTACATCTTTCCTATTGTGCGATGGCAACGTAAACCAGGACTACAATCTCCACGTCATGTTCCTTAGGATCACCTTGAACAGCCTTGTTGCATCGCTCGTAATTGTCGTCCTGGCCGTGTACTGGTACCGGCTTCCTGCAAAAAATGGTAAGTTGTGCGAAAAGTGACAGAGATTACCCAATTTCCCAACACCTCGTGTCCCATAGCCAAGCAAAAGGTGGCCAGGAGACCGCCCCCCGACCCTGAGGATCCCCTGCCACCGTCCAATTCACCGTTGCACCAATTCTCCCGCTCGGCCATCTGCTCCGACCACAATGTGTGCAGCCTGCTGGCGAAGAACACCCTGGAAAGGGGCGGCAGCGCAGTGGATGCTGCCCTCGCTGCCCTGATCTGCAATGGTCTGGTGGGGATGCAGAGCATGGGACTCGGCGGCGGCATGCTGATGAACATCTACGTGCACGAAGAGCGCAAATCGTACAGCATCCTGGCGCGTGAAATAGCCCCGCTGGCGCTGCGCTCTGGAAACTTCTCCACTTTCCGCGACGAGCAGGAGTTCAGAAAGTCCAGCTGGTCCATTGCCGTGCCAGCGGAATTGGCTGGCTATGCCCAGGCCCATCAGCGATTCGGGAGGCTGCCGTGGTCGGACCTGGTCCAGCCAACGGTGGAGCTCTGCCGCAGTGGCTATCGCCTCTACAAGCATCAGTACGATGCCCTAATCCTAAACCAGGAGATGGTCCAGGGCGACCCACGGCTGCGAGGGATGTTTATAGATTCGAATTCCGGGCAGTTCTGGCCCATTGGTCATCTCATTCAGCCGCCGGCACAATTGTGCGCCACCTATGAGCGACTGGCCCGCGAAGGACCTCTTAGTTTCTACAATGGCTCTATAGCCGAGGATCTGCTAGCCGACTTGGCGGATGTGGGCAGTGCTATTACCCGGGAGGATTTAAACCGCGCCGATGCCCAGCTAAGCAGGGCACTGGTGATGCCGCTGGATGAGTATGATCTGCATTTAACTCCGCCACCGGGCAGTGGTCACATCCTGGGCTTCATCATGAACATTCTGTGCGAGTTCCGAGCGGATTTCGCCAGCAACCCCAAAATGGAAGCCCGGGATATACATCGAATGGTGGAGGCCATGAAGTTTGGCTTCGTCAAGCGCTGGCAACTGGACGAATCGGCCAACAGAGAGGTGAGTCTTTGTCTCTTTCTTTGATTTTCCCTCTCCTTCACATTCGAGCTCTTAAGAACTATCATTTTTTCTAGCTCCTGGAGAGCCTGACCAGCCCTGAATGGGCCCAGCTGGTGGCAGCACAAATCAATGACTCGCAGACCTTTAATAACTCCGAGTTCTATGGCGACTCTCTGGGAATACAGATACGGGATGAGCAAGGCACCGCCCACACCTCGGTGCTCCATGGCAATGATGCTGTTTCGGTCACCAGTTCTATTAATTTCTAGTAAGTTTTAATATCTCTCTTACATTTTATCTTCTATTTTATACTTAAATTCCTTTCCTTTCCCTTTTCCAGCTTTGGCAGTGGACGCACTGGCCGCCGCACAGGTGTGCTGTTCAACAATGCCATGTCGGACTTTTCCTTTGAGCAGCTTAAAAATTATTTCGATTTACCTTTTGTGCCTGGAACAAATGGCATTGCTCCCTCGGCTCGTCCCATGTCCTCCATGTGTCCTGTCATCGTCACGGAGCGTTCGTCGGGCCAAGTCCGTTTGGTTGTGGGCGCCGCTGGTGGCACCAAAATCATCTCCGCCCTGCTGCCCCTGCTCGTGCGCAATCTCTGGCAGGGAGCAAGCATTAAGGCAGCCATTGATGCCAGTCGCCTGCATCACCAGATGCTGCCCAATGTTTTGTTTTATGAATATGGCCTGGTTCAGGATCAAGTGAAAGACCTGCAGGCCAAGGGTCATCGTTGCGAGCGTTATGAGCAGCGTGGCTCAGTGATTTGTGGCATCGCACAACAGAATGACAGCGTCTGGGTGAACTCGGACTTCCGGAAGCCAGGAGGAGTAGCGGGATTTTGAGGAGGCTGGATGCTGTTCGGGGTGAGTAACATTGAAATCTTTTGAATTATTGAATAAGTATATGAGTTTGGGTTCTTCTTTTCTTGAAGAGAGCTCGTTGAATTACTTTACTGAAAAATATTATAAAACTAGTCGCTCTTTCATGACCTTTGGTAGCTTTATTTATATAAATCAAAGCTAGATAAATACAGTCGGGGTAGTTGGTGCAATGCTTACAATTGCTAGATATTGATAGTTATAACAACAAAGGGTATATATATTTACCTGTAGTTCTTTTAAGTAGGAAATGAAAGCATTTCTCTGCTTTCTTTTATTTGCTAGATACCGAATATTTAATTTAGAATGCCAGAAAACTTCAAATTACAGATGCTTAATCGATATTTTATGCAAAAACATAATTAAATCAGTATTTAATTTATTTATATATTATATATATTCATATGTGCGATAAGTTTATATTTTGTTTGATATATCAGAACAAATATATAAAAAGGTTTACCATAATTTAGATTTGTCCAATATATTAAAAAACGTTTTTCCGTAGATTCTTTTTCGATAATAATCGATAATCGAAATTGTAACATTAAGTGCAATATTTTTTGATATTTTTATCCTCGATACATCAAAGTTTGCGATATTTTGAATATGATATTGAGCGCAAAATAAACTTTAAAATATTTTAAGCTTCAATACATCAAGGTTTGCGATATTTTCAAAATTATATAAAATTATAATATAAATATAAAAATATTTTTATAGACATATTTTAGAGATAATCCAAATATATATCAACGCTAAATGCAATATTATTATTATAATTATTAGTTAAATCAATTTCGATAGATATTCATCGATATTTACATCCCTAAAAGAAATACCTGATAAAAAAGAACGCTATTCTGGCACAACATCGTCAATCAATCACCAAGGTTCTTTTATCAGTCTCCGCAAGCACATGATAATTACATGCAATGTTTGTAATCATGATTATAAGGCTGATTTAGCTGAACTTAAGTACTTTTCAACCCATAATTATTTATAAATAATTAAGTATTTAATCTCCAAAGAAGCTCGAAGAATGACTTGATGTAATACCAAAAGCATAACCATTGAGTATATTCAATGCCAAAAAGCATTCCACATCCAAATGGGGAAAGTTTCCAAATGTTGTCAAAGTTCTGACGAAAGCGAAAACCCGAAAACCCAATAATAAAATGCAACCATAAAATAAGCTCTACGTGCTGACTTTCTCCTTGGTTTTCTCCAATGTCTCATGCATGCACGATTGATTTATTGTATTTTTTTTAAGAATAGTGTGTTTGCAGTAACTTAATAATAATTTAAATAATATACCTAAGTGGAAACTCTCTCTCTCTCTTAGACAGACGTGTAAAAGTGTTTCCTGTTGTTGCTGCGACAACAAATAAATAGCGTAATATATAAGAATGTTGCAACAATGCCCAAGGTATTTAGCGCCATTGAAAAGGCCAGCAGATACTTCCATTTCAAGCGAATTGATCCGCATCCATCGGTGCTGCAAGGCAATGAACATATATATTTTAATATAGAGCATACAATCACAGCTTTGAAACTTACTCTTTCTGGACACTCGCCTCCTCCAGGGCAAGTGCTGGCGAAGGTGTTGCATCTTCGTCGCCTTCCGAAAAGCAGGTACAGTTCTGGTAGCTCAACAGCGAACTGGTCGCCGGTCCGCAAGCTCCCTCCCCGGATGGGGACGAGGTCAGCTCTGCAAACTCTATGGCCGCACAGACCAAAGCCAGGCAGCAAAAGATCAGCGTCAGGGCAGAGAACACATAGGACTCGGCCAGGAGGACCTTGTAGCAGCTATTGCCTGGCCTGTGCTGTTCGCTCTTTGCATTTCTCCGGTGCAGTATCAGACCCGCAATGCTGGCCAGGAGTAGCTATGTGGCGGAGGTGTTGATTATTAGTATATATTTCGGGTATTTAGATAGACGAATAACCTACAGACAAACCGCTCAGGTAGGGATTTATCAATATGGATGCATTGGGCGCCAGGATGAGTATCCAAACGGCCAGTCCAGTGATTAGCAGTCCCACCGCCAATTGCATGATCAGCAGCTGTCGCGAAATGTTTAGATTTCGGATGTGCCTCGAGTAAGCAGCTTGGAGACCTTTAAGAAAAAAATTTTAAAATTAATATGGGTTTATGTATTTCTTATTTATTTTATTTTAAATATATACAAAATTAGTTTTTAATTTTATATACCTAATTAAAATCTCTAAAATCACAAGAGGTATCTTAATATTTGAGAATTTTTACACAAATTAAAATAATATTATATTTTGTAAATCTGAATTTTTTATTTTACATTTAAAAAACATCAAAATTTTGGTAAATTTTTAAGCATTTTAGTAATTACAAAATTTGAAAAAAATGCTCCCCCCTTTTTTTTTTTTTGATAAGTTTTTGAAAAAACATTTAAATTCTAAAAATTTATATTTTGGCTTAGTTATAAATTTTAAAATTTAAATTTTTCTGAAAACGTTTTTGTGTTAGTTTTTATAAAATTAATAAATCTGCTTACTAAATTTAAGTTTATTTGAAATTTCATTTTTGGCTCAATTTTGACAATTTTAATGATGTAACCCCTTATAAAATTTTTAGAAAAAATTATAAAAATTTATTTTCCCTCTGACATGGCTAGTAAGACTCGCCTTTTGATGCTGATCAAGAATATATATGATTTATAGGGTCGGAAATGACTCCTTCACCACCTAAACAACTTCCGACTGAAATTAGATTTCCCTGCAAGGGTATCAAAATTCGTTATGATATATCACTTAAAAATATTGCGATTTTTATCATGTCAAAAATATCGTTAACATTGATTTAAAGAATTTGTAGGTATCTAAAAATATGGCATTTAACGGCCAAAAATATAGATTTTATGGAAAACTATTGGCGGAATGTTAAATGATTTGTCTTTTTAATTTTTAATTTAAGAGGAGTCATGTCAACAATTTAAATACCGAATTTCAGGTCTTGTCTTTTGACTTTTGACTTTTTTTTAACGGAATTAATTATGATTAAATTTTTAAATTAAAAGTAACATACTGTCATGGTTCTTGTGATTCACAACTATCATCCGGCTGTGCCTCAGGCTGTTCCTGGTCGGCGTATGTCGTCCGGCTATCTTCATGCCCTTCATGTTCTGCGGCACCGTGGTGCTCATGTAGACGGCCTAAAGAAGATCAAGTGATTAATAATCAAGAAAGCTTAGTTAATACGAGAAAGCTAACTCACCTGCGACGGCTGCGGTGCATCCAGGTCGCTGAGGGGAATCTGCTCGTAGGTGGTGACATACTGCAGTGGTGCCTCATCGCCGGCAGGAGCAGTAGCAGTAGCAGTTACAGGCACGATCGCTGGAACTGGGGCAGCTTTTATCACCGGGTGGGGATCATGCTGGAGCAGATTCTGGTACATGGGCTCCGATTTGATGGCCGGCACGTGCGCTGACGCTGACGCCACCGGTGGTGACTCATAGTTGTTTATGCCAAAGAACTTGGACTTGGCATCATTAAGGGCCGCCTTAACAGCAGCTATGCTGTGACTGGTGCCGCTGCCATTAAGTTCCGGCTCCAACTCCAGCTCGGCCTGCTGCTGCTGCTGCTGCTGCCTCTGCTGGGTGACGCCCAGGTTGTCGTAGGTGCTAACGGGACGGATTGTTGACGATGGCATGACTGCTAAGCTGCCTAGGGCATTCTGGAGGGGCAAGTGAACGCTGGAAGGCCAATTGAGCCAGGCGGAGGCACCGCCTCAGGTGCTAGGGACATTTTCCCATAGACAGCATAACCTGAAATGAGGAAGATTGAGGATGATGAGTTGAGTTTAGGCAAAGACAGACTATTTATATATTCCTTTTGTGGTGTTGAAAATGTTTAAACTGATATTATTATAGCCTTTGGTTAAGATTTCAAGGGAATTACTATAAAATTTCCAGGAAAAACCTAGGAATATGTTTATGAATACTTCTAAATAGTTAAAGAATAGCGCTAGGTTCAGTCAGACCTGCTAGAATTTTGTTTATCCTAACATTATTTTAGCCTTTGGTAAAGATTTCAAGGGAAATTCTATAAAAAACCCTGAAAAACCCTAGAAATAATTTCATGTATAGCACTTTTGTTATTGTAGAAAGTTGCCTTATAGCCAAATCTTTGCTGTAAAGCTATAACTAACTTTTACATTTGTCATTTTCCTGTGCTTTCATCAGATCTCAGATCTCTGGGGTCTTTTTTTTTCCGGTTTCTCAAATAGGTCGTTGGCATCCACCGGCCAAGTGAGTGGTGGAAATTGTTAGTTGTTATTCACAAATTCCAGAGAACGACCAGCAGGCCCGCTTGGGTTTGTCAAGTCAATGGAATTTTCGAATTTCTGAATTATGGACTCTCTCTGTATGTTATGGGCCGCTGAACAGGCTTCCGTTCCGTTTCGTTTGGATCGCAGATAAACAGATATATGGCAATGCTATATATCCGAATCTGTGATTGCCAAACTTTGCTTTTTTTGATCTATTTAGAGCGACGATGGCCTCGCGGCAGTGCCAACAAACTGTGTGTTACAACTTTATAAAGAGCAGAAGCACAACTCTCGTACCGCCACAAAGTGAAAAAGCCAAAAGTCGGAATGGAATCTCTTCTCCTCTCTTCGATGGCGTGGATTGGCTTGGACTGGAGTGGATATTGCAGTACAGTGGAGGCGGGTGGCAAACGGGAAAAGAACGAAATAAAAAATGAAAACAAATCCAAAAGCAAAACGCGAACCGCGCCGAACACTGCCCACTGCAACTGTACGCACCAAGAGGCGAAAACAAACTAAAAATAATTCTCACCAGCCCGCCGCCGTCCGTCGATCGAGCGCTTAAAGCGAACCATTTCCATTTCCATTTATCCGTTGCTACTCTCCTAAAAAGTAAAAAACGGTCGCCTGCTTACCTGCGCTGGCCAAGAGCGCACATACACACTCGCACACACGAACACTCGTTGCTCCCACAGACACATTTAAGCCGCTCACAGACGCACGCCTCCATGCTCTCCAGAAGCCAGAAGCGGAGAAAGAAGCCGAATCTGAGGCTGAGATCGGGAGAGCAGCAAAAATTTAGATACTTTTCTACCCTGCAGTTGGGTAGAGCAAAGGTATGCTGCGATCGAGCAAAGATATGCACTGGGCTATGAATGAACACCGAATGAACATTTCAGAGAATGAATAAAAATGAATAAAATGAATACAAATAAGATGCTTAAACTGAGGGAACAACTGAGTGAACAAATGTGATCTGGCAGCAGGTAATAACAATTGAGTGAATAAGTGAGCAATCTAACCGAGAGCAACTGAGTGAAGAAATGGGTGAATTGGGTAAATGAATGAATGAATAAATAAATAAGTAACTATAAATTTAACGGAGCTGAGTAAATATAAGAACATTATAACAAAAATAAAAATAAAAATAATATAAATTCAAATAAAACAAATTTAAAATTATATTAAAATACCATTAATAAAAATATTTGTAAAAAAATTGAATAAACACATCAGTTAAGAACTTGGTAAATTGAATAATGAACTGAGTAAACAACTGAACTGACCTAAGCAAGGAAACAAAGTGAATGAATTTTTTTACTAAGAGAAAATTCAAAATTGAGTAATTAAACTGTGGCCTAGTCTTAACAGTTAACAGCAATCAATAATTTATAACAATTTAATGAAATAAACAATTGAATGAATAAGTGAATGAGCAAATGGAATTAGCCTCTGCACCAAAACCTGGCAAATTAAATCATTTATTTCTCTTAACGTGATTTTAAATTATATTGATTTGTATGATATGATATCCACCAATCAATAATTTACAAACCAGTAAACAATTGAAAAAAAGAACTGATTCAATAAATTAGTGAACAACTAATGAACCACTAATATTCCCTAAGACAGAAATAAAAATCAATAAGTTGGTGAACTCGCTTATTCAAGGGATCCTCTTAACCTATCCATCAGTAAGGATAATCTCTAGATCTTAATAGATTTACCTAGGAAAGCAAGACCAAAAGAGAGTCTGAACCTGGATAAAAAACCCATGGTGTCCCAAAAAAGTTCAGGAAGGTGCCTTAGAACCTACCATCCAAATGATGGTTAATGCCATAAAGGTGCTAAAAACTCAACTGTTTTGTTTTTGTTTTTATTTGTTTGCACAGTTCAACGTTTTACTTACTAAGTAAATGATTCATTTCGCTGTCTTTCACACCGGTTTTTTTTTTCTTCTTAGCTTTATGGTTGCTAATTTTAGAGAGCAAATTCCAAAAAGGGTATGCTCAAAAATGGTAATCGAAAAACAAGCAAATTTCTAACTTGAGAATCTATACAAAAATAGAGGCTGCCTCATGAATTGGGAAATGGTTACCTAAAGGTATTTTCATGACATACAATAGAGCCTGAATTGAAAGGTTAAACTTTTATTTAAAAGTCAAAGTTTTTTATTAAATATATATTCCTCTGCTTTCTATATATATTTAAATCAATACAAAAATAAATGTAATGCTCATCGGACTTAATTGTGGTGTGTAAACTTATATAGTATTCCACTTGTCCATTTATTTATAGATTTGACTTCCTCAGACATGTATTTGCATAACTCACTCTATATACATATATAGATATATGCATTGACGATAGCGGATCTGGCTCAGAAAAACTTGATTGAGGAAAACTGAAAGATTAGTTTACGTTCACAGGCGGAAGTGTCAAGACGCCGGTAGTTTGATCTCTTGGTTGTATTTACATCTGCAGACGATCACACCGGGCTTTTTAATGAGGCTCAACGGTAGCAGATAGTATTTATGATGCTATAAACATACTTTAATTTTAAAACAAATGTCAATAAAATTAGTAGATTAAAAAATAAATATATATTAGTTTGAAAAGAAATCAGTAACAGATGCTGAGTTAACTGAACTTTAACAGCTGGTTGCTAAAACCCTTTGGGAATTCTAAAGCAAAGCATGTTTATAAGGCCCCTATTTACTTATCTTGAAATAAGCCAAATTTGTAGTTTCTATTAAGTTAATAATTATTGATAATTAACTAATTATTGATATTTATTAATAATTTTTTTTATATTAGTTATCGTTTAGATTTAAATTACAAGTTTTATTAAATTTACTTTTACCTAATGATCACCATTTATTTCCCTTTAGTTTAATAGGAAATATTTGCAATTAAATGCAACCTCAAATAACTATGTAACACCTGTAAATATGTTTTATTAGAACCTCTTTTTTATTGTTTATTGTTTATTGTTTTATTTTTAGTTTATGGCCCGCTCTTCTTTGGCCCGTTGAGCGTTGCAAGACCCTCAAAATGTGGCTTTCAGCCGTCATTTTGCCTTTTGTTTTTTTTCGCTTGGCAGCTACTTATTTCAGTTATTTCATTAGTAAAAAGTATAAAAAAAAAAGAAATAACGTTAAATAATATTTGCCAACTGAAGCATTACAAAGCTTGGTGGTTCAAATAACCATAACTGACAATCAGCACCGAAGAAGACTCTGCGTTGACGACGATGATGACGATGACGGCAGAGCAACGGACCAATGCACTTTGCAAGACGATGGACGACGACAGGCATTACGGCATAATGGATTGTCAATCGTGAGTAATTTTTATATATAAAATATATACATATTCCCTTCAGCAGCATTAGGTTACTGAGAAGAAACTAGAGACTCAATAAGCCCTCGCATTCATCTTCTCAGGAGGCCACTGACAGGACTTTCGCTGAGGCGCCGCCATAAACTTCCTCCTTCCGGTGTGCCACCTGTGCAACCAAGCTGGAGTGAGCCATCAAGTGTGATCTTCGCAAGCTTTGAAAACCCCCTTGTCAAGTTGGAGAGATGCCGTTGCCAAAATCTGGCATTGCGAATGGCTCAGGCTCAGGTCGAGACTCCACTCTGGGCTCTGTGTAGTGGCCATTGTCTCGTCATTGCGGTACGTGGACCTTAAATTGGAGCAGCGATATGTATGGGAACGCGATCGAGTAGTACCACTTGTGTAAGTACCTTGTTCTATTTGCCATAGTTGACGGCTTAGACCGCTCCCGCTCCCGGCCATGCCAATTAACGGACTTAAACAGAACACGACACACCGCTCCGATCGGCTCTCACTGTACTCTAGTCTTTTTTTCGGGGGGTCTTTTGTCGTCGTCTGTCGCATTTCCCTCTGCCTGACTTGCACTCGGACTCGGGTTTGGGTTTGGGCTTTGGGTTTTGGGTTCGGGCACCGAACTATGTAGCCTGCACAATTACAGCAAAAGACGCAAAAAAAAAGAGTAACTTAAAATAAAAAATATAAGAAACTACCCTGGCTATTTTACGTCAACACTGTAAGCCAGCCAGTGGTCGCTTCAGCGAGGGTCTATAGAGAAATTGTTTAAAAAGTAAGGGAATTTAAGTATGGGAGTTTTGGAGGATCTTAAAATAATGTAAAGGGTTTCCTGAATTAGGCTAAAATCTACAAATCTACAATGATATAATTTAGATATAATTTTTAATTGAATGAAATTGAAAATTAAACATTTCTAGGATTAACTTTATTACAATTCCCATAGAGCTTTCTCTAGTTTCAAAAGTTGACTAAAATAAATTAAATAAATTAAATAAATTAAATAAATTAAATAAATTTAATAAATTTAATAAATTATATAAATTAAATAAGCTAAATAAATTAAATAAATTAAATAAATTAAATAAATTAAATAAGCTAAATAAATTAAATAAATTAAATAATTTAAATAAATTAAATAATTTAAATAAGTTAAATAAATTAAATAAATTAAAAAAATTAAATAAATTAAATAAGTTAAATAAATTAAATTAATTAAATAAATTAAATAAATTAAATAAATTAAATAAATTAAATAAATTAAATAAATTAAATAAATTAAATAAATTAAATAAATTAAATAAATTAAATAAATTAAATAAATTAAATAAATTAAATAATTTAAATAAATTAAATATTTTAAATAAATTAAATAAATAAAATAATTTAAAATAAATAAATAAAGAAATAAAATAATTAAAATAAATTATACAATTATTATCACGTTATTTTAGTTAGTAAATTTATCAATTTCAAGTTTATAATTTTATTAAAATCAGCTACACATTCGCCTAAAGCCAATTAAGAAAGTGAAAGGCATGAATCCACCCTCGTTGGGGGGATTGTGTAAGGCGTACGATTGCGCAGATTGTGTTTCGCGTCGGCAACAATGCCACCATGACAAACAGCCCAGCGACCAGCCAAACAAACCAAACCGCCGCCCGCCAACCGCCAAGCGGTAAATGAGTCTAGTACACTCAAAAAAATAACTATAGACTTTTATATTGAATCTATTTAAAGGAACTACTTTCTGAAATACTTTAGCATGGTTTTTGGTTTGGTTTTTGTTTAGTTCGAGGATCTAAATTAGCTCTGCTTTAAAAACTCTGTTTTTTAATTAACAAATTAATTTATTTAATAATTTGTTTAATTTGTTTTAATTTTCATTTTTAAATAGATTTCTGTTCTTTAGAGTTTTAGACATTAAACTTAAAAAAAGAAAGAAACGGTCATTCGCACCGGAAACATTTTCTAAATTAAGACACATAATTAAAAAAATGTTTGTTTGTTTTTTTGTTTTTTGGTGTTGATGCTGATGGCAGCACATGGCCATAGATGTAAACAAGAAGCAAAAGTCTTTTTGGTATCAAAAAACACATATATACTTGTATATATAGTGCCCCTTAAGTGAATGGGGAATTGGGAATTCTGATAAACTCAAGAGCTTGGTGTTTTTTTTTATAAAACTGTTGATATGCCAACCAAATTGAGATTATTTGAATATTTTTGTATATTTTATTGACTCCAGGAAGTGCCAAACAAAATAATAAATATAATTCAAGATTAAAAAAGGAAATTGGGATGAAAAAATAATATTTTAATGATTAGAAAATGAGAACCTTCATTTTGAAACCTATAAAAAACGATACAACATTTCTTCTAACTAAAAAATTGGAATAAACTAAAGCAGACCCCTCTTGTAACTCCCATTTACTTTCCAGTGTAAGCGGCGAACGGTGGCCAGGCGAGGAGCGATCATCCAAGCAGGCAAACCGACCAATCAACCCCACGGTGGCTTCGGCGGCAGCGGAGACTCCGGCGGCGGCTCTGATTCGGGAGCGGACTTGGATTCGGAGTCCACATCGTGCTCGGGCCAGGCCATAGCCGTTGCACATGCGCAGTAAGTTCGTAGTAGCAGTAACCAGTACTCGGGGCTCGTGTGAGCTCGGCTCTGGGCTGGTGGCTCGGCTCTTGGCCTGGCTGGGCTCACAGTGGCCAAATGGAAAACCAGTTATAAGTCAACTTTCATTCCAAGCGGACGTGCCAAGAGAGTACGGATCGGATTGGAGCGCGGCGCGGTTTCTGTGTGTGTTTTGGCCGTTGCAGCAGCACATAAAGCGTTAATGTTGGCACCAAAAGAGAGCGCAGCCCCAGCCTGCAGTCAGGTCACATAAGCGAGTCTAATAACTCGTAAGTTTAGGCTTCTTAAACTATTATTTTTTTTTGTTGTTATTGTAGTTTTTTTTGTTTAGTGACTCTGTTTTGTGTGAGACACAGAACTCCCACCCAGATTCAGAACGAGAGCCGGAATCTGTATCTGTATCTCTGAATCACACACCGAGAGTGCGCGCAACTCGGTTTTTTGTAAAATGTAAAAAACGGGCACAAGTCTTTTTCGATCGCACGAATAATTCTGCCATTCTGCCATCGTCGTGTACTTTCCCACATGTTTCCAATTAGCACCATCAAACCGAGATCGATGGATCGATCGATATCGATCGAAACTTTCCTAACACTGCCTTCGGTTCGTTTGCTGTCTGATAATTAGTGAAAGATATATATACGCTCTAATGAAAGTTGTATATGATACGGACACCGGATGGTGCCCAGTTTGGTTCCCAGTCTTCCAGCCTCGGGCAAAGTGAAACCGCCAAAAAATGGCTAAAGGGGTTCTCTCAAAAAGTTTTCTTTTGGTTATAATTTCCCTTACGAGTCCAAGTCACTGAAATATAATGAATATAATTCAAGATTAACAAGGGAAATTGGTTTAAAAATAAATATTTTATGAAATATTTTAATGAATGAGAAATAAAAATGCTAGAAAATTGCTATCTTTATTTTAAAACAGATAAAAAGACTCTGCAAAATAGATATATTTTAGCGGAAATACAAAAAATAATAAATATTTTTTAAAATTTAATGAAAGGAAATTAGAATAAAAGAAATTAATTTATTAAATATTTTAATGAGAGGAAAAGAAAATTCTATAAAATTATAAACTTTATTTTTAACCCGTTTAAAAAATCTATAAATTTTTTAAAATTAAAATTTCCCAGAAACTTTTAACCAAAAAAATAATAAAATATTTTTCAAGATTTAGGAAAGGAAATTGGTATAAAAAATAAAAAAATAAAACATTCTATTAAATATTTTAATGATGAAAAAATGCTAGATAATTATAACCTTAATTATTTTTAACCTGATAAAAAAACTACCAACTAGATATTTTTTAAAGCAACATTTTCATAGAACTTTTAACCCAAAAATAATAAATATAATTCTATAATTGGTATAAAAGAAGGCATTCCATTAAATATTTTAAAAATTATAAAGAAAATGTTAGAAAACTAAAACCTTTATTTTTTAAACACTTTTAGAAGAGTCTGAAAACTAGATATTTTATTTTAGCAAAATTTCCCAAATTTTAACCCAAAAATTAATAAATATAATTCAAAATTAACAAGGAAAATTGGTATATAAAAACTGAAACAGCCAAAAATTTCAAAGGTTCTCTCCAAGTTTTTTTTTTAATGATAATTCCAAGTCCGATCCAAATGCATAAAGGTATCCCCTTGGGTATATATTCCAGTCCAAGCTCTATGCAGCTGTCGAGGGTATCGCTTTTGTGGGCAACCTTGAAAGCTACACCAAAAGCCACCACTTTACCCTCAGGCGATTCCATTCTGTTTTTGTTTCTGTATTTTTCTTTATTTTTACTTTATTTTTCTTGATTTTTTTTCGTTGAATATTCATGGCAGACCGAAAAAGGGAAGCCGTTTTTTTTTGTAAGTTTTAACTTTTACTTTTGCAATCGAAGCCGTATCGAATCGAGACAGTGCCGGGCATGAGTGTAAGGAAAGGCTTCACAAAGCAAAGACAGGTGTATTGTGGGGGAGTCAATGGCCGAGAGTCTAGTGATTTTGCAGATAATTTTCTAATATGTTTATGATTATTTTTTATGCATTATTTTTTATGCATTATGCTTCTCTTTTTTTTTATGTTTTTAATTAACACTGTGTTACAATGTGCGCGCAGCAGAGTAATGTAATCATAATTATGCACTGGAAATTCAATGTGAATGCAAAGTGAAAACGCAAGACGACGACGGCGACGACTCACGCTACGGCTTCTATAAGTGTGTATAGTGTGTGTGTGTGTGTGTGTGTGAACAGTGTATGTGCATAAATTAATCGCCGGCGATACAACAACATCAACAACAACTGGCTAATCAACGGCATCAAAACCAAAAACCAAAGTCAACACACACAATAATAATCACCATCTGCAGCAGCAGCAGCAGCAGCAACTTTGAAAATTAACAGCTGCCTGCGGCAAACAATGTTTTGCTGCAAGTTATTGTTTGGACCAGCACCAAAACCACCATTACCACCACCAGTGTCCCAGCATCGTCATCATCATCATCATCGGTTGGAAAGAGCCATGACTTGTTTGAGGAAACCAATGCCCCCCATTATGAAGGGGCTGCCGGTGCTGCCACTGCTACTGCTGCTGGCTTTATGCCCAGCCGGAAATTGCCAAAGTAAGTTGAAGTTCATCCACTCCAGGTGGATACCAGATCACATCCCGGTTCCCATGCTTTCAATTCTCCAGCGAAACGGGGTCACTCGGAGAACAAGAATCTCTTTCGCATCTTCCCTCTTTCTCTTTCTCTTTCTCTGGGTCTTTGGGTTTAACTAATTGCACCTGCTTACTAACTGTTTGTGACAACGAGAGCTGGAGATGGCACTTTGTTTCTGTTTTTTTCTTTTTCTGGGACACCTTTTCTGGTCTTTTATTGATAGTTTCCCATAAATATTTACAAAATACCTTTGGGGTAAATATTTTTTTAACGGTTCAAAAGTAAACAAATGCCAGGTTATTAATACATTTCTTCAGTTTACGTGTGACTATTTAGGTTTATGATATTTTTTTTATTTATTTTGCAATGCCTTTTGGAGGGACAAGGTTTGAATTTAAAGTAACATTATGTTAGTAAGTTAATAATAATAATAATTAATACTGTAAAAAGGGGGGTATTTTTCTTGAGTTTTTATAAATCTTATTTAAAGTAGAATAAATAATTATTATATAAATATTGTTATTTATTTTATTTATATTTATATATTCAAAGTAATACAAAATGGAAAGGGGCTATTTTTCATGAGTTTCAACATATAAAAAACTAAAAAAAAATTGTATAATCCTATTAAAAATAGAGTAAATCATAATTTATATATAAATATGCTTCAAAACTATCTTGAATCTACCATAACAGCTAAGTATAGCAATTCTCTTGACAATAACCAATCATTTCTATATAGTATTTATAGAATATAAACATGATGTGAGTACGTATAAATATAAAAACCGGCATTTGGACAAGTTTAATGGCAACAGCTTTTAAATTGAGCGAGTAAATCACACGGAAAACATGCATATTGGTTAGACTGGACAGATAGATAATGGGGAATAAATAGACTTTTATAGAATTCTTTATACTTTTATACTTCTTTATTTTCATTTAAAAACGTTACTTGCAAAGAATAAAATATATATAAATGGAGAATAAGCTCAAGTGTTGTCCCTTACCTACTTTCACCTCCATTTCTTGCTAATTTAATTATGTTAATAATAATTTCAAATATTTTAATCAAGTAATTACAAAATTTTTTAACATGATGACAATATTTAAACCTTCTTCGGTTTAATTAAAATATTAAAAATTTTGTTAAAGCCACGAATACTTGAATTTCTTATATACTCTGCATGTTTTATAAGTAATTATATTTTTCAAGGGTTCAAATGACTTTAACCTTTGCCAAAATATATTATTTAGAAAGCGGAAATTAAAATATTTGTATATTAAATTTATTTTTAATTATAAAAATTACTTTTAAAAATAAATTCTAAAATAAGCAGCTTTATAATCACATAACAGTGATTTCAAATGCCTTTTAATTATATTTCCTTGGTTTTTATATATATTTTTTTCTTTGTTTTTAACTCTTTAAGCACCTTTAATGTTATTTATTATTATTTTGTTTGTTATTTACATTCAATATCTTATTTCTTCGCTGAAAATCCACTCCTACTCTATATAGCTTTTGACCAATATAATGTTCTTGAAAACAAAAAAAAAACCCAAAACGTGTTGGAAAGTTTTTACTTTCTTATTTTCAATCCACATGAAATCATTGTTTAAATAATTAGCATTTTAGAAATGTTTGTCGATTTGTTTAATTATAATTATTAATGTACCACAAGCCCCTTTCCAAAAAGGCGTCTTCTATTCTGTCTTTCGAATCGAACACTTGGACAGAGGCACAGACAATGCCGCCAAGACCCCAATTGCCTCTACAGTTGTGTGTGTATTTTGAAAGGAATCCAAGGGGGGCTGAGAGGGGTTAGGGAAAGAGAGAACAACCAGCTGGAGTGGAGCAGTGAAAGTTGCCGAGATCTGTCAGAGCGGCACAGTGGTCACTCTGCTATGGCTGTATGGTGGTCGAAATTGGTTAATTATTATTATTTACATTCTATTGAAGGTTTTTCTTAATACATTTTGTTGAAAACAAACCTTTTAATGGGTTTTAAATATTATTGGAATTATTAGTATTTAATTTAAAACATTTTTTTAAACTTTAAAGAGGTTTCAAAATAAGTTTTGACTGTTTTAAATGTTTTAGAGAAATTCTAGAAATATTTATTTATTTTCTAGATGGGATATATATTTATACTTTTATATTTCTTTCTTTAGAATTTTAGTAAAAATCCTAAAAAATATTTATAGCTTTTCTAGAAAGGATATATATTTTTTCTTTCATTTTTATATCTCCATAATTGTTGCAAAAATCCTAGAAATATTTAAATATTTTTTAGAAGGAATACAAATATTTTTTTTTATTTTTCTTTCTCTAAAATTGCAGTAAAAATTCTAGAAATATTTCTAGATTATCTAGAAAGAATATATATATTTCTACTGTTCTTTTTCTCTCTCTTCATCTGCATTCCCCTCTACTTACCCTCCCCAGAAATTTGTTATTCGAAATTTAAGAAATGTAATTACATTTCTTGACTCATTTTGTAACCACTGTCCCGCCCGATCGGGGCTATACTTCTGGGCTAATGCGAGCGACGACTCTCGGACTTGTCAACTCGCTGGGCCACTTTGCTGGTGACATTCTTACTTCACAAGTTTCACAAGTTCACATTTCGGCCGGTCCGTCGACTGGCCCGGTACGTGATTGAGTTTGGACATCTTTGCGGCTGTTACGAGCCCTCCTACGATACGTGCGCTAAATCCCAATCCCGCGCTGGGCGTTACATGCATTTGGATGTTGACATAACGGCACTCAGGACACCTTTCTATCGCCGGGTTACCTGCAGTGCCCCGAACCCATCTGCGAGTCCAATGCCCCACTTACCCAAATGTGCAGCTAATTTGGCATTCCGCGCGGCAAATAAGAGCTTTTTTTACTGCCATTTAAGCCACGCCCACCCAGAAGACGCCCTTCTCGGAGGAGAATGGCTGCCTGCCTGCCTGTGGTGTGTGCTGTGTGTAGGAACATCCATGCCCTCGCTCAAAAACCGGATGAATGCGATCGAAAAACTCATAACAATAACAGCTTTTCGGGCTTCGGTGGCTCTGGCTGGTCTGAAATAACATCATCGTCGTGGCGGCTCACTGCCGCGCCTGACGTCAACAGCTGCAGCACCCGAGCACCCAGAAAATATCGCCAGCATAGTTGTACTCCCAAGTTCCAAGTTCCAAGCCCAGAGCCCAGGGCACCGTCGAGTGCCAATTCCGGTTCGAGAGGAAAACGTGCATATGCAAAAAATTCCCGCGCAAAGCGTTGACTTCGGGCAGAGAGTAGGAATTAGGGGGAAAAAAGTGGCAGATCTGAGGCTTCGAATACTCTTAGGGAGAAGTATTTGCCTTTTATAGTTACTTGGCTGAAAATGAAATGTATAGTTTCTGTTTTTTAACCCTTGCACTATGGTCCAGAATCCGTTTTTTTTGGCATAAAGTCGATTTTTTTATGTTAATATATCGTTGTTTTCTTATTTTAATCTTAAAGTAAATTCATCATACGTTATAAAAATGTTAACTAAAAGCTTTAAATGTGCCACCAAAGCCTATTGAGAGCTTTTAAAAATGCGATTGCGATCAGCTCATTTCCGAATAGAAATTCGCGCCAAAATATTTAGTTACTTTATGTTGTGTCAGACGTGTTATTTTGGTTCAAAAAAATCAACTAAAATATGGAAAATAATCTTCAAGGTATGCACTATTTAATGTATATTGTAATTTTTTGTGTAGTTCTACGTATTTAGTGTTGTGTAATGTCAAATTTATGTGTATGTTTTTAGAAAACTATCATGCGTTCTCCATGTTTCGTGGAGTATAACTAATAAGCTTCTCCATGCTGACAGCAACTAATTGGTCCAGATTGTACTCCTGGATGTTGTCTTTAACCACAAACAAAAAACTCATCCCCGTTCGTCCCCCTTTTCTAATATTTTGGTAATATACACAGCGAACTTTTTAAATTATGGAGCAGCAACAATCGAAAAATTCTATCTGTATCGAAGTGACTATGCACCAAAATTAATAAAGACACTGTGAAATCCAAGAAAATGAAGGAAATAGATTAAAAATGCAGTAATTTTTATAGTGATATTCATAAATATCTTCCCAAATGTAAATACGTTCTTGAACGGTTAATTTCTTCCAATAATTCTAATTATAAATTCGGAAAAATATCTCTCTTTTTTTTAACCACTTTTTCATTATATATGCGTTAATTATGTATATAATAAATGGTAATTATGTACATATATAAAAATTATAAATTAAATATCAATCAGTTTGCAAGGGCGGCAAGAGTGGGCGTGGTCGTACTGGCCCAATTTTTTGTACACAAGTTGTTAATGCTAGACATATACGCCGCCGCGCCACGCCGCCGCCGCCGCCGATTTTTGCCTTATTTGACGCGCCGCCGCCAAATTATGAAAATAACGGCGCGCCGCGGCGCGCCGCTGGTGCGGCATCGGCGCAGCTTCAGCGCGGCCTTCAGTGTCATTGTTCTTTATAAAACTTAAAAAAAAAAAAATAACTCATTAAAATGGCCTTTTTGCCTTATTTGACGCGCCGCCGCCGCCGGTTCTTTCTGACTACTACGCCGCCGCCGCCGAGTCATTTTGACCTCTACGCCGCCGCCGATGCCTTTAACCATCGGCGTAAACCTCTAGTTAATGCCACAACAATAAAATCTGCGAAGTTTAAACCCTGTAGCTCCATTTTTCTACTTTATGCCAAAAAAAACGGATTCTGGACCATAGTGCCTTGGAGGGTTTTATAATTTCAGTCAGAAGTTGTTTAGGTGGTAGAGGATTCATTTCCGACCCCATAAACCATATATATTCTTGATCAGCATCAACAGGCGAGTCTTTCTAGTTGTTTCAGAGGAAAAATTAATTTTTTTAATTTTTTGGAAAATTTGATAAGGGGTTACATCATTAAAATTGACAAAAATCTGAAAAAAATGAAACTTAAAATAAACATAAATTAAGTATGCAGAGATGTTATTATTATAAAATCGTATACAAAAACGCTGTCCAAAATGAATTTACTGCATTTTTGGCATAGTTTTGGCATTTAGAAAGTATAGATTTTTGATATTTTGACTTTAAGAATTCAAAAAAATAATATTAAAAATTCTGGATAAATACTAAAATTAAATTTAGTATGCAGATTTATTAAGCGTAAAATAACTAACACAACAGCGTTTTCCGAATTGAATTTACTGCATTTTTGGCTTTTTTGTGGATTTTTAAAAATTCGATTTTTTACAAAAATAAAAATTCGCCATTTTCTCAAAAAAATGTAAGGGGTTACATCATTAAAATTTGCAAATTTTGGAAAAAAATAAAATTTTAAATGTGGTATGCAGATTTGTTAACCTAATAAAAACTAACATAACAACGTTTTCAGAATTGATTTTAGTTCTTTTTTGGCTTGGTTATGGAATTTTTAAGATACGGATTTTTGATATTTTGACTTTCATTTAAAAAAAAAAATTATTTTATTAAAAATTATGAATAAATATTAAAACTAAATGTAGTATGCAGATTTATTAAGTGTAAAATAACTAACACAACTACGCTTTCCGATTTGAATTTACTGCATTTTTGGCTTTTTTATGTATTTTAAAAAATTTGATATAAATAAATAAAAAATTTCGCTATTTTCTCAAAAAAATGTAAGGGGTTACACCATTAAATTTGTCAAAAATCTGAAAAATATGAAACTTAAAATAAAAATAAATTAAATATGCAGATTTATTAGCCTTATAAAAAAAAAACTGCTTTCCGAATGAATTTTAACGTTATTTTGGCTTAGTTATGGACTTTAATATAACATTTTTTTAATATAACATTTTACATTACTTTATTGTTTTTCAAAATTATTATATTTTATAATTTATATTTTAAATTAGAGCACATATTGTGGCATTATTTTGTAAGCTAAAATATAAATTAAATACTTAAAAATATATTTTAAATACAATTACTTTGGTTAATAAACAAAAAACTTGATGTATAAGAATATTTTTCAAAATTTTCCACTTAAAAATGAAGGCTGTCTTCCACCATTGATTAAATTATGGAATAAATATACTTTGTTGAGCTCCCCTTGTAATTATATTAAAACAAGAATATAAACACTAGAGTTGATCTAGCACTTAAGGCGGAAGCTTGGCTGGAAAATTAAAAGAAATGGGTGGGTATTACGACGAGAACTGAACAAAGGCAGAGATATATTTATAAAGAGAGAGAGACACTTTAAGCTCAAAACGAGGCCACAGCCCCCGCCGGCTGTTGCTGTGTCTCCTTGGAGACAGATGGCGATGCCGTTTGGTTTCCTGCCCTTTAGCCCGGCCTGGCCTGGCCTGGCCTGGCCTGGCTTGGTCCAAACTGGTTTGGGCCTGGGACAACTGACTGCGAGGCTTCTCCTCACTCTTGACCCGGCGCCCATTAATTGCCTCTTTATTCTCGACGCTAACTATGTAGACTTTTTTCGAAACTACTTATGCTCACGAACACAATTGTGAGAAAGTTGTATAAATTCTTGAAATTGTGCAAAACAAAAAAGGGGGAAGCAGGTAGAGGAGGGTGAAAAAAAATACATGGGCGCGGGCCATTGCATATTTATGATGGGAAAAATGCAAAATACCTTTTACACAACAAGTTCTAAGCTTAAGTTGTTCGTTTAGAGAATGGCAATTCTGCGCTAAAAGGGTCAGGGGTCAGAGCGATAACAAAGGTGGCAGCTGGTGGGGAAAATGTTCACTAGAGACAACAGAGAGCACCCACTTCCCACTCCCAGGAACGTCACTTGAATAGTCAGAGTGCGAATGAACTGTGTAAATGTATTCCTGAAAAAGTCTCTTTTGAAATTACTACGCTGCTATTAGTTACCCAACTATTAGTTAAACAAACATTTTATTTTCATTTTGTTTTTATTTGAAAACCTTAATTTTTTTAGATTTTAAAGTAACAATATTTATATATTTATTAATAAGATTTTTCATTGGGAAAGTTCGCTTTAAAGAAACCTAAAAACCAAGCTTAGTTTTGGTTTAAATAATAAAGGATTTACTTTCTTTGTTTTATGTTTTTTTGTGTGACTTAAATAGCTTTAAATACTTTGGTGATTCTCCAGATGATTTTTTTTATTTATTAATTAATTTGGTTTTCAAATAAATATCTTTAACTGGCTAATTAGAAACATAACTTCACCTACGTTCTACTTACAACATAAATGGTGTCATTAGAATATCCATCTAAAAGTATTTGTTTTATTGCTTTTATGAAAACAAAATTTAAAAAAATTTTAATGGCTGATTAATTTCATATTCAATAACTTTTTAACTTTCTCTCGATAGCAATTATTTGGGATAATGTTTATAAATAAAATATAATAAAATAGCCTCCATAACTTTTATTAATATTTTGTATTTCCTCACTTCTTTATTGTTTTCCATACTCTCAATCTGTCACAAGTACATAAAATTGCTTAAGCTTTAAATAAAACTACATTTATGTTAAAATAAATTACAATAAATGTTACTTATCTCTAAAATTCAAATACTTTCTCAAAGAATAAGACAAGGAAAAATAAGGCATATGATGATTTCTTTTATGGAGAGTAAAAATGATGTATTCCCTAATTAGATTTCTTAATTTTTTACTAAATTTATGGAAATGTCTTTAGTTAAAAAATGCATAACAAAGTAGAAATATGGTATATTTGAATACATATATATTTATACATATATTTATTTGTTATATTTCTTTGTTTCCCGTTGATTTATGTGGTCCTTTCAATACTTCTCTGCAAGTGGGCGTCTACAACTTGCAAATTGATGTTTAATATCTTTTGTTTTTGTTTTTTTGTTATTGTTTTTTGTGCTGTTTGCAATGCTGTTCACCTCGAACTTTTAACCGATTTGTCAACAGATTTAAGTCTTTGCTTTTTAACTTTTGAAATAGTATAAAAAATATTGAAGTAGGGATTATTAGCAATCATCTGCAGTTTGTATTTACAATAAAATGGAATTTCTTCGTTGAAAAATATTAGTTAATGCCATTAAAAAAACCTGAAAATACATTCGAGGTCAGATTAATAGAACTAAGTTGTTTGACATTTACAAATTTAAACCTTAAACGTTTTAAGTACATTTTTTTGGGGGTAATTAATGTCCTAATTGAATTTAATAATACAATTATTTGTATATTAAATAATTTACCAAAAAACTGTTTAAATTGTCAAAATTGCCTTAAATATCTAGTTTGACAATTAAAACATTTTGTTCCCATATTAATAATAAATTGCAAATTAAATTTTTGATATTGAATTAAATAATTAAAATATTAATTAATAATTAACATGAAGTAGAACTTGACATAAATCAAAAAATAGGAACAGAGTAATAGTAAAAAATGTGATATTAATTTTAATAATATTTATAGTTAGTCTAACTAAATAATCTTTAATCTTTATCCTAAAAACTAGACACATATTAGCCTGTAAAAAATATTCCTCAAATGCTATATTTAAAGCTATTATTCTTAGAGACTAACCCTAAGTATCAAAAGATATAGTAAGATTACAAAAAACACTTCTAATTAGCCATTTGCCTTCCCCCTCGCCTCTCGCTCATCCAAATAGTCAGCATTTTGGCCGTAACAGTTATGATTTAATAGCCTGGCAAGACAATTTTCGTACGTTTTTAATCTGAATGTGAAATTTGTGCGAGTTTGGCGGCTTGCGAAATAAAAAAATGTTAATCATCTGTGTGTGTTTGTGCTTGTGTGTTTATTGTTTCCAGTTTGCGGTCCCCCGGCGGTGCCGCTGAATGCCAAAGTGCGAACCGTGACGGCCGACACCGGGATTGCGGAGGCGCACTACGAGTGCGATGCTGGCTACGAGCTGTTCGGCCCCGCGTCGGTCAAGTGCGACGCCCGCAAGGGCTGGGAGCGGGACCTGCCCTTCTGTGGCGTCAATGTGGCCTACCGCAAGCCGGTTAACCAGAGCTCCTACACGCGCAGCGGTCCTGCCAGCTATGCCAATGATGGCAAGCCGGGCAACAAGGTGGGTTTGGAGTCATTTCCCCCGCTTTCCCTACTTTCTCTAGAAGATTCTGCTCCTCCCCCATAGAATCCCGATGGCCAGGAGTGCTCGGAGACGCAAAAGGAACCTTCGCCATGGTGGCGCGTCGATCTCCTTGCTCCGCAGGCCGTCCATGTGGTAAGGATCACCACCCGCGGCTGCTGCGGCCACCAACCGCTTCAGGATCTCGAGATTCGTGTGGGCAACAGCAGTGCCGATCTACAGCGAAATCCGCTATGCGCCTGGTATCCCGGCACCCTGGACGAGGGCGTGGTGAAGACCTTCACCTGTGCCCGCCCCTTGGTGGGCCAGTATGTGGCCATCCAGCTGGTGGGCGTCGAGGGGAGCTTGAGCCTGTGCGAGGTGGAGACCTTTACCAACGACGAGTTCTCCGTGGACCGTTGCCTGAGTCCCAAGATCGGGGTGGAGACCGTGGTGACGACATTCTCCAAAACCTGCTATGACTTTCATATCACAAAAGGAGAAAGCTTCGACAATGCCCAGACGATTTGCAAGCAAACGGGTGAGCAGAGCAGCGACATCTAATGACTGACATGCCTTACCTGCATCCTCCCTCTCTCCGTTAGGCGGCGACTTGGTCCATGACTTTCGTGGCGCCACCAGCCAGTACATCCTCTCCGAGCTGGAGCGCCGCAAAACCGAGCTCAAGCCGCAGCTGGTTTGGATTGGAGCCCAAAAGGAGCCGGGCATTACCTCTCGCACCTGGAAATGGGTCAACGGTAGGTGGTTTTGTTGTAGGATCCTTAAGGGGGATTATATATATATATATTTAATTTCCAGGCGATGTGGTGCAAAAGCCCACTTGGGGCAAGGATCAGCCCAACAACTACAACGGCGAACAGAACTGCGTGGTCCTCGACGGCGGTCGCAATTGGCTGTGGAACGATGTGGGCTGCAACCTGGACTATCTGCATTTTATTTGCCAGCACTGTAAGGTGTCTCTTGGACAGAGTCATTGTCAGTTTATCACCTCTCTGCTCTCCTCCTTGCACTCTCCCATTCAGCTCCATTGTCTTGCGGCTCGCCGGATGCCCAGCAAAACACCACTGTCATGGGCAAGAAGTTCACTCTGGGGGAGAAGATTCAATACGATTGTCCCAAGGGCCATTCGCTGCTCGGTGAGGCGGAACGAGAGTGCAGGCCAGATGGCACCTGGAGCGGATCCTCACCCACCTGCAAATGTAAGCTATCCCAAAAAGAAGGGTAAGCTATCAAAGATCAGCTTGTTGAGGTTTTGGTTACTACTTGCAGATGTGGACTGCGGTGGCCTGCCAGAGCTCAAGTTTGGTTCCATCCATCTCTCGGAGAAGCGCACCAGTTTTGGGGTGGTGGCCACCTACAGCTGCCACGAGAACTACACGCTGATTGGCAATGAGAACCGCACCTGTGCCGTAGATGGCTGGAGTGGCAAGCAGCCCGAATGCCTGGTGGACTGGTGTCCAGATCCTCAAAGGATAACCGGTGGCAATGTGCGCTTCAGCGACAAGCGGGCAGGCTCCACGGCCACCTATGTGTGCGAGCCGGGCTATGTGCTAGTGGGCGAGGCGGTGAGTTGATTTTTAATTCCTCCAAAAAACGTTGCCTATCTCCTCTTTTCCCCAGGTCATCTCCTGCGGCCTGGGTGGCGAGTGGTCCAGCAAGACGCCCTCCTGCAGATTCGTTGATTGCGGGGCACCGGCGCGACCCGATCGTGGCATTTCCATCCTCCTCAATGGCACCACCACCGTTGATTCGGTGGTCAAGTACGAATGCGACGAGGACCACTGGCTGGATGGTCCCGCAGAGCTGTACTGCACCCGGGATGGCAAGTGGTCAGGCGAGGCACCGGTCTGTGAGCTGGTTACTTGCGAAACGCCACCAGTGCCCGCTGGTTCGTTTGTCATTGGCTATGACTACAATGTCCACTCGAAGATTCAGTATAACTGCGATCCGGGACACATAATGCATGGCACGCCGGTGCTGGAGTGCCTGGACAGCGGCGAGTGGAGCTCAGATGCGCCCTACTGTGAATGTGAGTTGAACTAAAACCAAAAGTCTCCTTGTAGACATTATTCTTCCCTTTTTTTTCAGACATTGACTGCGGCCAGATCCTGGCCATTCCCTATGGCAGCCACAAGTATTTGACCAACACCACCTATGTGGGCTCCGAGGTGGTCTTTACCTGCTCCCAGTCCCACAAGCTTAGCGGTGTGGTGAAGCGCCAGTGCCTGGAATCGGCTGTCTGGAGCGATGTCTCGCCCAAGTGTGAAGGTAAGAAAAGATTTATTTACGATTTTGTGGCATATCAAGATGCTCTTTCGTTGCCCGCAGAGATTCGCTGCCCGGAGCCAAAGCTGGCCGCCCACAGTCTGCTCTCCGTCACCGGCAATGATCGCATGTACGGACGCACCCTAATCCGCACCTCAGAGTCCACTCAAAACACTGCCCAGACCTACAAGTAAGTGACCAGAAATTGATGGTTTTAGATTAGGGGGGAATCCTTTTTGTAACCGTCTGCAAAGATTCTCCAAGATTGCTTGCCTATATGAACTATTCGCCCCCTAAATCCTTTCCAGAATTGGCGCCCTGGCCAAGTACCGCTGCGAACGTGGCTACAAGATGGTGGGCGAGGCTCTGGCCACCTGCATGGACAGTGGCCAGTGGAGCGGTGTGATTCCCGAGTGTGTTTGTAAGTTCAAGAAACCGTATACCTTTTCGCAAAGAAACTATATAGATTCCTTTGCCCAGATGTGGAGTGCGGTGCTCCGGAGAACATCACCAATGGCAAGGTGACTTTGGCCACCAATGTCACCTATTATGGAGCTGCTGTTCTCTACGAATGCAATGCCAACTTCAAGCTCAATGGAGTCTCGCGCCGCCTGTGCACGGAGCATGGCAACTGGAGCCACGAGACGCCGGAATGCGTGGAGGTGGTCTGCGACATGCCTAACATCAGTGACAATCTAATTGTGGAGGCTGGCAACCGGGCTGTGGGCTCAGTGGTCACCTTCAAGTGCGCCAAGGGCAGGATTATGATGGGCAACGATACGCGAGTTTGCCAGAAGAATGGCAAATGGGCGGGCAAGAGTCCCACATGCAGGCGTAAGTCACATTCTGGCCAAGATTTGGTCATGATTTTCTCTACTTTTCTTCTTTTTCTCTCTTTCCTTAGCTGTCGATTGCGGAAGACCTTTGGCCATTGACAATGGTCGCGTGATTGTTGTCAACGATTCCACGCTTTATGGCGGCTCCGCGGAGTATCATTGTATACCCAACTACAACCGGATTGGCCAGTACCTGCGCAAGTGCACCGAGGACGGAGCCTGGAGCGGCAAGCAGCCGCACTGCGAACTGGCCACGGTAGAGGGTCATGAGAGCTCTCGCCTGGGCACAGGCGTGGGCATTGGGGCCACCATTATAGTGGCCATGCTGGTCATCTTTGGCCTCATCTTTCTCTACCGCAACAAGGCGCGTCCCGTCAAGAATACGGAGAATGTGCAGGCGGCGGAGACCAAGGATGAACGCAATGCCGCTGTCATGTCGTACTCCACGCTGGAGGCAAACAATCGCATGCACATGATGGACAACAACAATCCCTCGGCCACGTTTAATACGTTTCAGGGAGGAGCAGGCCGCAACGGAGGAGGAGGAGGGGGAGGAGCAAGTGCAGGCGTGAACAACAATCGTTCGGGTAAGCGACCAAAAAGTTCTGTGATATTAAAACCCAAGCTTAACTCAATCTTATTCCCACAGAGAATATCTACGACCAGATACCGAACGAGCAGTTATACGATGCTCCCTACGAGATGCGGACAAACGACGAGGTATACGAGCCAGAGCCGGTGGCCAGCAATGTCATCACCATCAATGGGATATCCGTGAGATAGGCCTTGGATGTTGTTTACGTTTACGTTTACGTTAGTTTTTTTTTGTGTGTTAATAAAGCCTGTAAATAGTAATTGTTTAAGAAGGTGAAGATAAAGATGAAGATGATGATGTGTGAGGAGGAGAGAGAGTTACTTGTAGCTAAGCCTAGGGCCATCCATACCGCATTAACTGTAACCCTAAATATATATACACTTACCATTATCTACTACCTATGTATATCCGTGCGTACCTATATCCTATACGTACTCGTATTTTTTTTCCGTGTGTTGTTTTTAAATTATTTTATGTAGAATGTTAATCCAGAGTGTACAATGTTTGTTATGCAATGTGTAAGAGCTCGCCGAGTGTGTGTAAATTAAACGAAAAATGTGGTTAACTTAAGTGGAGTTGTGTTTTCTTCTTAAATTATTAGTTGAAAATGGAAAACCAGCAAGAATTAGGTGAGCCTGGCAAGTAGCAAGGGGGAGGAGCCCCCCACATGTATTGTTAAATCAATAGTTTCATGGAAACAAACTCACTTTCGCCCTGACACAGAGCCAGGCAAACATGTTAACAAAATTCGAAAGCAACTCGTAAATTCTAGTTTCTTTTCTTTTCGGGGAATCTGTTTATATATCTAAATTCGTAGGCAGGGATGGCCAAGAAGGGTGGAGCGCAACAGCTGCAGGCTGATCTGCAAACCGACGAGGATCTCGAGCGTTTTATCGAGCGTCCGGGATTGCTGGGTAAGTGCCGCCGCCTGAGCCAGCTTCCTTACCTTTCGTAACCCGTAATGTGCAGTGCTGGACATCTACTCGGATTGGTGCGGACCCTGCTTGGGGCTGGTCGGCTCCCTGCGTAAGATGAAGCTGGAGATGGGCGGCGACAACATGCAGCTGGCCATTGTGCGTGGGGATTGCGTAAGTTGAGCCTTGGCTACATCCTCACTAATCTGAGTATTGCTTAGTGCAAGTCGGACACCATCACGGCCCTGAAGCGGTTCAACAAAAAGAGTGAGCCCACCTGGCTGTTTGTGACCGTAAGTAGAATTTTTCAGCTGACTTTTACTTTTCAAAAAAATATTACAAATTATGTATAAATATTAAAATTAAATTTGGCATGCAGATTTATTAAGCGTAATATAACTAACACAACAGCGTTTTCCGAATTGAATTTACTGCATTTTTGAATTTTTTATGGATTTTTAAAAATTCGATTTTTTACAAAAAATAAAAATTCACCATTTTCTCAAAAAAATGTAAGGGGTTACATCATTAAAATTTGCAAATTTTGTAAAAAAATAAAATTTTAAATGTGGTATGCAGATTTGTTAACCTCGTTAAAACTAACATAACAACGTTTTCAGAATTGATTTTAGTTCATTTTTGGCTTGGTTATAGAATTTTTTAAGATATGGATTTTTGATATTTTGACTTTCATTTTTCAAAAAATTATTATTTAAAATTATGAATAAATATTAAAATTAAATTTGGTATGCAGATTTATTAAGCGTAAAATAACTAACACAACAGCGTTTTCCGAATTGAATTTACTGCATTTTTGGCTAAGTTATAGATTTTTAAAAATTCGATTTTTTACGAAAAATTAAAAAAAATCTTAAACAAATGAAACTTAAAATAAACATAAATTAAGTATGCAGATTTGTTAATCTTTTGAAATATAACACAACCACGCTTTCCGAATTGAATTTAACGCATTTTTGGCTAAGTTATAGATTTTTAAAAACTTGATATTTTCCCAAAATTATAAACAAAATTTTAAATGTTAAAATATTATCGATTGTTTATTATTTTATATTAAATTTTGTTACATTTGCAGGGAGGCAAAGCTGTCAACATCATGTTCGGCTCTGACGTGCCCAAGCTGGTCGCCATGGTAACCAAAGAGCTGGAGAAGTTGATCCAGAAGACACCGCGCACCTACTACAGGCTCGACGAGCTCCAGCCGATCGAGGTGGAGCAGCAGCGCCTCAAGAAGGAGGCCATCGAGCGGGCGGAGCGCGCAGAGTGGGAGATCAGGCACAAGAAGCAGGTGGACTACCTGACCGTGGTAACGGACTCCATCATGGAGAACATGCCGGACATCGGTGTGACGGTGTTCGGGCCGCAGGTCAATCGCGACATGTTCAAGAAGCTCACCGAGCCGGCCGAGGCGCTTAAGATGCAGTGCAAGGAGCGCAAGGTCGTCCAGGTGACCACCGATCAGTTCGAGGTGGTGAACTTCGCCTGCAAGAACCCCATGTCGCCGGACGTCATCGAACAGCTGGACCAGAAGGAGCTGCTCATCTGCTTCTGGAAGATCGACGAGAGCATTGGCACCGTGCCGAATGTCCTGATGACATATGCCCACGAGCTGACCCGAGAGCGGGAGGAGGAGGCTGACGATTTTCACGAGGAGCGCGTCCTGCCGCCCATCATTACCACCATGAAGATCAAGGTCGAGGTGGAGCTGAAGGAGGGCGAGGTGTGGGTCGAGGAGGTAAGCTCCGAGGAGGAACAAAAGGTGGCCAAGAGCAAGGCCAAGCCCAGGGGCAAATCGGTGATGCTGGAGGAGCTCCATGCCGAGGACGATGAAGCAATTGCCGCCGAGGAGGAGGAGGAAGCCAGCGAGGAGGAGGTGACCGAGCCGGGCGGCGATCCCATGGCTGGCTTTCCAAGTATGCCGGACTTTGACATGGATCTGGACGGTGCCGAGGAGGCCGTCGCTGAGGACGAGGAGAAGATGGCGGAGGCCAAGGAGGAGGAGGAAGCCAAGCCGCCCACGCGCATCAAGACGGTGAAGATGCCGCCAATCTGGGTGCCCAACAACCGTCGCACCCACGCCGCCCTTATCTACGTCTTCTTCCGCGGCCAAACAACTGGCTTCCTGCCACCGGATCCCAAGCCGGAGCAGCCGCACATCATCATGGCCTTCGATGCTTCCAAGCGCAAGGAGATTCTGAACGTGGTCGAGCGCCACAAGGACGAGGTGCCACTCTACGGCTACTTTTCCAGCGCGGATCCCGAGGATACGGAGCTGATAGCCAACTCCACAGAGAAATACGAGGCCGGACCGCACATGGAGTATGTATTTTCGGTGGGTTTATCCTCCGTCCATTACACCTTTCTTGCTCTTCCTTTCCAGCTCCGACAAGATCGTCCTGAAGGTCAACAAGGTGCAGTCTTACATGATGCTATCGCTGGTGTACTACGGCCCCAGTTACGTGAGTCCCAATGTCACCGTCGGCAAGGACGAGGCCCTCAAGTTCTTCCCCGAGGACTACAAGCCCCAGGAGGAGGAGGTCGTGGCCGAGCCGGAGAAGAAGAAGAAGAAGGGGAAGAAGGGCGACCAGCGCGATACATTGGATCCCGAGGCAGTCGCAGCGGCAGCATCAGCAGCGGCGGCTGCAGCAGAATCAACGGGCTCCGTCATGGAAGCGGCGGGCGGCGCACCGGAAGGTGGAGAAGCTGCGCCAGCCGAAGGAGAAGAAGGTGCTGCAGCTCCTGCGGCACCTATGGCCGAAGGAGAGGTACCACCAGCCGTGGAGGGAGAAGCACCGGAAGCAGCAGCTCCGCAAGCTGCCGGAGAGCCAGAAGTGGCGGCCGAAGCAGTTCCCCCAGAGGCAGCGTCAGAAGCGGCGCCACCAGCTCCTACGGAGGCGATACCGCCACCGCCAGAAGCCGAGGCCGAGGCCCCAGCACCAGCTCCAGCTCCAGCGCCAGCCGAAGCCCCAGCCGAAGCTCCCCCAGCGGAAGCACCCGCCGAAGCCCCAGCAGAAGCTGCGCCGGCAGCCGAATAGATTGTGCACAGCTGTCCTGCAGCATTATTAACAAGGTTTTTCTTCTTTTTTTTTTTGTAAAAAATTAAAAAAAAACATTCTTTTTGTCAATTTATGGTTGTTGTAAAGTTGGTTGTTGTTGTGGAACCGATTTCCGAAAAGGCATCTCAGAACAGCTTTCCGAATTTCCGAGTTATGAACCTGAAATTAGTTTTGTTTCCGAAAAATTATTAAAATAAATCGCACCTTTTTTTTATACCCTTGCAGGGTATTATAATTTCAGTCAGAAGTTTGCAACGCAGTGAAGGAGACCTTACCGACCCTATAAAGTATATATATTCTTGATCAGCATCAACAGGGGAATTTTTCTAGATATGCCAGGAAGAAATCGATTTTTTGGCCATTTTTGCAAAATTTTATAAGGGGTTACATCATTAAAATTTTTGATTTTGATAAAAAATTTAATTTTCAAAATTTTTAAATGAAGTATGCAGATTTATTAACTGTAGAAAATCTTGCACAGAACAGTTTTCCGATTTCAAATTAATGCTCTTTTGGCCGAGTTGTGATATTTTTAATTTAAACAAAAATCAAGAAGTTTTTTAATATAAAAAATCCGATTTTATAATACAAAATAATATTTTTCCAAGTCAAGGAATCATTTTCGACCCCATAAACCATATATATTCTTGATCAGCATCAACAGGGGAATCTTTCTAGACATGTCCGGAAGAAAACGATTTTTTTTGCCATTTTTGCGAAATTTGATAAGGGGTTACATCATTAAAATTAGCAAAAAATGGCCAAGAATTTTGATTTCTTAAAATTTTAAATTTGGTATGCAGTTTTTTTAAATTAATAAAAAACTAACACAAAACTGCTTTCCGAATCGAAATTAATGCATTTTTGGCTTAGTTATGATATATTTTAATTGTTACCTGCAAGGGTATACAAACTTTGGCTGGCCAAAGTTAGCTTTATTTCTTGTACTAAATTTAATTGCAGCAAGCTGCCAGGAACTGAAAGCGGGTGCCGAAGGCGAGACAGAGAGCATTGGCAAGGAGGATCAGGACGAGGAGGAGCAGAAGTGGACCAGGTGCTGGGGCAGCACGACGAGGGTGCCACCAAGACCGAGCTGAAACCACTGGGAACGACCTCCGACATTCCCACATGCCTCACCTTTTCTTCTTTTTTTTTTATTTAAAGCTGATATAAATAATAAACCTTAAAAAATGTGTTATTGTTAAGTTATGAGGACGATGCGATTTTTTTTGGGTGGGATAATTTAAACAGGCTCAATGAAAGAAACATCAATTATTGCAAAATAGCTAGATGAGCATCACTGGCAGTTAGTGAGATGCCATTTTGTCCCAATAATGCAAAATATCTAGTTGAGCATCACTGGCAGTTAGTGAGATGCCATTTTGTCCAAATAATGCAAAATAGCTAGATGCGCATCACTGGCAGTTAGTGAGATGCCAATTTGTCCCAATAATGCAAAATAGCTAGATGAGCACCACTGGCAGTTAGTGAGATGCCATTTTGTCCCAATAATGCAAAATAGCTAGATGAGCACCACTGGCAGTTAGTGAGATGCCATTTTGTCCCAATAATGCAAAATAGCTAGATGAGCACCACTGGCAGTTAGTGAGATGCCATTTTGTCCCAATAATGCAAAATAGCTAGATGAGCATCACTGGCAGTTAGTGAGATGCCATTTTGTCCCAATAATGCAAAATAGCTAGATGAGCATCACTGGCAGTTAGTGAGATGCCATTTTGTCCCAATAATGCAAAATAGCTAGATGAACATCACTGGCAGTTAGTGAGATGCCATTTTCACCAAATAATGCAAAATAGCTAGATGCGCATCACTGGCAGTTAGTGCGATGCCATTTTGTCCCAATAATGCAAAATAGCTAGATGAGCACCACTGGCAGTTAGTGAGATGCCATTTTGTCCCAATAATGCAAAATAGCTAGATGAGCATCACTGGCAGCTAGTAAGATGCCATTTTGTCCTAAAAATGCAAAATAGCTAGATGCGCATCACAGGCAGTTAGTGAGATGCCATTTTGTCCCAATAATGCAAAATAGCTAGATGCGCATCACTGGCAGTTAGTGAGATGCCATTTTGTCCCAATAATGCAAAATAGCTAGATGAGCATCACTGGCATTTAGTGAGATGCCATTTTGTCCCAATAATGCAAAATAGCTAGATGAGCATCACTGGCAGTTAGTGCGATGCCATTTTGTCCCAATAATGCAAAATAGCTAGATGCGCATCACTGGCAGTTAGTGCGATGCCATTTTGTCCCAATAATGCAAAATAGCTAGATGAGCATCACTGGCAGCTAGTAAGATGCCATTTTCTACCAATAATGCAAAAAAAATAGCTAGATGAGCATCACTGATGCACATGAGCATCACTGCCATTAAGCCCCCAATATTGAAATATAGCCAGATGAGCATCACTGATGCAGATGAGCATCACTGATGCAAGCAAGCAAAATTTTTCATTCAATTTGGCCGCTTCCCAAACTGGGGTAACAGGCGAACAGAAACCAGCAGCAAGCAACTGAAAACTGGTATAAACTGTTATAAAAACTTTTGGGCAAAAATAATAATTGGTATAAACTGTTATATTTCATTTTATGCATTTATACCTATTTGTTGCCGACAACAACAGCTTGACGGCAACAACAACCTTTTTACAACAACATCCCTACAGCAGCCCATCCAAATTTCCGAAAATTTCCATGCAAATTGCCCGTTTCCCAAATTGGGGTAACAGGCGAACAGAAATCAGCAGCAAGCAACTGAAAACTGGTATAAACTGTTATAAAAAGTCCAAGTTTCAAACCATTTCGGAGCCGGCGAAAGTTAGCGGAGACTCAAACCTTTTGAATCCAAATTTAGGTGTTATTTTACAAATGCACCTGGGCACACTGAAACTGATCGTCGTTAAATTCAAATTCAAATTTGGCAGTTAAATTCAAATTCAAATTTGGCAGTTAAAATATTTACAACAATTTGAAAAATTCTAAAATAATTATAAAAATTCAGAAAAAATTTTAAAAATTCAGAAAAATGTTAAAAAATAGAAGAAAAAAATGTAGATTTCGCTTTCAAAATAATTAGATTTTACCCCAAACGATCCCAAATAAATGCCGCCTTCACAAAAAAATTGCACATTGATTTTACTATCTTTTATTGATTCATATTTGTGTGTTCCTTCAATTACATTTACATATTTACATTTTATTTATAAATATTTTAATTATTTACGCCTACTGCAGGGTTTCATATAGCCCGAAGCCAAGATCCGATCACCGTCCTCTACTGCCATTCGGTTGAAGTCTGTCCTGCCAGCTGCTCGCTCCTCCAGCTTCACCTCTGGCGATCCTAAGATTATATAAATATAAATTATTATAAGTATGCAGTTTTGTTGAGCTAATAAAAACTAATTCAGAACAGATTTCCGAATCGAATTTCATGCTGAGTTATGAACCTTTGAAAATTAGTTTCACAGATCATCTAGCTTGTTGTTGTTAAATTGATATTGTTGTAAAAATATTGTTTTTATTGTTGTAGCAAAAACAATGCTGAAAATCTATACATTTTCAGTACAAATCCGTCAGTTCCTGGATTTCATGTACCAGGCGAACAGAATCAGCAGGAGGTGGATTTACTTTAATGCAAAAGAATTTTTCACTCAAATTACGATATTTCTCTGGGCTGCTCATCTCAGATACGGTCTTCGCTCTCCCGCTGTTTGCTCGCCAGGTACGGCCTTCGGGGATTAGGAGAGCGACAATGAGTGCAAGCCATTATTTTTACTCAAATTCAACATTTCTCACTCATTGAACAGATCAGCTCGTTGACTCTTTGAGAGCAACGATTAAAATAACTCAAAGAACTATTAGAAAAGAACAACTGTTGTTGTTGTTAAAGGCATTTATTGTAGGAGTATTGTTTGTATTGTTGTAGCAACAACAAGGCTTCAATTTGGACATTATCAATACAAATTCATACATTTCTGGGAGTGAAGTAACAGGCGAACAGAATCAGCAGAAGGTGGATTTTGTTTAGTGCAAAAGAAATTTTCACTCAATGACGACCAGTTTGAGTTGCTGGCTGGCTTGAGTCCATTGTCGTCATTGAGTGAAAATTCAGAACTTCAAAATGTTCCCAGTATAAACTCAGCACCACAAACTGTTCCCAGTATTAACGAAGCATCACAAACTGTTCCCAGTATTAGATCAGCATTGCAAACTGTTATCAATATAAACTCAGCGCAAAAGTATGCCATAAATTGGCACCTTCGTTTGTTGCAAATTTATTCAGCCCAAAAGATGCACCATAATTTGGCCTGGCAATTCGGCGACTCTTGCCTATGGTTTTTAACTGCATACTTATTTGGGCAGCACAACGATGCTAATTTGAGTGATGACGTAATTGCGAGAGCGATCGATGCTTGTTGTTGTTGTACAATTGTCGCTTTTATAGAGAGGCAGTGGTTGTTGTTGTTGTAAGCAAAACCAAGGCTTAAATCTAGATATTTTCAGTACAAATCCAGCAATTCCTGGATTTCATGTACCAGGCGAACAGAATCAGCAGGAGGAGTATTTGCGTTAGTGTAAAAGCATTTTTTTCACTCAATTCTAATACTTCCACTCATTGTTTTCACTCTTCGCCGCAGATCAGCTCATCTGAGCTTTCGCTCTTTGTGTTCGAAAGTTATTCGAAACGGAGAGACCATTTATGAGAGCAGCGGTTACCGTAGCTCTTTGACTCAATAAATTGAAAGAGCTGCACGTCAGCTACGGTCTCCGCTCTCCTGCTCTTTTCTCGCTAGTTACGGCCTTCGGGGATTTAGAGAGCCGACATGAGTGCACAGCATTGTTTTCACTCAAATTCAACATTTCTCACTCATTGCATAGAACAGGTTGCTGATTCTTTGAGAGCAACGAATAAAATAACTCAAAGACCCTATGAAAAAGAACAACTGCTGTTGTTGTTAAATGCATTTATTGTAAAAATATTGTTTTTATTGTTGTAGCAACAACAAGGTTCCAATTTGGACATTTTCAGTACAAATTCATACATTTCT